TGACTAAATGCAACATAACCATATCTCTGTCTTCTTCATTTTCCATCTCTTCAGTATAAATCATATACTTATAGTTCTTTTCCTTTCCTTTTGGTACCGAACGTGGTATTCTTTTCTGAATGCTTTTGTCTTTTGCTTCAAGCTTGTTCTCTAGCTCTTCACGTTCTTGTCTATGAAATTCGTCAAGAAGTCTGTAAATATACCAAGCATAACGAGGCGAAGCCCACATTGCAACAGCATTTACAAGAAGTCTATGTACATAATATCCTCTCAAACCGTTTGGCAATTTTTCACGATTTTCATGAGTTTTAGGCGACCCCGAAGGAAGTCGGGCTCGCTGTGCTTCACTGTTTTCATGAGTTTTAGGCGACTGCGTTTTTTTCATTACTCGCTGTTCTTCACTGTTTTCAGAAAAAAGTATGTCTCGCTGTGCTTCGCTCAAAAGTTCTTGTGTGCTTTGGTTTTTGAACCAATCGTCTGTATGTTTGGTATCTGGAGCATAACATGCTGTCAAAATACTTTGCATTTGGTACATGTCATCTTTGACCGAACGAATGAGACGTAACTGTTTGTTAAACTGAACCCACTCATATTCTTCATTTATATCTTCATGGACTATAACTGTTGTTGTGTTCTCTGTTGTTGACATATCTGTCCTTACATACAAAATAAAAAAATATTTTATAAAAAAATTAGCGTTATTTTCTGACTTTCACAAAAGACCAAAAATAAACGCTTTACATGTATTTTTCAGCAACTTCGTCAAATAATTTTATAGCTTTATCTATCTCATCTACTTCAAACGTTTCCCTACCTTTCGTGGGAGCACCATACATTTTCTCAAACTTTTCAAGTAGTTCTGTTTCTGCAGCTCTCATATCATAAACGAACACAACCTTGACTCTATTGACTGTACTGTCATATCTTTGAGTTATATTATATGTTCTTCCTATCTTATATCTTTTTGTGTTGAAGTCCTTCGGTTTCTGAACGATGTAAAGTAAGCCTTCACTGCAACGTTCCGTATCGAATGAACCATATGTTATGAAGTTATATCCAACAACTGGGTCTAACCATAACAAAACTATTGGTATAAGACTTTTGTCGATGAGATATGCTGTAGTTCCATAGAATCTTACCGATATCATGAGCTTAGGATTTCTTGTCAAAATTTTCTGAGTTGAAGCATTTCTAACCCAGTCCTTTGTTTTCTTTCCAGATGGAAATATAATGTCTGACAAAGAATATTTGTTGTATTTCTTTGAGTATCTTACGTTTAAATCACCTATTCTAACCAATTTGGTGTCATTGTCTATCTTTCTAACTGTTTCAAACTCAATGTTTGTCATTTTCTGTTCTTACATACAAAATAAAAAAAAAATAAAAAAAATAAAACTAACTTTATTTTTTCTATCTTAAGGAAATTCATGATTTTCATACGGAATCCCTTCTCTCGGTTTTCCGAGGGAAGCAAGCATATGCCATTTTTTGACGAAGTGAAGAGTAACACTTCGTCAAAAAAATCCCTGAAATCAAGAATTTTGTTGCTGAATTCAGCAAAAATATATTTTAGGTGAAGTGGTGAGATCTCACCTCTTTTCTAACCTCTTTTCTCACCCAAGTTATTTTTTTAAATTTTGTGAAAACTCAACGGTTTGACACGTGCCATATGTCATTTTTTGACGAAGTGAAGTTTTGCACTTAGTCAAAAAAATCCCTGAAATCAAGAATTTTGTTGCTGAATTCAATAAAAATAATGTTTATGTTAACATGTTAGATCTAACACGTTTTCTAACCTGTTTTCTAACCTCATGAATTTTCATGATTTCTTCGTAAATGTTTTGTCAAACATGAACGTAAATGTTTTGTCAAACATGAACGTATATGTTTTGTCAAACATGAACGTATATGTTTTGTCAAGACTTCTTCGTAAATGTTTTGTCAAGACTTCTTCGTACATGTTTTGTCAAGACTTCTTCGTACATGTTTTGTCAAGACTTCTTCGTAAATGCTTTGTCGAAACTTCTTCATCGTACATGTTTTGTCAAGACTTCTTCATCGTAATGAGCGTAAATGACCAAAAAATAATGTTTAGGGTAGAAGGTTAGATCTAACCTCTTTTCTAACCTCTTTTCTACCCCAGTTATTTTATAAGCGTTTTACATGGTAAACGTTATTTTTTAAATTTTGTGAAAACTCAACGGTTTGACACATGCCCTAAAAATTATTTTACTCAGAATTTTGTTGCTGAATTCAGCAAAAATATATTTTAGGTGAAGTGGTGAGATCTCACCCGTTTTTTCACCCCAGTTATTTTATAAGCGTTTTACATGAATTGTACGATGTATATTTGAAATCCTAAACAGTTTTGTAGCTTCTATTTCTTCTTTTAGTACATCGAATGTTTTAACAATGCCGAAAGTTTCTTTATACTTCTTCTTGACGTCAGATAAAAGGAAATCGTCAGCAGTTGGATAGTTTTTGTTCAGAAATGCTAACATGTCCATTTTATTTTCTACCGGCTTCTCTGCTTCTTTCTTTAAGTCTGCATAGTCATTTCGCATACGTTCTATCTCTTTGACGGAGTAGTTATATCTCCTCATTGCTGCTTTACATTTAGAACATTGCGGGTTCATTTTTGCGTTATATTCTGAAACCTTACCTGCTAAAACAACTAAGGCGTCAATTGCTCTCTTCATCTCAAACATAGCGGGTCTTATTTGTTTGTTCCATACCTTACCTCTTCTATCTTCATCTCTTATCTGCCATACACATTCTGCAACTAACGAAACAAAGTTGTCGTAGGTCTTAAATTCTTCAGATTTATATATGTCAGAAACATTCTTATATAACATGTCGCAATCTTTGTCCATAACCTTATGGTTGCAATGAAAACCAAGGAATTCATAATTTACCTTTCGTATGAACTTCTTTATTTCTACTGAGTCAGTTGGTTTGACTTCAATTTCGTCAAATTCAGGAATAGTGAGTTTTTGTTGTTGGATTTCAGGTAGTTTAGGCAAATGGTCAATAATGTCCTGCATTTCATAAAGATACTGTTCATTTGTTTCATCTTTCACACTACAGTCTAAATTACTTGTTAAAAGTTCTTGCTTTATCTTCTGGATTTTTGTTTCGAAAGTATATGAAGAAGGAATGAAGTTTTTCATCTCTACTAACATTGACGTAGGATTCATAACTAACGAGTTTGGTGCTGTAGTTGTTTGAATTGCTGTTGTGCCGATTGTTGACATTTCTGTTCTTTTATACAAAATAAAAAAAATAAATAAAATAAAACTAACTTTATTTTTTATTTCGGGAAAATTCATGAAAATTCAAGAGGGTAGAAATGAGGTTAGATCTAACCATCTACCCGACATTCTCGTCAAATACAAAAAAATAACTTTCACTTTTTCATTAGATAACTGTTATTTTTTGACGAAGTGAAGATTAACACTTCGTCAAAAAAATCCCTGAAATCATACCTTACATACAAAATAAAAAAAATAACTTTCACTTTTTCATTAGATAACTGTTATTTTTTGACGAAGTGAAGATTAACACTTCGTCAAAAAAATCCCTGAAATCATATCTTACATACAAAAAAATACAAAATAAAACTAACTTTATTTTTTCTATCTTAAGGAAATTCATGAAAATTCACGAGGGTGAGAAAACAGGTGAAAAAACGGGTGAGATCTCACCACTTCACCTAAAATATATTTTTGTCGGATTTACGTTCATGTTTGACAAAACATTTACGAAGAAGTTTTGACAAAACATTTACGTTCATGTTTGACAAAACATTTACGAAGAAGTTTTGACAAAACATTTACGTTCATGTTTGACAAAACATTTACGAAGAAGTCTTGACAAAACATATACGAAGAAGTCTTGACAAAACATATACGAAGAAGTTTTGACAAAACATTTACGTTCATGTTTGACAAAACATTTACGAAGAAGTTTTGACAAAACATTTACGATGAAGAAGTTTCGACAAAACATTTACGATGAAATTCATGAAAATTCAAGAGGTTAGAAATGAGGTTAGAAATGAGGTTAGATCTAACATGCTAACATAAACATTATTTTTTGGTCATTTACGCTCATTACGAAGAAGTTTTGACAAAACATATACGATGAAATTCATGAAAATTCAAGAGGTTAGAAAACAGGTTAGAAATGAGGTTAGATCTAACCTTCTACCCGACATTCTCGTCAAATACAAAAAAATGAAAAAAATGACACTTTTTCATTAGATAACTGTTATTTTTTGACGAAGTGAAAGATAACACTTCGTCAAAAAAATCCCTGAAATCATACCTTACATACAAAAAAATACAAAATAAAACTAATTTTATTTTTTCTATCTTAAGGAAATTCATGAAAATTCATGAGGTTAGAAAACATGTTAGAAATGAGGTGAGATCTAACCTTCTACCCTAAACATTATTTTTGTCTGATTTACGCTCATTACGAAGAAGTCTTGACAAAACATATACGAAGAAGTCTTGACAAAACATATACGTTCATGTTTGACAAAACATTTACGATGAAGAAGTTTCGACAAAACATTTACGATGAAATTCATGAAAATTCATGAGGTTAGAAAACAGGTGAGAAATGAGGTTAGATCTAACCTTCTACCCTAAACATTATTTTTACTGAATTTAGCAACAAAATGAACGAGGTCAGGATGTATGTTGCTGAATTCATTCATAACACCCTTTGTAAGCTCATAAAATGCTTGTTTTGAGGTCGAGCCACTTTTGGCTCCACCGTATTCTTTCAACCAAAACTCAAGAATTTCCCGCATGAATTTTGTATAAAAACCAACCGTCGGAATTCCGGCGGTTGCTATATTCTTCACAAAACATTTACGTTTAGTTTACGAAGAAGTCATGAAAATTCAAGAGGGTGAGAAAACAGGTGAGAAAAGAGGTGAAATCTCACCACTTCACCTAAACATTATTTTTTGGTCCGGGAACAACTTTCTCTCAATTGGAGCTGTAGCATACTCTTTGCGTAAGCGGTTCAGACCTTCTTCGAACTCTTGGTCTCTCTTCGATTTGGATTGAGATTGGAATTGCTGGGGTGGAGCTTGCTGGAACATCCAAGGGTTGGGGAAGTAAGGCATAAGCTGAGGAGGGTAGTTCGGGAAGCCTTGTAGTGGAAATTGGTAGTAACCTTGAGGTGGAAATTGGTAGTAATTTGGATTGAGATTGGAATTGCTGGAACTGAGGTGCAGGGGCTGGTGCTTTCGGTTCTTCTGGATTGAGATTGGACTCGGTTGGTGGGACGTGGGACATTCGTTGGTGGCTTAACCGTCGGACCACAACGATAAAAATCTCTGCTACTAGCAGTACTTCTACTGACAGTAGAAGTACTTTTACTGACAGTAGCAGTACTTTTTCTGACAGTAGAAGTACTTTTTCTGACAGTAGAAGTACTTTTACTGACAGTAGAAGTACTTTATCGTCGAAAACCCTCTCAAATTTTCCTTTTTACTGACAGTAGAAGTACTTTTACTGACAGTAGAAGTACTTTTACTGACAGTAGCAGTACTTTTTCTGATAGTAGCAGTACTTTTACTGACAGTAGCAGTACTTTTTCTGACAGTAGCAGTACTTTTACTGACAGTAGCAGTACTTTTACTGACAGTAGCAATGGTCGAGGTCGAACCTACCGACGAGGCAGTTTACCTAATTTAAATTAACGAGCTTGTTAAAGACTACTTGCGCAAGGTCATGAAGCCCAAGGTCAAGTTCACCACTATTTCTGGAAGGGCTGCCTTGAATCTCGAGATTTCGACTGGAATTCCAATTGAGGTACCAGAAAACACTCCTTTCGACGACATAAAGCAAGCAAAGAAGGAAGCCATTATAAAGTTCTTTGCCAAACGTCCTTGGATACTACTTCCAAACAGAGAGAGTCCAATTCCACGAATTATACAAATTCTCAGAGCACTGTTCCACTACTCTGGTCAGCCGTTCTACATAACCTCAGAAGGCGACATCCAGCCAGTTCAGTAAACATCTCATTTTAACTCACTTTTTTATGTTTTTTGTGAAAGTGTCAAAAATAAATTGTTTTCATGAGTTTTCTACGATGTTAGAAAAGTGGTTAGAAAACGTGTTAGATCTAACATGCTAACATAAACATTATTTTTCAATACTTTTTCAGCACTTTTCCGTAGTTATATATGAAAGACAATTCGAGATAAAAGTCATAGTACAATGAAATAATATGTTGCACACCATTTGTTGTGAACCAAACTTGAAAGTCAGAGAAACTGTTACTAGGTGGTTCGTAGAATTTAGAAGCAAAGTCATAAAAGTCCTTACCAATACATAGAAAACTATTGTTGCTTGAACTGAAACTTGCATGACACATAACATTTTGAGGGTCAAACACGTTTCTATAAACTGTCAAATCTGCTGGTGGAAGTATAAATTTAAATGGACCATCTGGTGGTAATGGTTCGTTCTGGTTTAGTAACCGAAGAAATTGTGCCCAAGAACGTTTGTCTACTTTCCAAAATAAAAACTCTGTATCTCTTGGAGGGTTAATTTCAATCTTTTGAAATGAAACGGTGGAGTTCATCTTGTCATATTCTAGTTTCAGATAGTATGTTCCATTTAGTAAAGAGTCGTATTTTCTTGAAATTCCCAATAATATTTGTTCATTTGAGTTTGAAAGTCATTTAGAGTTTTCTCAAGACTTTCGTCTGAACGAACTGTAAAGATTCTCATTTCGTCAAATTTGTCTATTAGACCATCAGAACCTTTATACTGCCCATGAAAATATACTGCGAACATAAATGCGTTAGTTCTATTTGAAAACAAAACTCTTCTAAATCCTATTGCCTTTGCATCTGAAGGACTTTGAAGCCAACGAATTGGATAGTCAAACCTGTATGCTCGGGATGAAATTTCTTCATCTGATATATTCCTACCAGCATTTGTAAAGATATAGTCTAACGGTTTTGTATCTGCTACTTTTGTTCTTTGTTTTTCAACCTGAAGCATTTAATATATGTAAAAATATATTGTTTCAAAATGGTATGCCATTTCATATTTCTCATCTAACAAACAAGTTTCCTTCAACTTGAGGTTCACTAACAAACTCAGCGTACAGTTCAAATAAAATTTAAAAAATATTTTTTTCTTTACTTTACATAACCGCCTGCTGCCATAAGTCTTTGACGCCAACCCATACCAGCTAATGAAGGTTGACTTGGTTTAGTTTGGAAACTAAACTTTGGTTTTGGTTTATCTTCAGTTTTTGGTTTTTCTTCTTCTATCGGTTTTTCGTCACTTTTCGGTTCCTCTGACTTTACTTCACTTGCAGGAACAGTTGTGTCGTCAACATCTTCATAAATTCATATGCCATTTGTTTTTGTTTTCCTTTCAACTTTTTGTGTTTGTTGTAAAGTTTAGAATATTTCGACTCTAAGTCAATGAGATGTTCTATAATGAACTGTTGGTCAGTGAAGTAAACTTTTCCATCTGTTGTCTCGAAAGCTCCTTCAGACTTCAATATTTTATTTGTGAGAGTCTGTTTCTTTTTTGAGATACTAGCCGTTCCATTTTTATGAAAAGTGACTTTGTAGTTAGGGTTTGTATTTCCAGACCTGGCACTTTCTATTATTGAATTTTTCTCTTCATCTGTAAGTTCTTTGACAGGTTTTGACAATGGTTCTGAACTTTTTGTTTGTGGTGTCAAATCTACCGTTTCAACTTCTTCGGTCATTTCATCTCAGTAAAAAAATTTTAGTTTGGTTTGTTTTCAACTGGTTGTTTAGGTTTTTTAAGTCGGTCTAAAACTTCCTGAGGTATAGGAAGAACTTGACAAACACGTGGTGTAACTGCTGGAAGTCGACAAATCCATCTTGAACCCATTTGTCTCAATGCTGTATTGTTCATTTCATCTCAGTAAAAACTTTACATTCCCCACGTTTGAGGCGGTTGAGGTTGGTTATTGTTTACCCATTGTTGTGCATGGTTATATCCTCTGTTAAAGAATCTTTCACCTTGGTCCATATAGTGTCCTGCTTGGTTATAGTAGTCATTTGCTTTGTTATAATAGTTTCCTGCTTGTCTTCCTACATTGTCCATCCATCCTTGAACTTTTCCTCTTGTTTCAGGATTTGGAATAAGATTTGTTGCATCTCGTGCTACATCCCAACCTTTCTGTACAGTTTGTATAATAGGTTGTGCTTTCTCTTTAAGTATACCTAATGTACTCAAAATCTTCCTTCCAATTCCAAATGCACCTCTGGCTATTGTTCCCACTGCGGGTAAAAATCTGGAAGCGACTCCTGCTAATGCGCCAAATAAACCCATTTCTTATGGGTTAAAAAATGACGAATCCAAACAAGGACCCCTATGTTTCTAAAGCGACAAAGAAAGCACTCATGATAAAAATCTTTAGTTCAACACCAAATGCTTGGTTTATGGATATCTTGGAAAACATTCCGAGGTATAGAGAAGATGGACCACCATACTGGCTAATATTTGTTGGTCAAAACACAAGATACTGTGAAGCCATACCATTATGGTCCAAAAATATTTTAGATGTGAAAACTGCTTTGACAATATTCGTTGACAAATACCATCCAACAAAACTGACATCTGACTGTGAAAGTTCTTTCAAATCAGATGATATTAAAAACTATCTGCGTTCAAAAAATGTAAACCAATATTTCATTGTCGACCAAAACCATTCTGCTCTTGGTGTCATTGACGGTTGTAAAAAATGTTAAGAGACTTAAACCAACCACAAGGTGGTGAAGCAAATGAAATGTCATATGACGACAAGTATAGACACTTCTCCATGGCAAAGATGAGACAAGTTTTAAATATTTACAATAACCGTAAACAAAAAGGTTTGGGAAACCACTCCCCCGAAGAAATGAAAAACAACCCTGACTTAGAGAAAGACTATATATTTAATAATTTAGTCAAAAGAGACAAACAAGAAAGAATGCCGGGCTTCAAACTTCGGAAGGGTGACAAAGTAAAAATAGAAATACCTAAACGCGACCCATATGAAAATACTATTGACTATGACAACAATGGGAACTCGACAGGTACTCACATTCGTGTTCGTAAAAATAGAAGAAAGTATACAAGAGAATATTATGAAGTTTTAGGCAAACATGGCAAAATGTACACACTGCAAGCAGAAGATAAAACTACTATTGCCAGACCTCGTTTCAAACTTGTCAAAGTTCAAGGTGGTATACTTTCAAAGACAGTTCCTAACAAATATAAGACAACTCCTGACGAATATGCTAAAGAAGTTGAAAATGACGACTAAGCATTTCTATACCATGCGTAAACTGTCATGTAAGGTGGCATGTATTCTTTACTTTGTCCCGTTGTTTGTGTATATCCTGTAACGCGATGTGTATGGTTTCCATCTCCCTGAGTGTTACCCCAGAAACAATTTATAGCAAACTGAACGTCGTCTTTAACATCATATCCTTTACCTTTTTTCAAGCCGTGCCAATCCCAAAATTTATGCTTATGCCAACCTGCTTGAGATGTACTTAAATCTATGTAGTGACTGTGTGCAGGTAAATTTTCACCCGAAATCGTTTTACTTCCACCTGTTTCCTTTGAAGAGTTTGCACAATACAAAAACCTGTCGACTATTTGAGTCCAAGTTCCAAAACCAAGTACTACTTCTGGATTTGTTGAGTTCATTGACGTATAAATAGAGCCTATAGGATATAATGTTTGAAGTATTTCTGTCTTTAATGTTTGAAGCTCTGTTTTGTCTGCTTTCTTGTCATATAAATCTTGAGCAGTGAATTTAATATTATGTTCATCCTTCATGACATAAACATCTTTACATCTAATGTTTCTCATCGTCGTTATGTCGTCATCCGATGTTAAACCTTGTGGAAAGTTAGGAGGTTTCCAATATAATACATCCCCACCAGTTTCTTCAACCGTTCCTTCAATACTTTCTATAGCAACAGTTGTGAAGGAGTTATGTGTATGGTTCTTGTCTGCTTTCTTTTCAAGGCTAACGTTTAAGTCTGTTATTTCAGAAGATGTATGTGTATGTCCAACGGCACTTTTCCTGTTTAAGGTTTCTTGTAAGTTTGTAATATTTGCAATGGTATGTGTATGTCCAACGGCACTTTTCCTGTTTAAGGTTTCTTGTAAGTTTGTAATATTTGCAATGGTATGTGTATGTCCAACGGCACTTTTCCTGTTTAAGGTTTCTTGTAAGTCTGTTATTTCAGATATAGAATGTATATGAGTCTTTTTAGAATATTCGTTTTCAGCTCTTGTCACTTCACTTGACATTTTATTGTCAACATATGTTTTGTCTGCTAGTTCAGGATGAGTATGTTCTTTTGTTGCATAAGCATTGTTAGCTCTTTCTTCTTCTTTTGCTATTGCATCGTCTACATATTCTTTGTCAGCTTTGTTGTCAACATCTGCCTTCAAAAGAAGTTCATTTATAGGTTTCTCGTTTAAAGTTCCTTTTGTTGGATTTATACAGACAGTATGGTTCTTATTGTCTTGAAACAGAAACTCATCTGTCATTGGGTTTAATGTCAGTTTTAAGTTTCCTTCTTTCAATGACTCAGATATCTTAGAATAGTTTGAAAAGTTTGTTGTGTTCTTATTTAGAGCTTGCATAATGAGTTGTCGGTTGTGTTGTATTTCTCTTATGGAAGCAATATCTTTCGACATTTTTTATTCTAGAAAAATATGCTTCCAATAGAAAAAGAAAATTCAAGAGTTGCTACAACTAAACCATTAGATGAACTTTTTACTAATGTCGGTCAAAAGTTTGAGACAGAGACCGTAAAGCATGAAGGCTATCGTTTTGACTACCCATTAAGATGGCTAAGAGACCCATCTGTCACAAAAGCTATTGGCTTTCGTAGAATGAAGTTCATTCAGAAGCCATACATGGTTTCCCATTTACGGTCGGTTTTGAAGTTTCGATACTATAACAAAGAAAAACGTATGTATGAGAAATTTGAACAGGGAAAACTTTTACAAGTTAGTTTGCTTGTAAACTTAGAAACAACTCTTCAAGCTTTTCAAGAAAAAATAAACGACATCTATATCGAATATGCAAACCAGTATAACATTGACGAAGGAGAATACCATCTCGATATTATTTATGACAGGAAAAATGCAACTGTTAAAATCAATAGAATAGAAGACCTTGGAGAAACGTTTATATTTCTACAAATATAACAACTTGGCATGGTATAGATTTATGAGATGTTAAATCAGCCTGCAGCATATCCAGTACACCCAGACTTTTATGAAGTCGAAAACCCTAATGGAACATATGAAAATGTTTTCGACCAAGATGCTATTATTGTTCATGCTTCATTTTCTGGCGCCCAAAACTCTTTCTTATGCTTGGCAAATGACTTTTACGAAAAACCTACAAAGTTATATGAACCACCAAGTGGAAGTATTTCAGACTTTCAAGTATGGTTTACTACAGATGGAAGAAAAAGAATAATTCCATTATACCATGCGTTTTACTTAGAACTTAGTTTCATATACAACTACTATCGAACGGTAAAAATATAATTTTTAATACGGTTGAGGTGTTGGATTTGGTTGCCAACTAGACTGTGTGCAGGTTCAGGCTGTTGTATAACAGGAGCTTGTTCTTCTGGTTCAGGGTCTTTAGGTATAATACCAACGAACTGACTACTCTTTTACCAATATTTTTGACACCGTTCCATACTCCTCTTCCGACAGATTTATTCCATTCCATATACCTCTTCCAACTCTTTCTGAAGAAGTTTCCAATACTACTAAAGAAACCCATTTTACTATATGTAAAAATCTAATGTCGCCTAGTCTTACGTTTCCTGTTGAGTTCCATAGCATTCTTTAACTGGAGCTCATACATTCTGTTTTTCTCCTCTGGTAGAAAACATATTCTGGGTCAACTCCTGTGTTCGCGTCATCTGCATAAAGTTGTTTATATCCCACTTCAGGGTTTGTATAAAAACTCTTTCCATCTCATATTTGCATACCATGGTGGCAAACCTAACGCAGCGTCATTTACATGGCAGTTTGCATTTGTACATCTGTTGGACTTGACCATAGTTTGCCATTGCAGTTTGTATTCTAACTTCATTTGGAATATTCTCTGGTTTGGTTGTCCAGGTTGCTGTGCATTCGCTAAGTTCTGTGCGTTCCATTTAATATTAGATAAAATATCTCTTACGAGTACATATACTGAACATTTGCAAGGCATTGTGTTCATCTTCATATTCTCTGTACTTTTCTGCCACGTCAAATAAATAAATGACACAATGAAAAAACTAAAACAAGTAGTCCTATTTCAAACCACATTTACTTACTAATAAAATTTCTTTGTTATGACAACTTTCTCCAGTTTATAGGACCTCTCTCATATTCTATCTTGTCATATATAAACTCATAGTATGTATGTCCTCTAGCCATCTCATAACGGTTCCAAACCACTTTTATCGGATGTAAAGTAAAAGCATGATGGTTATGTATAACGTCTAAAGTTTCTAAAGAGTCTCTCAAAGTCCAGTCTACTTGGTATTGAAAATCCCATGTGTTATAGAACGGCGGGTCCACTATAAAGAAAACATTTTCCTTGTCTTTATATTTTTCATACAACTCTGTCCAATGACATCTCACAAACTCTATACCCTCAATATATTTTTCTATGTTCTCTTTGAAAACATTTGTATAGTTAAGATATAAAACTTTGACATAAGTGTTTCAATGTCATGAACTCTTATAGCACCGCTATATAATAGTCTAGCAGATATACTATTCCAGTCTATATATTCTGCTTTTTTCAAAACCTCTCTCACAATATTTTTGTTATCTAATGGTATACGTTCCATCTTACCTATAGGTATCTTTTCTTTTAACTCTTTCAATATATTGTTTGTGTCTGGAATATGTTTGAGACGGTCCATATAGTTGTCGAAGTCATTGCATATAATCTTTGAGTCAGGAAATATTGTATGACATAAATGGGATATATAGAAACTTCCACCGAACAAATCTACAAATGTTAGACCATTCGGTAGTTTCTTAAGTTCTCTCAATATAATATCTTTACATCTACTCTTATTTCCAAAGAACGGTAATGGTGGTTTTGTAAAATTCATTTATATATAATAATAAAAATGTTTTTACCCGAAAAGTGACAGAAAAGTGACAAAACGTGAAAACATATATAATTTGTGAAAAGCGACATAAAAAGTGACATTTTAAAAAGTGACACCATTAATATGATGTAAATAACAACGGTTTTGGTTTTGTCACCGGTTGGTCGGCTGGGGTTCGGTCCTCCTCTTGGGTCTTGGGCAAAATTCTTAGGGCTAGAAGGGGCGCAGCCCCTGGAAGCCCCTCATACCTGACCTGAATAAAACTATAATATAAAATAAATGAAGTTTAATGAAACAATAAAGGTTAAATAAATAATAAAGATTTTTATTTTATATCAGTATTGAGAAGAAGTAACAGCTGACACTTGGTAGACAACTTCTTTATGTCTAGAAAATTCTATCTTGCCTTTTATTTTTTTCTCGCTGTGAAACGTATTCGGTCATTTTTTTAAAAATTAATTTTTTGTTAGAGATAAGAGCTAAAACTCGGTAAACAACTTCTTTATGTCTAGAAAATTCTATCTTGCCTTTTATTTTTTTCTCGCTGTGAAACGTATTCGGTCATTTTTTTAAAAATTAATTTTTTGTTAGAGATAAGAGCTAAAACTCGGTAAACAACTTCTTTATGTCTAGAAAATTCTATCTTGCCTTTTATTTTTTTCTCGCTGTGAAACGTATTCGGTCATTTTTTTAAAAATTAATTTTTTGTTAGAGATAAGAGCTAAAACTCGGTAAACAACTTCTTTATGTCTAGAAAATTCTACCTTGCCTTTTATTTTTTTCTCGCTGTGAAACGTATTCGGTCATTTTTTTAAAAATTAATTTTTTGTTAGAGATAAGAGCTAAAACTTTGCAGACAACTCCCCCATGTCTAGCAAATTTAACATTCGTCTCCCATTTTTATATATTTGGTTTAGAATGTTCGAAAATGCGTAATATGGTCATTAATATTAATTGAAAAGAACCTTGAATTAATTCAATCTGATCTCACAAAATATTTTAAATTACAAACTTTGTAGTTTGAATAGATAATTAGTATTAAACTCAAATAACTAGTTTATTTTTGAATAAAAATTATTTGAATTTATTCAATTTTGTGAATTTTCCTTCAGAAATCAAGTTTAAATATCTTATTTGCCATATAATTATAAATACAATGAAACATATTCGAAATTGAAAAGAATGACTTTTTCTGTTCTTTCAATCATTCAATTTGAATTTTGCAATATTGGATTTCTCATTGAATAGCTATTAAAAACAACAAGCAATTTAACTTACATTCAAATTTATTTGTGTTATATTCAATCTTCTCAAAACTTATAATTTTCGGCTATAGCATGATTCTATGCTATATAATATAATAAACCTATAATAGTATCATTCTTTCAATTATTTGAAGAGAAAACCGAAAAAATCTATTTTCGGTCTATAACAATATCTTTGTCTGATTTTGTTAGATTTACAAATTATAACCTTTTGGCTGACACGAGAAATCTTAATTGAACAATACATTATAAAGTATATACAGTACTTTTAACATTAACCTTGCATTTTACATCAAATTTTTGTTAACAAATAATTCAAATTAGTTTTATTTGCTTGACATCCTATTTAGAATTTTTTCCGACAGTAAAACGATGAAAAGTGAAATGGAAAAATTCTCTCAATTTCATTTCAAAGGTAAGTAATGAATAAATTTTATCTAATACAATCGTTGATCAAGAATCGGATGTATATCTTAGCGACTTGAATAGATTATTCCGATCAAATATTAGTATATTAAAACGTTGTCAGATATTTTGAACTTTATTGTTTTAAAGAAATCGATCTTTTCTCTTTTAAACGAACTTCAATTATGCCAGTCTGACATTTTAAAGCTCCACTCTAACTTCAATTTGTATCACACTTTGGGATTAGGGGACAAATTTTCTATTTAATATAAATTAAAATTAAAATCTGAAAGTCCCAGTAGTATATTGGTTAGAATAGATCCTTGACACGGATCAGAGGCCAGTTCGATTCTGGCCTGGGACATTTTTTTCTTTTTACATTTCCATAACACCTTCATAAGATGATAATGATAAATCCATATACTGTACATTATGCAATTAGATATATAATCAAAATTGATTGATATTTTAAGAAAATTACTCGAAATCCCATAAGACGTCTGTTGATTAGGAAACGATCATAAGTGTTCAATTCTATAAGTTGATTTTATACGATAACATCCTTGTTTAGGAAATTATCATAAATTCGCACATATTTTTGCTTCGTTGGAATGAATGAAGCATTTTTTACTCTGAGGATGCCGTAAGACCTTCATTTATGTAGAATAGCTAATAGTGCAATGTGTTTATATTCCTGTAATATAAATTTTGACGTTGAATTGCAGATCATAAAAGTGACAATTTCAACAACTCTTCATTAATTATCTATTTGATAACATTAGCAATCGTGGAATTCATTTAAAAGTTTTAACTCTTTGAAAATCATTTAAAAATGTTTTTGTTTTGTTCATTATCCCGTTCCTACCTTTATCAACTCCATGAAGAACGTGCATTTCTCTCATGGATGAGGGAAACTGGTAACGTTTTCACAGGGGATGAATATCATTTCAGGTTAGGAATCTTTTTGAATTCAAAAAGATTCGTTGAGGAGCATAACAGGAAAGAAACATCATTCAAACTTTCATTAAATAGCCTTGCACACCTTACTCCTTCTGAATACTAAACACTTTTAGGAGGAAAACAAATGAATTTTGAATCAAAAACTATCAAAGAATTAGAAACAATAGTTGGTGATATCCCAGATGAAATTGACTATCGTACTAAAGGAGCTGTAAATGAAATTAAAGACCAGAAGCACTGTGGTTCTTGCTGGGCTTTCGGTTCTTGCGCAGCTATGGAAAGTTCATGGTTTTTGAAGCATGGAACATTATACAGCTTATCAGAGCAATGCCTTGTTGACTGCTGCCATGACTGCTTAGGTTGCCACGGCTGCCTTCCTTCTCTTGCTTTCGAATACGTCAAAATTTTCATGCATGGACTTTTCGAAACAGAAGATTGGCGCGGTTTCCATTCAATTTTTCAATGCTATGCAGTTGGCAACAGATACTTGAAAATGATAAATCAAAATAAATATTGTATGATGATGCAAATATACTGATTTAATCTTATCGTTAAATTTAAATTATTTATGCCTTAAGTTATTGATTTCTCCTATTATTTTATATTAGAACCTTGGAGAATTTCGATTTCAAAAAATAACCATTTACTACATTCAATTTTTATAATTCACAATTTTATATTTTCTTCATTTCTGATGTCTGCTGTTGGAAAACCTCATCCCAAAGAGAAATTTACACCTGCAGAAGATGTAAAACTACGTGCCCTAGTCCAATTCCTAGGAACAAGCTCTTGGAATAAAGTTGCAGAATTCATGGGCACTCGAAACGCGCGCCAATGCCGAGATAGATATAAAAACTATCTTGCTCCAAACTTATGTACCAAACCATGGACTTTGGAAGATGATGAAAAGTTAAATAACTTAATTAATACGATGGGGAAGAAATGGTCACAAATTGCCAAGGAATTCCCAGGTAGAACTGATATAAATATCAAGAGTAGGTGGATGCTGCTTCAACGACAGTTGGCACGCGAAAAAGAAAATTCCAAAAAGTCGAATAACTTTTTCAATTCAATAGAAGAGCTCTCATTAGATATATCAGATGAATGCAATCTTCCCGTTGCTTCAGATTTATCAGATATTACAACAGATACAATTTATCCAGATTACGAATTCCGCCTATAAACTTCATTTGTTTTAGTTTCATGTAAATAATAAATGTATAATATTGTTAATTATTTCATTGAGACCTAATATGCTTTCCTTCGAAAATTATTTTTGTGAATGGATCCGCTGTCTCGGGGAGATAGTAGAGAGACATAAACCTCGGTCTTTCAGATATTAATATTTTGTCAAAGTTATAAAGAATTTTAAGAATTTTACAATTAAACATTTAGAGTGGAGTTCAGCGATCATTATTTAATTTTATTTTGTATCTTATCTCATTTAAGATCATTCACTTCCTTAATGCAAATTTTATAAATTCTTCAATGTTGATCAAATTTTTCAACCAAGCGTATGAAAGATATAAAGGCAAATTTAGTATATTGTAAGTGAAGTATTGATTTTTTACTTTATTATCCATGATTAATCGAGATAAAATTTTCCTTGAATTTCGATCATCATTAAAATACCACATTCGATTCAAGCCGTATGTGTCGGCTATCAATACTCAAATATAACTTATACATCTCTTAGTTTTAGGAAATGCTCGAAAATTGATCGAAAATAATAACCTGGATTTTTTCATTTCGTTTGTGAAATGCATGCTAGAAATCAGCATAAAGTATCATAATAAAATGTAATGAAGATTTTGTTTCTTGAAAATTTAAATTTTTTCTTAAATAGTAACTTTTTCTTGTAATCTAATGAACAAAAAAATCTGTTTCTAAAAGCTTTTAATCTACAATTTTCAACTAAAGAAGAATTAAAATTCATTTCTGTTTTTATAAAACAGTTTGTATAAATTATTATAAACAATTTTCTTTATCCGAACATATTACATGATTTAATATAATTAAATATAAAACATAAAAAACATGAAATTAAATAAAAATTAAATTATTGACTTGTTCTGATGTATTGAGGCACTTGTGCTCTTAACTGTTGTGGCATTCCTCTCTTGAGTGCTTCAATTTCATATCTCGTTCTAGCGATATCTTTATCCAGGGATCTTATTTCTCTTTGGAACTGAATTTGCAAATTTTCGATTTCTTTCAAATCGATATTGAAGTTAGGCGGACAATTTGCTTCTTTCAGCTCCTGCTCGAGCTGCTTGACTTCATTTTCCAGCTGTTGTCTTGCAGATGGTCCGTATCTAAGCTTCCATTCGGAGAGAGTTCTCGTTAAATTTTCATCTTCAGAGAGCAATTTTCTCAATTTATCTTCCTCTTGTTTTTTGAGTTTCTTGTTGTTCTCGAATTCTTTGTATAGTTTTGGAACATCAGGCTTGCACTTTATTCTTTCCTGTGCGAGTTCTTTTGTCTTTGAATCCAAAATCCAGCGATGATCATTGACTTTTGTTGTCAAATGGTTCAAGATTTGGTTGCTTTCTTCTATCTTTTTGTCCAAGTCAATGATTTCTGTTCTCTGTTTCGCGTAGTTCTCTTCCAATGTCCTTCTGAGTTCCTGGCGTTTGAATTCTTCATCAGAGATGTCGCCTTTTCTTTTAGCAATTTCTTCTTCCAAACCTTTGATTGTTGTGTCCAATTCTTCGTTCTGTCTTCGCTTTAACTCGAGTTCCTGTGTCTTTGAGTCTTTTCTGATTTTATTAAGCATCTCGTGTTTCTCTGTGAACTGAGAGAAATTGTTGATTTCGTCCTTCTTCGCTTTGATGCTTTCTTTGACTTTGTCTATGTCGTCTGTGTTTCTGATTGGATCTGTACCAATTGAGTGTGTCAATGGTTTCGAATCCATGGCTGTCAAAGTCAAAGAAATTGTTGCGGTGTCAATTCTGAGTCTTTCTCGCTCCAGTTTCTGCTCGAAAGCGATGAGAGCGTATTGGTCATGAAGAGATTGGATGTCTGCTTCGTATTTCGCAAGGGATTTCTCCATTCCTTTGATTTTAATTTTCAATAATAAGTTTCTTCTCAGTCTCCTTCGTGCGCTGATGATGAAGTCCTTATTAGTAGGGCTCATTAATGACGGGGGAGGCGTTTCTGGTATCTCTGAGAACTCTTCTTCAACAAATTTGATCGCACTCGGACTCAAAGGAGGAGAAAGGATCAAACTCTGCGGAGTCATGGATTTGTAGTCGATGTTTGGTTTAGGAAACGCTTTCGTGTCTTCATCATCGTCACCTTCGTCATTCAAATTTTTTTCATTCAATTTTGAATTGTTTTGTAACGGTTTTTTAATTGTTTTGTGGATCAAATGAACTCCTTTGATTGAATTTGGATTATTTCGGAGTTTCTGTTTCTCTGAATCTGACAGATGAACTCTACGCCTCCTTCTAGAGTTGTTTTTGTTTGGTCTGATTTTTCTGATGGCAACGGTTGTTGGTAGTTTTTGTAAACTATTCAAATTAGATGGTTGATTATTTTCTTCTTCCTCTTCTTCGTAATCGTTTACTTTGTAGACTGCGTTGTCATCGAAATGCTTCAGTTTTGGAGTTCGAAGTGGAGTAACTGATGAAAAAGTCTTTTCACTTGTTGATTGGCCGGCCAAATCAAGTCTTTCTTCACTTGACTGGTGATGGCGTCTGCTTTTGTTGTTTGACTCTGATGGCTCTTGAACGGGGTATTGGTTCTTATTGTTTTCTATGTCTCCTCTGTGTAGAGTATACTCGTAATCAGGATTCTTTCCGAGATTTGATTTTTCATCAGTTTTCTTTTTAATTTCGTCATCCAGCTTCTTCTTCATCTCTTCTGCAGCTTTCTTTGCTTCATCTTGATTGTTCTTCACTGGTTCTTTCTCTTTGTTGTTGACTTTGTCTTCTTTTGTATTTGGTTTATCAGTTTTTGTTGTTTCTTCCTTTTGTTTTCCTACATCTTTAACTGATTCTTTTGTTTGTGATTGTGGTTGTTTTGTAAGATCTTTGTTTGAATTCGCTGATTCTGTGTTGCTTTGATTTGTTTGATTTTGTTTTCCGAGATCTTTATTTGATTTAATTGCTTCGTTTTGATTTGTTTGTGGTTGTTTTGTAAGATCTTTGCTGGATTTAACTGATTCAACATTTTGATTTTGTGGTTTCGACTGTGTTTCTTCTTTTTGTTTTCCAAGATCTTTTTGACTTTTCACAGAATCATTGTTGTTTTGATTTGTTTGATTTTGTTTTCCAAGATCTTTATTTGATTTGATTGCTTCTTCCTTTTGATTTTCTTTATTATTTGGACTTCCTTTTTTAATGTCGTTTTGATTTTGTTTTGGTTGATCATTTTGATTATTAAGATCTTTGTTGGATTTAATTGATTCTTGATTCTCTTGTTTATTTTCCTTTTGATTTTGACTATTGTTAAGCTGATTTAGATCTTTGTTACTTTTAACAGATTCTTTTGTTTGAGTTTCTGGTTTTGCTCCAGTTTCTTCTTTCTTGATTTGATTTAGATCTTTGTTACTTTTGATTGTTTCATTGGTTGGTTTTTCTGAAGAAGATTTTTGTTCTTTTTCTGGCTCTTTAATATTTGTTTCTGATTTATTTTCTTGTTTTTCTTTGTTATCAGATGCTTCATCTTCCTTTTGATTTGGTTCCTTGTTTTGTGATTGTTGATTTAGATCTTTGTTGGATTTAATTGCTTCTTCTTTTTGATTTTCTGGTTTTGTTTCGCTTTGATTTTGTTTACTGGTTAGTTGAGAAAGATCTTTATCACTTTTAGTTTCTTCCTTGTTTTCTGAAGAAGGTTTTGATTCATCTTGATTTAATTTTTCTTCTAAAGATTTCTTTTGATCAGTTTCTGGTTCTTTAATCTTTTGATCATCTGAAGATTTCTTTTCTTCATTTTGTTTGTTATTTTCTAGAGATTTCTTTTCTTCTTTGTTATTTGGTTTTTCTTCTTCTTTTTGTTTTGAATCTTCTGGAGATTTCTTATTAATTTGTTCTGTTTCTTTCTTTTGTTCATTTTGATTTGTTTGATCTTCTTTTCTGGGTTTGTTTTCTTCTTCCTTTTCTGTTTTGTTTGAAAGAGGAATTAAAACAATTACAGGTTGTTTCTTTTCTTCAGATTCAGTTTTATTTTGTTGTTCATCAATTTCATTTTGTTTGTTGTTTGATTCTGTTTCATTCTCTTGAATTTGTTTAGTTCCATCTTCTTTTGCATTGTTTTCTTGTTTCTTTCCTTGTTTTTCTTCTGGAACTGTTTCTTGTTTCTTTTCATCTGATTTGGAATCAGAAACTTTACTTTCTTCTTTTCCAGGTTTAGATTCACTTTCTTTACTTTGATCTTTAGTTTCTTTACTTTCATCAACTGGATTATTCGGTTCTTTGTCTTGGGAAAGTTTTTCTTTGATGACTGAAGCAAAATCTCTTTGTTCAACTGTTTCTGGTTCTTTTTGATTCTGTTTACTGTCTTCTGAATTCTTCATTCCATCTTCTGCTTCATTTTGTTTTGCCTCTTCATCAGATTTCTTTTTATCTGCTTCTTCAACTTCTTTATTCTTCTTTCCATCTTCCTCTTCTTGTTTTTTGGCTTCTTCAACAGCAGCTTTTCTCTTTTGTTCATCTAAATCCTTTTGTTTTGCTTCTTCAGATTTGATTCTTTCTTTTTCTAATGCTTTCTTCTTTTCTTCATCTAATTCTTTCTGTTTGGCTTCTTTCTTCATCTTTTCTTCTTCAGCTTTCTTTTTTGCATCTTCTTCAGCTTTGATTCTGTCTTCTTCTGCCTTTTTCTTCGCCTCTTCCTCGGCTTTTTGTTTTGCTTTTCCTTCTTCCTCTAATGCCTTTCTTCTTGCTTCTTCTTCAGCTTTCTTTCTTGCTTCTTCTTCAGCCCTTTGTTTTGCCTTTTCTTCTGCTTCTTTCTTCTTCTTTTCTTCTTCCTCCAAAGCCTTCTTCCTTTCCTCTTCAGCTTTCTTTCTTGCTTCTTCTTCAGCTTTCTTTCTTGCCTCTTCTTCAGCTTTCTTTCTTGCCTCTTCTTCAGCTTTTCTCTTGGCTTCTTCCTCAGCCAGTCTTTTAGCTTCTTCAGCTTCTTTCTTCTTCCTTTCCTCTTCTTCCTCTAATGCCTTTCTCTTGGCTTCTTCTTCTTCAGCTTTTCTCTTAGCTTCTTCTTCTTCAGCTTTTCTCTTAGCTTCTTCTTCAGCTTTCTTTCTTGCTTCTTCTTCAGCTTTTCTCTTGGCTTCTTCTTCAGCTTTCTTCCTTGCTTCTTCTTCAGCAAGTCTTTTTTCTTCTTCAGCTTTTCTCTTGGCTTCTTCTTCGGCCCTGATTCTCTCTTCTTCAGCTTTCTTTTTAGCAGCTTCTTCAGCTTTTCTCTTGGCTTCTTCCTCAGCAAGTCTTTTTTCTTCTTCAGCTTTCTTTTTAGCAGCTTCTTCAGCCTCTTTCTTCTTTCTCTCTTCTTCTTTGATTAGATCTTGAATTATTTTCTGTTTCATTGCTTCTTTGGCTTCTTCTGCTTTCTTCTTTGCTTCGACTGCGCTGTTTTCTTTTGCTTCTTTTTCGCAAGCTTTTCCTTCATTTGCCACTTTCGAAGAATCGACTTTTTTATGTAAATTATCAGCAAAATTCTGCAGTTTCTTTCTCATCTGATTTGCAGCTATTTCTCCTGCAATTTTCTGTGAATTTTGATTCAATCCGCGTGATTTAGCATCATTCTCAGCATCTTTTCTTGCATCTTCAGCTGCTTCTTTGATGATTTTTTCGACATCTTTCGGATCAGAATTTTCAATTTGTTTTCTTCTCAAAAACTCTTTATTTACTTTTTCTGCCTTCTTTTGTGGATCATTTATTTCTCCAAACTCTCTTATCTTCATCTCTGCAGCTGATTCACCCTCTTTTGCCTTCTTTTCATCATCCAACACAGCTCTTTTTATTTCATTTTTGGCATTTTCTTCGCAAACTTTCTTTGGTTTCGAATTTATTTGCGAATTATAAACTTTTTCGGCTTTTGCGAGAGGAGTATTGTTCATTCTATCGAAGTATCTTTCGCTCTGGTCCTTGAGGACTATTGCCTGGAACGGTCTCTTCAGTTTCTTCTCTTCCAAATCTCTTTTCTTCCTTTCTTTCGCTTCTTCTCCGTTTTTCTTCGTTTGTTCTTCATCTAAACCTTTCTGTTTGCTCTCTTTCATCGCGCGTGCTTTAGCAAAGTTGGCCAGTCTCTCTATATACTCTTCTTTGGCTTTGTTTTTGGCAATCTCTCCAAGTTTTTCTTTTTCTGCAGGTGTCAAATTTTTGTCACTTTTTTCGATTTCTTTTTGTTTTTGATCTTCAGCGAAAGAATAAATTTCTGCGATTTGGTCTTCTAGTTCGAATTCTTCCTCTAGTTTCTGTTTAGTTTCTGAAGCAACTCTTTCACCAATTTCCTTTTGTTTTTCCTCATTGAAACCCTTTTCTTTTGCTTCGTTTATTGCGTTGTTTCTTGCTTCTTCGACTGTGTCTTCTATGAGTGATTTTCTTTCTTCGTTTTCGAAGAACTTTTCAACTTGTTTTCTCATTTCATCTTCATTGTTTTTCGTGTTGTATTTTTTTGCTCTTTCCTTTGCGTCCAGTGCTGCGATGTCTCCAAGTTTCTTCGCTTTTTCGTCGTCAATTCCTTTTTCTTTCGCTTTGTTCATTGTGATTGATTTCGCTGCTTCTGTGAACTCTTTAATTGCGTGGTATCTTGCGAGGTTTTCCGCTTGTTCACCAGCGTTTTTCTGTTCTTGTTCTGGGACACCGACATTTTTCATTTCCTCTTCCACTTTGACTCTGCATTCTTGTGCTGTTGTCTCTATGAGTTTCGCGTTTTCTGGTTCGAGGAAGTCCTCTCCAGCTACGATTTGGGAAAGAACAGATAGTTCTTGTTGGAGATTTTGATTGTTTTCTTTGGATTGTGAGTTTTCTTCGATGAAATCTTTGATTAAGTCATTTCTTTTGTCTGATGCTGCTTTTTCTGCTGATTCTGAATCAAATCCACTGTCTTTTGCCTTTTGTTTCTCGTGTTCGCACTCAGCATCGATTTCGTTTTTGATTTTTCCGATGTCGAAGTCGAAAGAAAGAATTTCGTCGTCAATGAAACCTGAGACAGCTTGTGCAGTGATTTCTGCTGACTTCCTCGCTGAATCTGCATCTCTCTGCGCTCCAGCAATTGAAGACTCCGCTGCCTCTGCTCCCTTCTTTCTCTTCTCTTCCAATTCTTTTCTTTTTCTCTCTTCTTCTTCAGCTAATTTCCTTGCTTCTTCTTCTTGTTTCTTTTTGAGTTCTTCAGCTAATTGTTTGGCTTTTTCCTCTTCGTCTTTTCGTTTTTGTTTTTCTAATTCTTTTCTCTTCTTTTCTTCTTCCTCTTGTTTCTTTTTGAGTTCTTCTGCTTCTTTTCTCTTTTTCTCTTCTTCTTCAGCTAATTTCCTTGCTTCTTCTTCTTGTTTCTTTTTGAGTTCTTCAGCTAATTGTTTGGCTTTTTCTTCTTCGTCTTTTCGTTTTTGTTCTTCTAATTCTTTTCTCTTCTTTTCTTCTTCCTCTTGTTTCTTTTTGAGTTCTTCTGCTTCTTTTCTCTTTTTCTCTTCTTCTTCAGCTAATTTCCTTGCTTCTTCTTGTTTCTTTTTGAGTTCTTCAGCTAATTGTTTGGCTTCTTCTTTACGTTTTTGTTCTTCTAATTCTTTTTGTTTTCTTTCTTTTTCTTCAGCCAATTTCTTTTCTTCTTGTTTCTTTTTGAGTTCATCTGCAATTCGCTTTTGTTCTTCTTCTTCAGCTAATTTTCTTGCTTTTTCTTCCTCTAATTTCTTCTTTTGAAGTTCATCTTGTTTCTTCTTTTCTTCCTCTTCTTCTTTTTGTTTTTTCTCTTGTTCCTCAGCCAATTTCTTTTGTTTTTCTTCCTCTTCTTTTCTCTTTCTTTCTTCTTCAGCTAATTGTTTTGCCTTTTCTTCCTCTAATTTCTTCTTTTGTTTTTCTTCTTCTAATTTTCTGGAATTTTCTTCTTTTTGGAGTTGTTTCGCTTCGATTTCTTTCTTTTCTTGTTCCTCTTTCTGGAGTTGCTTCAGTCTGTTCTCTATTTCCTGTTTATCCTTTTCATTTTGTCTTTGTTTTTCTTGTTCTTCCTCTTTCCTCTTTTTCTCTTGTTCTTCAGCTCTTTTTATTGCTTCTTGTATCTTTCTCTTTGTTTCTTCTTCATCATTATCTTGCTTTTGCTTCTCTTCTGCAAGTTTCTTCTTCGCTTCCTCTTCTGCCCTCATTCTTCTCGCGATTTCGGATTTGTCGATCGGATTTTGAGGTTCTTGAACTGGTTTAGAGCTTTCGAACTTTCTGGAGTCATCAACATCCATAAGTAACTGAACTTTGTACGGACTTTTCGGACATGCGTCGGCACTTTCCATTTGAATATCTAATTCACCAGGATTTTTCTGGGATTTGCTCCTGCTTCTTCTAGGAGTTGATGGCTTTTGTTTAAGAGGTTGCTTTATGATAGCGCTTGGCCGCTTGGGAGTTGTTGGTGTTGATCTTTGATTTTTTCTGCGAGGTGAGTATTCGTCAGCAATCGAAGCGCTTGACAATTCTTCTCCATTCAAGTCAATGGGTGCTTTGGACGAAACTGAACTGTTATTTGTCTGCGAGGATAAATTTTCGAAATATTTTCGAGAAGAAGTAGCTCTGTGAGGCGTAATATTGCCTGTATTTGATGGAGCTCTAATATACGTAATTAATTTCTCTTGATTTTGCTTTGAAGGAGATCTCAGAGAATCTGACTCAAAAGTTGAAGAAGAAGTCTCTGAAAATAGTAAACTCGAGGTCATTCCACTCTGTATTCGAGAAGGATTAGTAAGAACATCATGAAAATCTTGAAAAACTGGTTCTAATTGAGCTAATTGTTTATCTAATTCTGCAAAAGGATCTGCTCCTGATTCATTGTTCGCTGTATTATCTTCGATAATATTTTTGTTGTTCTGCTCGTTCTTTTGAACTTGAAGTCGAATATTATATAAAAATTGTTTGTGGGATGTAGTTAAGAAGGATTTGTTTTGCTCAAGTAATCCAAGAAGTCTCCATACTTCCTCTGTCAGTTCTTTATTCATTTTAATAAGATCTTTTGATGTAAAATTGTAATCAATGATTAATTGGACGACTTCTTGTTCTTTTTTGTACTTATTCTCAAGCGAATTGTATTTTTCTAGCATTTCATCGAGTTGTTTTCGTGATTGGTCGATTTTAACCTTCAAATCTTGGTGGTAATCTTTATCTAACGAATTTTCATAACTTTCTTGATATTTTCTCAATCGTCTATACGATGAATCTTTCTTTTTTATTGTGTTATTTCGTTCTTCCTGAATATTTGCAATAGATTTTTGTAATTCCACATATTTTGATAGAGTTGCATTTAATTCATTTTGCAAAATTTCATTACTGTTAAGAATAGAATCTGTTTCTCTCATTAAGTGATTCGCATACTTAACGTATTCGTCTCTTTCAGATTCTAATTGAGGAATTATATCGGTATCATTTGAAACAAACCGAGTAGTACGCTTAAATGGCTTGTTTATAGTATTATTTCTTGAGTTGCTACCGCTCCTCGCTAGCGATGGCAGCCCCGACATATACTAACGGTTAAATTTGATATATAAAGAAATTCTTGATCGATTTATTTAACAAAATTAAAGTGTTCATGATGAAATAGATATATTTTTCAAAAATAAAATAAGGTGATTCGATTTTTTTGACATTTTCTAGAAAATAAAGCGTCAAATTTCCAAATAGTTTAGTCGGTTTTTGCATTTTTAAAATGTTAGTCACCTTTCTCCTTCCAAAGTGAAAAAAAATTGTTTAAAATATAAAAAGAATTTTTATTCGCATAGGCGACAAACAAGGATTTATAAATAAATAATGGGGCTTTGAGTATTGATCTGAATTGAATCAGATAATTAGCCGTAAAAAATCTTCTCATAACGATTTCTCATGCATGAAAGATGGCTATGAGTGGCGTTAATGAGGGCGTTTGATAATTGGAGTTGGACATAAAATTTGGAGATCTTAAATTTTGAGAATTTTGGTGCGATCTTACTGGTAAAAGCAAGAGTATGGAAGGAGATTGAACTGAGAAAAAAACTAGAGCATGCAAAAGAATCATGCTACAGCTTAGTTGAATGTCATTTATGCAAATATAAATATCTTTTTCAAATTTCAAACAAATTTTTGCCACTTTTTGAAAGAAGATAAGGTAACAAACATTTTAAAATACAAAACCTAGACTTAAACTATGCCGAAATGTGAGCTCACCGTTACGGTTTTTTCTTTTTTGGGGGGCTCGCAAGCTCGCCACCCAAAGAAAAAACCGTAACGGTGACTAACATTTAGGAAATTTGTTATTTTTTCAGATCACAGCATTGCAGTCATATTCGGAGAGATAAGATAGATACTTCCTAGATGACTGTTAATCATACTACATTTTTCATGTTGGAATTATCCATAATTTCAAATTTTCCAATTTGATGAAATTTATCTTCATTTGTTAATTGATCTTCGCTCCTTGTGATTGAAATGTATTTTATAATGCTGCATATTTACTTCAAGAATACTTTTATTTTGCTCATTTCAACAATAAAAATCTTCAAATTAACAAATATGAATTAAAATGCAGTAATATCTAAACGTGTAATGCAAAGAGCATTATGAGATCCTGCCCATAACTAATCAACCAGAAACTAATTTAGGTGGTTAGGACATAAACACTCAAAGTATCCAATTTGCATCTATTACATGCATCACACAGTCGAGTTATACAGATTTCAACTATCAATTTTAAAAAACCTTATCCATAATAAAATTATATTTTCAAAAAAAAAACTAAAATATATACCTTTTACTATTATGTTCCTAACATTTGTTAGTATTATTAAGTGTTATAAGATATAAAATCAAGTAAGTTAAAAAAAACACCAAGGTTTTATATTATTTTAGCGCATTCCGGGGAGACCTCCAGCTGGCATTCCAGCACCTGGAGCAGGCATTCCACCACGGCCTCTAACGGCAGACTGTCCTGGGAGACCTGGGTCGAATGTTGTCTCGTGCTGTGGGATCTGAACTGTCTCATCGACGGAGAGGATTGTGCAGGCAGCCTCGCAAGCAGCCTTGAGAGCGTTCTTCTTGACGACAAGTGGCTCCCAGATGAAGTTCTCGACAGCGTTGAGTACACCGCCTGTTTCGATGTCTACACCAGCCCAAACACCGTCAGCCTTCTCGTGGGCAGAGCGGAGTTTGTTGAGTGTCTCGAATGAGTCGAAACCAGCGTTGTTTGTAAGTGATCTTGGGATTGCTTCGAGTGCATCTCCGAATGCTTCGACAATGAGCTGTGCCTTGCCGTCCATCTTGAGGGCGATCTCGTGTAAGTGCTTGGAGATGACCATTTCGATGGCGCCACCACCACCGACAATGCGCTGGGCCTTCTTTGCGCGGCGGACAATCATGATGGCATCGTGGATTGAACGGCCGGCTTCCTCGAGGAACTGTTCAGCACCACCTCTGAGGACAATTGTAGCTGCACGGCCATTGCCGCCTGTAAAGATGTTGAATCTCTTGGAGCCAACTTGGCGTTCTTCGAAATCAGCGCATGTACCAAGGTTCTTGGCTTCGATGTTTGATGTTGTAGAGAGAATGCTGGCGCCTGTGCACTTGGCGAGTCTGTTGAAGTCTTCGTCTGGAACACGGCCGGCTGAGAAGATATCGTGGTCGGCAAAGAACTGTGTGGCGACATCACCGATTGGCTTCTTGCTGATGACGATGTTGGCACCGGAATTGAGGCAGTCGTTGAGCTTGCGGAAGATGATTGCCCATTCAGCATCAACGACTTCCTGGAACTCCTTGGCGTCCTCGACACGAACTTCAGCACCTGTGCCTTCAGCCTTGAGCTCGAGCTCGACGTTGAGAAGTAAGATCTTTGGATTCTTGAAATGCTTTGGCTGCTGTTCGAAACCGGCGTATGAGAATGTGCGTTCGAAAGCGACGCCTGGGACGAAGAAGGAGTCCTGGAGGGAGCCACCTTTGACGAGTTTAACACCAAGATCGTTTAATCTCATGTCCTCATCGAGCTGAAGAACGGCATCAACGATCATTGGAGCAAAGAAGTAACGAGAATCGGAAACGAGTTTGCTACGAAGTGTTGTAGCAGCGCATTGTTCAAGAACTTCGCGCTGAGAGCCATCAATTGTAACTGCGACTTCGTCAAGCTTCTTGAGAGCAGCGTTGAGTGCTGTTCTGTAGCAGCGGCAAATGAACTGTGGATGGACACCATCTTCGAGGAAATCTTTAGCAGCATCGAGTAATGATGTTGATAAAACGATAACTGATGTTGTACCATCGCCGATTTCTTCATCCTGTGATTTGGCAACGTCAACTAATAATTGAGCAGCTGGATGAACGATGTCGAGCTCTTTCATGACGGTGGCGCCATCATTTGTAACAATAGCACGACGGTTGTTGCTGTTATGAATGAGTTTATCCATACCACGTGGGCCAAGTGTCGAGGCAAGGATTTCACCAATTGCGTGGCAAGCATTGATGTTTGAAATTAATTGGCCAAGACCTTGAGACTGGTCAACACCTTCACGAAGAAGGATGATTGGTGGACGAATCATGTTCGACATGTTTGTTTTCCTGTGTGGTCAGGTGAAATGTAAACGGCTAATATTTTTCCTCTTCTTATTCCAATTTTGCAATATTATTAAACAGGATATGAAAGAGATTATTTTAAATACATATTCGCTCTTTCAAATCATAAAATAATTTATAAATGTCAAGAACAAAAATGAAAAAATTAAAATCAAAAAATGAAAAACAAAAAAATTTGGAATTTTTGGCTAAAAGATTATCGACAAATAGTCTCGTTAATAGCTTGTAAAGCAATATATGATTACAATGTCTTCTTATTTCAAATAAATATAATTTTCTGTTTCGATATCTGCTTTCCAATCTCATATCTGTGAAGTATTCCACAATTGTTTCGTCAGTTCTAATAAATATATGATATTTTTCCAGTTAAAAATCCATAGATAAGCCTTTGAAACTCATTAATGAACTTTTATAATGAAACTATCATTTTTAGTTTAGAATCAATTGAGGAAATATAATCAAATAATCAATATTCATTAATGATCAGCTCATTTCCTGTGGAACAACATAGATCTTAAATTTGAGTATATTGAATTACAGATTTGTAATCTGTAAACATGTTATCATGAAAGCAGTTAACAAAGTTCCCATCATATTTTCAAATTAGATTCAATTAATTCTATCTCACGCTCAAATCAATTCGAAAAAATATACTAATTCCAATAAATACTATTAGAGGTTATTATTAATTATCAATATTTACATGAAAATTAAATTCCCTGCGGAAAATCCTTTAGACCTTCAGGAAGCTGTCGAGGTCAAGTTCATTTAATGCTTTTTCTTCGAATGCCGCAATTATATCTTCAATGATTAAAGGATCAGCTACAGGAATTTGGGTCTTCTGAATTTTCTTCGGCTTCGAATTATTTGATTGTTTTTTATTTTTATGATCTCCTCTGAGATATTTTACAAGAGCTGTGTTCCATCTATTCTTAATATTTGTACCACTTCGTCCAGGGAGATGCAAAGCAATTTTAACCCAATGAGCACCAAATTCTTTATATTTTTCAATGATTAATTCATCTTCTTCTTTGGTCCAAGGTTTTGATATAACAGTAGTGTACAAATACTGATTATATCTGTCTCTGCATTGGCATGTTGTTCTTCCTGGTAAATATTGAGCAATTTCTTCCCAGGTTTTATTCTTCTTATCTTTCGCAAGTTCTCTTAATAGATCATCTTCTTTTTGGGTGAACCTTCTACGCGATTGAGACTTTTCACTATTCATATTGTCAAGTGATGTAATAATGAAAGATAAAAATGGAAAAGTTAATATTTCAATAAATTTGAGAATAACCAATTGAAAAATTTTAATGGACTCCAAAATTGTGAACACCATACAATTTGAATGCCTCATAAACTATATAAAAAGCTTGTAATTATATTGCTCATACTTAACCCTATAGTTACTCAATCAATCGAAAAACAATTAGCTTTTGAATTATATAATGATTACAAAATAAATATTTCTACTTAGACAATCAATAAAACTAGAGCTTTTTCGATTCCAATAAAATTATTGAAATATTTCAAGGGCGGATGATAAACAAATAAAACATGTTTAACAAAATGAAATAAGCTAAACTTACAAAACTTATAGTTGATGACTTTTGACACCATTCTCAAAAATCAATCAATTGAAAAAGTTCATGATATTCTTCTATCAACTATTACATTAACTTTTTTACATTTACATTATTACATTGAATTATTATTCAATACTGCAATTCAATTTTTCAAAGCGATTTTTGACAACAACTCAAAATCTCATTATCGATAGATTAAAGCCTGAAGTATATACATCCTTTTTAATTTTATCTAATTTCTCCCCATTCAATTATATAATTCTATCATGACGATGAAAGTGCATATTTATATTAAAGCAGATTTATTTATCTGATTTTTTTTATTAATGAAATACTTTATTCAATTTTCCGATGTGATAAATACTTCTTAAAAATAAGTTGTTTGACCACTTATATATCTTCTTAGAATAACGACACTGTTTTTTATTTCGTTTTTGTTGTTTAATGGAAAACGTCAATTCAATATTTCCCAAATATGATATTTTATGCATAGTTTTTGATAAAAGCATTGTACATCATCTTAACTTTCATTTTTTTGGTTAATAACCATGTTTTAAACTAATTTTTCTCAATGAGGAAATTGAAATTAAATTTTGTTTCATATCTTTACATTTTTCTCAATACTATCATTTATAATCATTGAAAGACAGTTGTGGATTCATTTAATTTTTACAATTAAGTGATGTCAGGATTTGACCAATTTTGTATAGCGTTTTATTCAGCGCGGAACATTTACCATTTGCATTCATTCTGTAAGATATGATTCCTATTGCTTTATTATTATTTTATTTGCTTTGAATGTGCTCAATTGGAAATTATCTAAAAATCCAGCCCCAATAAATAAGAAAGGCCTATTTTTTGAACGAATTTTAATACGGGTCTGCCAATTAACATCCGAAATTTCATATAAAGATTTTCGAAAAAAGTATAAAATATATGTAAACCTTATTAAAATGTTCAATTTATATTTAAGGGAGTGTGTGCAAAAATATTTTCACTTGTTTTTCCTTTTACACAATCTCACGTTCAATTTAGATTTCACAGCGTCGATGGTCATAAAACACGTGATTCGCTCATTGAGAGGAATAACCTAAGGTTTAAAGGCTTCATGTTATATATATTTATTCAAACAAATACAAAGAGATTAAAATAAATTAGGATAATAACTCAAAAAAGCAACAGATTGATTGAGATACTATCGCTATATCATATATAATATGTATGGAAGAAAATTAACAACAACAACAAAAAAATTATTCCCAGAATTGGTCAAAAACAGGATCTACTTCTTGATCAGTCAAGGAAAATGCAGATGTGTCTGATCCAGATATAGTGCTCGCGGAGAAATCAAAATGCCCTTGAGAGAAAGCTCCAGGAGAAAAAGATAAGTTTCCTTGGGAGCTCTGACTGAATGCGTTAGGAGATGGCTGCTGGGAGAAGAACATCATCCTTGGGTCTGTAACTACGTTTGTTGGAGGTGGATTTGATTTTCGCTTGGAATTTTTCTTGTTTATAAGTGATTGTACCTTGTTTTTGATTTGTTGATAGCTCCTACCTGGCAATCTTTCTTGGTAAAGTGTATAGCTTTTTCCTAAAATTGGGAATAATTGATTCAACTTATCTAATTCTTCCTGAGTCCAGTCGCTCTTCTGTAAGGCTGGATGTAGAACATTTTTATAACGTGCACTGCACTGAGAATTGTTTCTGCCAGGTACCATTGCAGCAACTTGAGACCAATTTTTGATTTGACCGTTTATTTGGAACATTTCTACTGCTGCAAGAAGCTTCTGATCTTCCTCTGGTGTCCACATGTTCTTACCATGAGCTACTTTTTGTGGCTTTGCAGATGGAGCTGGAGAAACTTGGGGAGTTGGCTCTTGAGGTTCTTGCTGTTGTTGAAATGGGTCATTAAGGTCCATGTTTGCACCATTATCAAAGTCGAAAAAATTATTTTGATCATCCATTATTTTTTTTTATGATTTTTTTTTCAATGGTAAATCCACGCCCATTGAAAAAATCAAGGAAAAGTTGAATTATATTTCTTAGGTATATTACAACATTTTTTGAATAATAAATTTTTTTCCGAATTATTTTTTTGATTTTGCAATCAGTAAGAATTAAACATTGAAAGCATTTATTTCAAACATATACAATTTATATTTAACAAGTTACAGCTTATTTTTTCTCAACAAAGAGTAGATAAAAATTTTATTTCGCTTATAAAGGCGAACGATAATAGCAGTGAACACGAATGATAAAGTAGAGCTAATGAAGAACCAAAAGACATCATATCGTGTCAAATCAAATTTGATCTTTATAAGTTTCGGTTTTCTGTCATTAAAAGATCGTGATTCGATGTATCCTTGTTTGCTATAGTATAAAGTATCGAAATGCATCTTACACAGGCCTCCAGTATTGTTAATTTTCTCAAAATTGTAATCAATTGAAACTTCATTGTTGAAATCAGAAGAGAAGCAGCAGCAAATGAAATGAACTGATGATCCATATTTAAATGTTAGTGTATGAGTTCCAGCTCTTTTATTTTTGAAGAAAATTGAATCAGATAAAATGATTTCTCCGCTGTTTAAATAAGCCAAAATAGCAGCAGCTGCAAGAGGTTCATTTGAGTTATGATCATTGCGTATGTAACTGCAGAAATCTATAGATGTGTGCTCTTTTTTCGTAATAACATTGCAGCCGTTATGGATTTGTGCAGAGTTTTGATCAAATATCGTGTATAAATATGATGAACATCCTCCAGAGTCTTCAATTACTCCTACACATGCTGAAGCCGTGTTTTTCGTAAAATTAGTATATTTTAAGTCAGATAATCCATCTGCTTGTCGATAAGTAGAAGCAAAAAGCTGAGAACTAGCTTGCGTATTGACGTTATAATGAAGAAGAGTTATAGAATTTTGACCTCTTATTGTAAGATCGCCGGCTTGCATGTTTCCTTTGTTTTTCATGAAAGAACAGAATGTTATGTTTATGTTTGTTGTTGTGTAGATAGCACTAAAGCTAGATAAACATTCACTTATCATACAATTTTTTAATTCAACTGGAAATTCCGTATATATCGCACTCCCATTGATTTTCTCTGCGTTGCATTTCGAAAATATACAATCTGTTAATTTATATTCTCCTTCAAAGATAGTTTGAGTTTCAAATTTTTGCTTTTTTAGTAAATTATTAGCAGAATTGAGATGTATGCAAGAATCTTGAAAATGTTTAAATCTTGTTTTCGAAATCTGAATGATATTTGAATTAGAATTTGAATATAATAAAGGATTTGTAAATTTAAAGAAGTTTGAAGATCGTATTTGTAATGTAGATTTGGAAGAAAGCTGATTGCGCATGATTAATGGCGAATTTGAGAGTACCGAAATTCGCAAAGATGATATCGTGAAATTCATTAATATTTATGTTTATAAGATGAATACATTACTTATGAGAACAATTATCAATAAACAAGTTTGTAGAATTTTCATTTTTTTCCAAAGAATTCATTGGATTTTTTTTGAATCCCAAAAATTTTCCTATGAAAACACATCCATTTTATTTGTAGATCAATGTTTGTCTGTTTGGCTGCTTGACCACAAAAAAGGTACATTCACTATTTTTGACAAAATTTTAAATTTTCATGGGGTTGTAAATCTTATAATAACTAGATGAATAAGGAATGAATCCCAGTATAATGTGCATCATTATATTAAACACTATATGTAAGGCTAATGATTCTATTAACACTTATGAAGATCTATAGTATTTGAGCAGATAAATTTGATAATTTCCAAAACTCTTATATTTCAAAATTAAAGTGTGCGAATGCATTTAAATGAGAGCAAAAAGAGATTGATGCTGTTAAAACTAGGTGTTAATTTGCAATTATTTCGCATCACAAGAACTACCCAGTAAATTCGGCTATCTTTCTTTGCAATTATTCTCCATTATACATATAATATAATGGTTAGGGTTTGAAGAAAAGTTACTAGAGAATTATTGACTTTTGAAATAATGCAGAATTTTACTTGAAGAAATCATTAATTTATGAGTTCCAAATTGCTAAGCATGACGAAGGATCATTAAATTTGCTACAATTAAATACACTTATTGCAGAATTAAGATTTTTGAAATTAAAAGTTTGAAATATTGCCTTTTGAATAAAAATTTAAATTTTATTATATATCATGATAATATCTTATAGAAATTAAAAGAAAATATTTTAAACCATTCAAATATTTTGAATGTCTTATCAATTTAAAATATTAAAAGATAGCTTGATTTTATCATCATTAGTTGTTATCAAAGTTTTCTTCTTTTGATGAACAACAGTAAATGATTTGTTAATAGCTTGTCTTCCTTTTTTGCACCAAAATCAAAATTCTCACCCGATCAGTAATCGAAAATTTTGTAGCATATGATTATTTTCCATTGAAAAATTATCACTAAAAAACTTTAAAAAATTAACTTTTATTCTTAATTTCATGTATGAAGGAGGTAGGAAATGACTTTAAGATTGACATCCTATTCATGGCTAAAGTTTTAGGAACTTTGAAGCCTAATTTGATATTGAAATTTTGGAAGATCAATGAATATGGGGATAAAAGTTGCATATCCTTGGACATTAAGAGGACATGTTATGAGAGTGGATAGCGTTCGACGATTCACTGAAAAAGTTACTCCTCGAAAAGACTATCTAAAGCCATCAAGTTTTTTGAATATTTTCTATCGTCTTTTTATTTTTAGTAAATTAGGATGCTCATTAAACAGTATGATTAAATATACAAAAATTTTTAATTTATTTTTCAAGGGAAAATAATCGTACGCTACAAAATTCTTTCGATTCATCATTCAATTGAGAATGATAATTTTGTAGCATTTTTCTAAAAAACGCTACAAAATTATTAAGTTATGATGATAATCTTGCACTCAATTTTGAAACTCTCTGATTTACAAATAAGCATTCCTTTGGAAAAGCAGTCCTATTATGATTCAAGATATTTTAAAGCCCCATTTCATACAATGCGCAGATATATTCGAAATTGCAAGAACTCTCAAGAAAAATGCAGCAGCAAAGAAGATTCCAAAGTTTCTAGCATCAAAAATTTACAACCTTAATACAACAGTTAAAGAGAAGCTCGAAAAGAAAATATTTAACCATAAAGCTGGAAACCATTCGATATATACTAGTAGATCTAATAAAAAGTTAATTATAACATATTTTACATGCTATTTGTTGACTCTGTTCCATTATATTACCATATATATCTTTTTGAAATCTAAAATATTTTTACGATTTTAACCATGTGTTGTTGAAACCATATATCAATCTTAGCTAAAGTATAGTTTATGAGTTTGTCACCATCTAACGTATGAATTTTCAAAAATGTCAAATATGTTCATTTTTTCTGTATATTCAGCCATAATTTCACGTAGTTATACTATTCAACTATTATTTAATATTTTTATCGATTTAAATATATGATGAGATGCTTAGTTCTCCCGGAAATCGATTTTTAATCGCAATTTTAACTTTCCAAAAAAAATTCAAAAATAAAAATCCCTCTCAATTTTCTGAGTTTTATAACTCGCCAAATCTCTAGCCAAATTTTTTTTGGCCCGTATAAATATTGTTAGGCACTATATAGGGATGCTATTTATCCTATTTTCATCCCATTTTACTGTTATCGCCTAGTGAATGTACCTTTACCACAAAAATGATTCCTCGAGGATTTGTCACTTTTACAAAGATTTTATGGAATCATCATCAAATTCAAGTCCTCGAGTTAGCACATCAAAGAAAACAGCGAAATACCATATTAAAATGCGCAATTACTTTGAAGAAAAGACTCGAGAAAGGAAATATTTCTCAAATCCATTCCTTTGCGATATTAGCAGTGATAACGAAGATTTTGCATTAGAAACGGTCTTACCATCAAATCAAGGATTGAATATAAAGATCAAAAAGAGTGAGTTACAGAAGGAGAATAAGCCAGCCGACGAAATTTTGAACAAACAAGTAAATTTAGATGATGCTAACCATGTTATTTCAGCACTCAAAATGCCAAAAGATTACAAAAATACAGCAAAGAAACTCAATAAAGCTAAGAAACAGCTAAAAGAACTCAAAAGATCTCAATCATTATTCGACAAAATTACAATTGGAGAAAGCAACCAAATACTAAATGAAATATTCCAGGATACAGAAGAACCTCATGAAGAGGAAGAAGAAGATTTCTTGATATAAAATTTATCTCAATTGTTATGTCCGAAATTCAATTTCATCTCAGTTAGGTTGATTGTATTCTTACAGTTACACCAGTTTATCATATAGTTATTGTATGAAACTTCGAAATTTGATACATCTTGTTCAGTTACATCGAAGTTTCATGTTCTCGTAGTTAGAATCATCTGCAAAACAGCATACAAGATAAATATTTTTAGTTTTTGCTCGCAAAAAACAAAAATTATCTTTCAAGATGTTATATTTTAGCATCGAAACATGTAGTTATGCATTAAATTACAAAACACTGCTCAACACTATACTCTTTTCATATTATTAATGAATAAATAGTTCTTTATATTATCAATTCCAAATTTTAAAGTATTCCTTGGTATCACAGTTTCCTGATGTGTTAATATCATGAGTTATCATTCTCCTCACACCATTTATCCATTATTTGATGCCTTTCAGGTATGAAAAAAGCTTCAAATTGTATTTTGACAATATAAATGTTCATAAGGTAGTCACAAAATCTAAGTAGTGAGGCTCTCAAAAATTGAACCGTACTCCATACAAAATTTGTGTACCCTCACTACTTAGATTTTGTGGCCTTCAATTGAGAGGTTAGTTTTGATAGAGCACGTTATAAAATTAAAAGGGAAAAATAAATAAAATTTAAACATTTAATTATATATAATGTAAGGAGTGTAATTCCAAATTTTCTAAAAACTATTCAAATTTGAGCATTTTTTTGGAAATAGTAAATCTAATATGTACATCTAATAACAACATGATTCATCACCTTTTCAAGCTCTGCAGTCAATTTTTTGAAATTTGATTGAAATAAATGTAGCAAAAATTACATTTCATTAGGGAATATATGAGTTTCTCTGGAAACAGGCTGATAAATTTTAAATTTTGTCCAATCAACATGAATGCATTGAGAAATTTGGATTGATTTTCTGGTAGAATCTGGAACAATTCAATCATGTATAAATGGATCATATAATCATCATGAAATGTTAGTGTTAGAGTTCAAAAGAAACAGAATGAGTGGAAATCAAACACAATCTGAATAATTTTAAACGTATACAATCTTTAAGTTTGTATTTTGAATTCTACATATATGATTGTGTAATTCGTTCTTTCAAATTTTCGGATTCAGGCATGTTTTGATAAAATTCATTCCCAAAAACGTCAATTAACAATTGAATTTAGTGTATTTTAAATATATATACGTATTATATTTTATAAATTATATTAAATTCGCAAAATTTTAAGTTTTAAACAAAAATAAAAAATGTTCAAAATATGAAATTATTCATAGGATATTAAAATTTACATGTTAGCAATTTTTTTGAATTGCTTTCAATTTTCATATTGAAATTTTTAAGATTTTTTTCTGAAATAATAAGCAAGAATATCAACCTAAATAATATTAAATTCCATGCGTTAATTTCCTCTCAAAAGTCATTGACCGCCTCTCAATCTAGATTTTGTGAGTACTTTAGAATTTTTGATAATATATTTAATTAATGAATTTGATATATATACCTGGTATTTTTAGAAATGCCATTTTTTATATGATTATTTAGAGACCGATATATTTTGAAAACAAGAATGGAATTATAACTAATCCCAAACGACATATCTAAATTCTACAAAATCATGGAATCAAAAATTGTTACATAACGTTTACAAAATTGACTTTAGTATTAATATTTTTTTGTTATTTTTCGGTTTTTCATTGATGGGAGTTTATGTTAATTCAGTCGGTTATCTTTACAAAAAGGTGACATTATATTTGAAATTTATTCATCTCAAAAAGTGCTCATTTTATTTAAAAATAAAATCAAATCTATTTTCATCATAAACATCCCAGATATAATGGAAGGGATAAAAATTAAACATTTTATTTTTCACTTCATTTATGTTCCACTTCAAGATTATCAGCTGTAAGGATCTTCCTAGAAAGGATGCCAACGGACTTATAGATTCTTACGTAGTTATCGAAACAAAGGGCAAGGAAAACAAAGCAAGACCAGGTGGCAAAACAAAAGTTGTCCAAAATGATTTAAACCCAGTCTACCCAGACCAAACTTTCGACATTCCATCCGATAACTGCTATACAGTTAAATTCACAGTTATGGATGAAGATGTTCTGAAAGACGATATGGCTTGCTGGATCAAGATCAAAGTTCCATCTCTCATGACAAGGCTCGGAGATAAAATCACAAAGGAGATGCTTGTTAAGAACCCAGAAAACCATCCAAATTGCCGCCCAGCAATCACCTTCATGGTTACTCTCGATGGCGATCTTGCATCAGATCACCCAGCTAAAGACGCCCAGGTTGCAATTCCACCAAAGCCAAAGTACGAACCACTTGTTATCGAGCCAGTCAAGGATCACAACATCTATGTTTACAACATTCTTGTTCTTGATCCAGAAAACAAGAAATATTACTTCTCAGAGAACCCAACCGTTCCATCGTTCATCAAGAAGGAGGGCGATAAATATACAATCGATCATAACGGCCGCAAGCTTATCGTTATCCCGGTTTTCAGAACAACTCGTGACTTTAAGAAGACAGTTTTGAAGGTTAAGGCTAACGACCTTACCCTTGAGCAGACCCTCATCTATCGTGGCGAATGGCTCATGGATAAGGCCCTTAATCTCCCATCTAAGGAAATCAAGCAGATCCATCCATTCCAGCGTAACCAATACAACACTCAGAACTGGGTTTCTCTTCTTCCAGAACAAATTAAGCCAGCTGGTGAATACACCACTTACTAAATCTGATTTTCGGAAAGGTTTTTTATCTAGCTAAATATATTTTCAGTTTTATCTAAACAATTAAATTATTAACTCTCAGGGCTTCTTTATCAACAATTTTTGCTGTCATCATTAAATTCTTCGTTCAATATTGGATTGCAACCATAATCACTAATTAAGACATCAAGAACAAATGCATAAAGACCAATTAAAGCCATTTTTTTATATAATATTCTTATTCAATTTTTTTTCAACATTCTCCGGAGTGAATTATAATCAACCATTTGGATATTATTGAAATTTGACAATAAATAAGTGAATAACAAAAGGGAATTATGCTTTTTTTTAAAATATTTGAAAATCTTTGATAATTTGTGACTTTATTACAAAACAATAATTTTTATTCGAAGAAACATTCATTTGTATGTTATTTGCTACATAATAGATATATGATATTTATGTGATTCGGTTCTTTTTAATTTGGAGAAAGAAGAACAATTCATATTTGTGCTTTCAGCTGTTATGCTACTAAATATGTTCCACCTAAAAGAAAAAAATGTTTTTGTTTATTGAAGCGGAGTCTATCCAATTTTCATTGAAAAATTCTTTCAATGATATCACACTGATTGCAATCCAAACTGCAATAAATAATATTGTTGTTTTTAATGTGATTGTGTTACTGGGCATGATTTCTACAGTTGAACTAAATATAAAGAAATAATTGAAAGATTATTAGAAAAAAAAATATATGTAAAAAAAAATCATTTATGCATTTTCGCCAAAGCCTGATCCTGAGTTTGATTTAGGAGATTCTTTGCCTTTCTTCAATAATAGAATGACAACAACGACAATAATCACGATGACAACAACAACTGCGATTACGATGAGAGCAATTTGATATCCCTTCAATCCTGGGTTGTCGTATTTTTGTGTATCTTTCTCAACTTCTTTCTTCGTTTTTATCTTGTTCTCAGGGTTGAACAAATACAATTTTTCTTTTTCGAACAACATTTCTTCACCCTTTGGAGGATCTCCAATTTTTTCAAATTTAAATGTGATCTCTCCTTCTGATTCTCTTCCAGCTTCTTTTCCAACCTCACGTGCATCACGTATGTCTGGAAATTCATCATCATTATATAGTTGTGCATCAAAATATGTCGCATTTAATCGAGTTCGACCATTTGCGGTATGAAATATTATTGACATATTTACATTAGTTGTTGTATTTGTTATTTTCTTCACAGAATTGTCAGCGTTTACAATTTTTACATTTTCGTAAGAATAACTGTAATGAGATTTGCTAAATTTTGAATGCGATTTTAGATATACTTTCTTAGATCCTGAAGATTCAGTTGAAAAGTAGCTCATTGTTTTATATTGATGATCATATGTATATGATATTTGTTTAGTTCTATTCGGATCTAAATACTGGGTTACATTTCCTTCTTGATAAAAAATTCTGATGGAGAAACTCTCACAACATGTAATTTACATCCTTTCGTCTTATCTAAACATTTAATTAATGAATGAACAAGTGTTTCATTGGATGATATAGCCAACGGATTTTTTACTGTTTGTGTAGTGTTTTCATTGTCTTTAAGATATTTAGCAGTAACTTCATATTCCGTATTATCACTTGCAATGAAAAATGTTCCAGCAATACATTTTTCTCCTAATGGATCAACCTTAATGATTCTTTCTCCGTAATTGATTTTAGAACAATTTGGAAACGAATATTCTGGTTCATAACGATCTATAAAAGAAGGGACTCTTTTCAAAGAAAGATCTTTGAAGAACATTTTATTAAAAATGAATAAATATTCATAAAAACTTCGTCGTACTCAATATTTATTAGAATAAAATTCATAAATGAACCAAAATCATATATCACACCGAGAACAACCAAATATTAGAATTGAATTATCTTCTCAAAAATATCATCCTCACAAAATAAATGAGATATTTCATAAAAAAAAATTGAGAAACATAAATTCGATAGTTATTTATTTAAAATGTATAAATTATAATCTCCATTTTTACGCTTTATCAAAATTTAATGTTCAGATTTTTGAATAGTCGCCGACATTTTTCAATTGATCATGTACATTAACTTTAAAAGAATCTGCATAAACTAATATTATAGTGTGAAACAAGAAATTTCACTCATTGCTTTGATGAATTTTTCTTCAATTGATCTAAATCCTTTGATTTTAATAAAAACAACATGTTATATTTTACAAATACATACTATTATCAAATGGTTAACTCAAGATTCTAAATAAAAAATATTTTTAAAAAATTAAATAAATTGAATTCAAATATATCATTTATTGTTAAGTTTTATTGCATTACTTTTTTGTTTCGATTCTTCTTTTCCTCTTCCTTCTTATCTTTGATCTTTTCGCGTGCAATTTCAATGATTTCATTCATTTTGGGTCTGAAAGGAAGGAAGAACTTATGCGAGCACAAATCGAATGCCGCACGACTTCCTTTGTTCTTGATATCGATGTGTTTCAAAACATTGATTATTTGCTGTAATGTGAAGTGAAATTCAATATTTTAAAAAGATTGGGGATTATTCAAAAATTAACAATTTAACAACCAACTCATTAGAACAATTAATACACGATTAATTTTTGAATTGATATATGTTATATGAATATTAGAAGATGATGCATTCAGTTTTTTTTATTAAACCAAGTTCTACTGTTCCAGACAAATTTCTAACAACTTCTTTCACAATATTTATACAAATGAAACAAAGATATTCTATTGTAGTAATTCAGCTTGAAACAAGGAACTATTTAAATGAATGGAGTATATTAAAGATCTATGTATATCCATTATAGCTTAAATTTGCATATGGGAATTAAAAAAGCAAATATTTGTAAAAAAAAATCATTTATGCATTTTCGCCAGAGCCTGATCCTGAGTTTGATTTAGGAGATTCTTTGCCTTTCTTCAATAATAGAATGACAACAACGACAATAATCACGATGACAACAACAACTGCGATTACGATGAGAGCAATTTGATATCCCTTCAATCCTGGGTTGTCGTATTTTTGTGTATCTTTCTCAACTTCTTTCTTCGTTTTTATCTTGTTCTCAGGGTTAAACAAATACAATTTTTCTTTTTCGAACAACATTTCTTCACCCTCTGGAGGATCTCCAATTTTTTCAAATTTAAATGTGATCTCTCCTTCTGATTCTCTTCCAGCTTCTTTTCCAACCTCACGTGCATCACGTATGTCTGGAAATTCATCATCATTATATAGTTGTGCATCAAAATATGTCGCATTTAATCGAGTTCGACCATTTGCGGTATGAAATATTATTGACATATTTACATTAGTTGTTGTATTTGTTATTTTCTTCACAGAATTGTCAGCGTTTACAATTTTTACATTTTCGTAAGAATAACTGTAATGAGATTTGCTAAATTTTGAATGCGATTTTAGATATACTTTCTTAGATCCTGAAGATTCAGTTGAAAAGTAGCTCATTGTTTTATATTGATGATCATATGTATATGATATTTGTTTAGTTCTATTCGGATCTAAATACTGGGTTACATTTCCTTCTTGATAAAAAAATTCTGATGGAGAAACTCTCACAACATGTAATTTACATCCTTTCGTCTTATCTAAACATTTAATTAATGAATGAACAAGTGTTTCATTGGATGATATAGCCAACGGATTTTTTACTGTTTGTGTAGTGTTTTCATTGTCTTTAAGATATTTAGCAGTAACTTCATATTCCGTATTATCACTTGCAATGAAAAATGTTCCAGCAATACATTTTTCTCCTAATGGATCAACCTTAATGATTCTTTCTCCGTAATTGATTTTAGAACAATTTGGAAACGAATATTCTGGTTCATAGCGATCTATAAAAGAAGGGACTCTTTTCAAAGAAAGATCTTTGAAGAACATTTTATTAAAAATGAATAAATATTCATAAAAACTTCGTCGTACTCAATATTTATTAGAATAAAATTCATAAATGAACCAAAATCATATATCACACCGAGAACAACCAAATATTAGAATTGAATTATCTTCTCAAAAATATCATCCTCACAAAATAAATGAGATATTTCATAAAAAAAAATTGAGAAACATAAATTCGATAGTTATTTATTTAAAATGTATAAATTATAATCTCCATTTTTACGCTTTATCAAAATTTAATGTTCAGATTTTTGAATAGTCGCCGACATTTTTCAATTGATCATGTACATTAACTTTAAAAGAATCTGCATAAACTAATATTATAGTGTGAAACAAGAAATTTCACTCATTGCTTTGATGAATTTTTCTTCAATTGATCTAAATCCTTTGATTTTAATAAAAACAACATGTTATATTTTACAAATACATACTATTATCAAATGGTTAACTCAAGATTCTAAATAAAAAATATTTTTAAAAAATTAAATAAATTGAATTCAAATATATCATTTATTGTTAAGTTTTATTGCATTACTTTTTTGTTTCGATTCTTCTTTTCCTCTTCCTTCTTATCTTTGATCTTTTCGCGTGCAATTTCAATGATTTCATTCATTTTGGGTCTGAAAGGAAGGAAGAACTTATGCGAGCACAAATCGAATGCCGCACGACTTCCTTTGTTCTTGATATCGATGTGTTTCAAAACATTGATTATTTGCTGTAATGTGAAGTGAAATTCAATATTTTAAAAAGATTGGGGATTATTCAAAAATTAACAATTTAACAACCAACTCATTAGAACAATTAATACACGATTAATTTTTGAATTGATATATGTTATATGAATATTAGAAGATGATGCATTCAGTTTTTTTTATTAAACCAAGTTCTACTGTTCCAGACAAATTTCTAACAACTTCTTTCACAATATTTATACAAATGAAACAAAGATATTCTATTGTAGTAATTCAGCTTGAAACAAGGAACTATTTAAATGAATGGAGTATATTAAAGATCTATGTATATCCATTATAGCTTAAATTTGCATATGGGAATTAAAAAAGCAAATATTTGTAAAAAAAAAATCATTTATGCATTTTCGCCAGAGCCTGATCCTGAGTTTGATTTAGGAGATTCTTTGCCTTTCTTCAATAATAGAATGACAACAACGACAATAATCACGATGACAACAACAACTGCGATTACGATGAGAGCAATTTGATATCCCTTCAATCCTGGGTTGTCGTATTTTTGTGTATCTTTCTCAACTTCTTTCTTCGTTTTTATCTTGTTCTCAGGGTTAAACAAATACAATTTTTCTTTTTCGAACAACATTTCTTCACCCTCTGGAGGATCTCCAATTTTTTCAAATTTAAATGTGATCTCTCCTTCTGATTCTCTTCCAGCTTCTTTTCCAACCTCACGTGCATCACGTATGTCTGGAAATTCATCATCATTATATAGTTGTGCATCAAAATATGTCGCATTTAATCGAGTTCGACCATTTGCGGTATGAAATATTATTGACATATTTACATTAGTTGTTGTATTTGTTATTTTCTTCACAGAATTGTCAGCGTTTACAATTTTTACATTTTCGTAAGAATAACTGTAATGAGATTTGCTAAATTTTGAATGCGATTTTAGATATACTTTCTTAGATCCTGAAGATTCAGTTGAAAAGTAGCTCATTGTTTTATATTGATGATCATATGTATATGATATTTGTTTAGTTCTATTCGGATCTAAATACTGGGTTACATTTCCTTCTTGATAAAAAAATTCTGATGGAGAAACTCTCACAACATGTAATTTACATCCTTTCGTCTTATCTAAACATTTAATTAATGAATGAACAAGTGTTTCATTGGATGATATAGCCAACGGATTTTTTACTGTTTGTGTAGTGTTTTCATTGTCTTTAAGATATTTAGCAGTAACTTCATATTCCGTATTATCACTTGCAATGAAAAATGTTCCAGCAATACATTTTTCTCCTAATGGATCAACCTTAATGATTCTTTCTCCGTAATTGATTTTAGAACAATTTGGAAACGAATATTCTGGTTCATAGCGATCTATAAAAGAAGGGACTCTTTTCAAAGAAAGATCTTTGAAGAACATTTTATTAAAAATGAATAAATATTCATAAAAACTTCGTCGTACTCAATATTTATTAGAATAAAATTCATAAATGAACCAAAATCATATATCACACCGAGAACAACCAAATATTAGAATTGAATTATCTTCTCAAAAATATCATCCTCACAAAATAAATGAGATATTTCATAAAAAAAAAATTGAGAAACATAAATTCGATAGTTATTTATTTAAAATGTATAAATTATAATCTCCATTTTTACGCTTTATCAAAATTTAATGTTCAGATTTTTGAATAGTCGCCGACATTTTTCAATTGATCATGTACATTAACTTTAAAAGAATCTGCATAAACTAATATTATAGTGTGAAACAAGAAATTTCACTCATTGCTTTGATGAATTTTTCTTCAATTGATCTAAATCCTTTGATTTTAATAAAAACAACATGTTATATTTTACAAATACATACTATTATCAAATGGTTAACTCAAGATTCTAAATAAAAAATATTTTTAAAAAATTAAATAAATTGAATTCAAATATATCATTTATTGTTAAGTTTTATTGCATTACTTTTTTGTTTCGATTCTTCTTTTCCTCTTCCTTCTTATCTTTGATCTTTTCGCGTGCAATTTCAATGATTTCATTCATTTTGGGTCTGAAAGGAAGGAAGAACTTATGCGAGCACAAATCGAATGCCGCACGACTTCCTTTGTTCTTGATATCGATGTGTTTCAAAACATTGATTATTTGCTGTAATGTGAAGTGAAATTCAATATTTTAAAAAGATTGGGGATTATTCAAAAATTAACAATTTAACAACCAACTCATTAGAACAATTAATACACGATTAATTTTTGAATTGATATATGTTATATGAATATTAGAAGATGATGCATTCAGTTTTTTTTATTAAACCAAGTTCTACTGTTCCAGACAAATTTCTAACAACTTCTTTCACAATATTTATACAAATGAAACAAAGATATTCTATTGTAGTAATTCAGCTTGAAACAAGGAACTATTTAAATGAATGGAGTATATTAAAGATCTATGTATATCCATTATAGCTTAAATTTGCATATGGGAATTAAAAAAGCAAATATTTGTAAAAAAAAAATCATTTATGCATTTTCGCCAGAGCCTGATCCTGAGTTTGATTTAGGAGATTCTTTGCCTTTCTTCAATAATAGAATGACAACAACGACAATAATCACGATGACAACAACAACTGCGATTACGATGAGAGCAATTTGATATCCCTTCAATCCTTGTCGTATTTTTGTGTATCTTTCTCAACTTCTTTCTTCGTTTTTATTGTTCTCAGGGTTAAACAAATACAATTTTTCTTTTTCGAACAACATTTCTTCACCCTCTGGAGGATCTCCAATTTTTTCAAATTTAAATGTGATCTCTCCTTCTGATTCTCTTCCAGCTTCTTTTCCAACCTCACGTGCATCACGTATGTCTGGAAATTCATCATCATTATATAGTTGTGCATCAAAATATGTCGCATTTAATCGAGTTCGACCATTTGCGGTATGAAATATTATTGACATATTTACATTAGTTGTTGTATTTGTTATTTTCTTCACAGAATTGTCAGCGTTTACAATTTTTACATTTTCGTAAGAATAACTGTAATGAGATTTGCTAAATTTTGAATGCGATTTTAGATATACTTTCTTAGATCCTGAAGATTCAGTTGAAAAGTAGCTCATTGTTTTATATTGATGATCATATGTATATGATATTTGTTTAGTTCTATTCGGATCTAAATACTGGGTTACATTTCCTTCTTGAAAAAAAATTCTGATGGAGAAACTCTCACAACATGTAATTTACATCCTTTCGTCTTATCTAAACATTTAATTAATGAATGAACAAGTGTTTCATTGGATGATATAGCCAACGGATTTTTTACTGTTTGTGTAGTGTTTTCATTGTCTTTAAGATATTTAGCAGTAACTTCATATTCCGTATTATCACTTGCAATGAAAAATGTTCCAGCAATACATTTTTCTCCTAATGGATCAACCTTAATGATTCTTTCTCCGTAATTGATTTTAGAACAATTTGGAAACGAATATTCTGGTTCATAGCGATCTATAAAAGAAGGGACTCTTTTCAAAGAAAGATCTTTGAAGAACATTTTATTAAAAATGAATAAATATTCATAAAAACTTCGTCGTACTCAATATTTATTAGAATAAAATTCATAAATGAACCAAAATCATATATCACACCGAGAACAACCAATATTAGAATTGAATTATCTTCTCAAAAATATCATCCTCACAAAATAAATGAGATATTTCATAAAAAAAAATTGAGAAACATAAATTCGATAGTTATTTATTTAAAATGTATAAATTATAATCTCCATTTTTACGCTTTATCAAAATTTAATGTTCAGATTTTTGAATAGTCGCCGACATTTTTCAATTGATCATGTACATTAACTTTAAAAGAATCTGCATAAACTAATATTATAGTGTGAAACAAGAAATTTCACTCATTGCTTTGATGAATTTTTCTTCAATTGATCTAAATCCTTTGATTTTAATAAAAACAACATGTTATATTTTACAAATACATACTATTATCAAATGGTTAACTCAAGATTCTAAATAAAAAATATTTTTAAAAAATTAAATAAATTGAATTCAAATATATCATTTATTGTTAAGTTTTATTGCATTACTTTTTTGTTTCGATTCTTCTTTTCCTCTTCCTTCTTATCTTTGATCTTTTCGCGTGCAATTTCAATGATTTCATTCATTTTGGGTCTGAAAGGAAGGAAGAACTTATGCGAGCACAAATCGAATGCCGCACGACTTCCTTTGTTCTTGATATCGATGTGTTTCAAAACATTGATTATTTGCTGTAATGTGAAGTGAAATTCAATATTTTAAAAAGATTGGGGATTATTCAAAAATTAACAATTTAACAACAACTCATTAGAACAATTAATACACGATTAATTTTTGAATTGATATATGTTATATGAATATTAGAAGATGATGCATTCATTTTTTTATTAAACCAAGTTCTACTGTTCCAGACAAATTTCTAACAACTTCTTTCACAATATTTATACAAATGAAAACAAAGATATTCTATTGTAGTAATTCAGCTTGAAACAAGGAACTATTTAAATGAATGGAGTATATTAAAGATCTATGTATATCCATTATAGCTTAAATTTGCATATGGGAATTAAAAAAGCAAATATTTGTAAAAAAAAAATCATTTATGCATTTTCGCCAGAGCCTGATCCTGAGTTTGATTTAGGAGATTCTTTGCCTTTCTTCAATAATAGAATGACAACAACGACAATAATCACGATGACAACAACAACTGCGATTACGATGAGAGCAATTTGATATCCCTTCAATCCTGGGTTGTCGTATTTTTGTGTATCTTTCTCAACTTCTTTCTTCGTTTTTATCTTGTTCTCAGGGTTAACAAATACAATTTTTCTTTTTCGAACAACATTTCTTCACCCTCTGGAGGATCTCCAATTTTTTCAAATTTAAATGTGATCTCTCCTTCTGATTCTCTTCCAGCTTCTTTTCCAACCTCACGTGCATCACGTATGTCTGGAATTCATCATCATTATATAGTTGTGCATCAAATATGTCGCATTTAATCGAGTTCGACCATTTGCGGTATGAAATATTATTGACATATTTACATTAGTTGTTGTATTTTGTTATTTTCTTCACAGAATTGTCAGCGTTTACAATTTTACATTTTTCGTAAGAATAACTGTAATGAGATTTGCTAAATTTTTGAATGCGATTTTAGAATACTTTCTTAGATCCTGAAGATTCAGTTGAAAAGTAGCTCATTGTTTTATATTGATGATCATATGTATATGATATTTGTTTAGTTCTATTCGGATCTAAATACTGGTTTACATTTCCTTCTGATAAAAAAATTCTGATGGAGAAACTCTCACAACATGTAATTTACATCCTTTCGTCTTATCTAAACATTTAATTAATGAATGAACAAGTGTTTCATGGATGATATAGCCAACGGATTTTTTACTTTTGTGTAGTGTTTTCATTGTCTTTAAGATATTTAGCAGTAACTTCATATTCCGTTATCACTTGCAATGAAAAATTTCCAGCAATACATTTTTCTCCTAATGGATCAACCTTAATGATTCTTTCTCCGTAATTGATTTTAGAACAATTTGGAAACGAATATTCTGGTTCATAGCGATCTATAAAAGAAGGGACTCTTTTCAAAGAAAGATCTTTGAAGAACATTTTATAAAAATGAAAAAATATTCATAAAAAACTTCGTCGTATCAATATTTATTAGAATAAAATTCATAAATGAACCAAATATATATCACACCGAGAACAACCAAATATTATTGAATTAATTATTTCTCAAAAATATCATCCTCACAAAATAAATGAATATTTCATAAAAAAAAAATGAGAAACATAAATTCGATAGTTATTTATTTAAAATGTATAAATTATAATCTCCATTTTACGCTTTATCAAAATTTAATGTTCAGATTTTTGAATAGTCCCGACATTTTTCAATGATCATGTACATTAACTTTAAAAGAATCTGCATAAACTAATATTATAGTGAAACAGAAATTTCACTCATTGCTTTGATGAATTTTCTTCAATTGATCTAAATCCTTTGATTTTAAAAAAACAACATGTTATATTTTACAAATACATACTATTATCAAATGGTTAACTCAAGATTCTAAATAAAAATATTTTTAAAATTAAATAAATTGAATTCAAATATATCATTATTTGTTAAGTTTTATTGCATTACTTTTGTTTCGATTCTTCTTTTCCTCTTCCTTCTTATCTTTGATCTTTTCGCGTGCAATTTCAATGATTTCATTTCATTTTGGGTCTGAAAGGAAGGAAGAACTTATGCGAGCACAAATCGAATGCCGCACGACTTCCTTGTTCTTGATATCGATGTGTTTCAAAACATTGATTATTTGCTGTAATGTGAAGTGAAATTCAATATTTTAAAAGATTGGGATTATTCAAAAATTAACAATTTAACAACCAACTCATTAGAACAATTAATACACGATTAATTTTTGAATTATATATGTTATATGAATATTAGAAGATGATGCATTCAGTTTTTTTATTAAACCAAGTTCTACTGTTCCAGACAAATTTCTAACAACTTCTTTCACAATATTTATACAAATGAAACAAAGATATTCTATTGTAGTAATTCAGCTTGAAACAAGGAACTATTTAAATGAATGGAGTATATTAAAGATCTATGTATATCCATTATAGCTTAAATTTGCATATGGGAATTAAAAAAGCAAATATTTGTAAAAAAAAAATCATTTATGCATTTTCGCCAGAGCCTGATCCTGAGTTTGATTTAGGAGATTCTTTGCCTTTCTTCAATAATAGAATGACAACAACGACGACAATAATCACGATGACAACAACAACTGCGATTACGATGAGAGCAATTTGATATCCCTTCAATCCTGGGTTGTCGTATTTTTGTGTATCTTTCTCAACTTCTTTCTTCGTTTTTATCTTGTTCTCAGGGTTAAACAAATACAATTTTTCTTTTTCGAACAACATTTCTTCACCCTCTGGAGGATCTCCAATTTTTTCAAATTTAAATGTGATCTCTCCTTCTGATTCTCTTCCAGCTTCTTTTCCAACCTCACGTGCATCACGTATGTCTGGAAATTCATCATCATTATATAGTTGTGCATCAAAATATGTCGCATTTAATCGAGTTCGACCATTTGCGGTATGAAATATTATTGACATATTTACATTAGTTGTTGTATTTGTTATTTTCTTCACAGAATTGTCAGCGTTTACAATTTTTACATTTTCGTAAGAATAACTGTAATGAGATTTGCTAAATTTTGAATGCGATTTTAGATATACTTTCTTAGATCCTGAAGATTCAGTTGAAAAGTAGCTCATTGTTTTATATTGATGATCATATGTATATGATATTTGTTTAGTTCTATTCGGATCTAAATACTGGGTTACATTTCCTTCTTGATAAAAAAATTCTGATGGAGAAACTCTCACAACATGTAATTTACATCCTTTCGTCTTATCTAAACATTTAATTAATGAATGAACAAGTGTTTCATTGGATGATATAGCCAACGGATTTTTACTGTTTGTGTAGTGTTTTCATTGTCTTTAAGATATTTAGCAGTAACTTCATATTCCGTATTATCACTTGCAATGAAAAATGTTCCAGCAATACATTTTTCTCCTAATGGATCAACCTTAATGATTCTTTCTCCGTAATTGATTTTAGAACAATTTGGAAACGAATATTCTGGTTCATAGCGATCTATAAAAGAAGGGACTCTTTTCAAAGAAAGATCTTTGAAGAACATTTTATTAAAAATGAATAAATATTCATAAAAACTTCGTCGTACTCAATATTTATTAGAATAAAATTCATAAATGAACCAAAATCATATATCACACCGAGAACAACCAAATATTAGAATTGAATTATCTTCTCAAAAATATCATCCTCACAAAATAAATGAGATATTTCATAAAAAAAAAATTGAGAAACATAAATTCGATAGTTATTTATTTAAAATGTATAAATTATAATCTCCATTTTTACGCTTTATCAAAATTTAATGTTCAGATTTTTGAATAGTCGCCGACATTTTTCAATTGATCATGTACATTAACTTTAAAAGAATCTGCATAAACTAATATTATAGTGTGAAACAAGAAATTTCACTCATTGCTTTGATGAATTTTTCTTCAATTGATCTAAATCCTTTGATTTTAATAAAACAACATGTTATATTTTACAAATACATACTATTATCAAATGGTTAACTCAAGATTCTAAATAAAAAATATTTTTAAAAAATTAAATAAATTGAATTCAAATATATCATTTATTGTTAAGTTTTATTGCATTACTTTTTTGTTTCGATTCTTCTTTTCCTCTTCCTTCTTATCTTTGATCTTTTCGCGTGCAATTTCAATGATTTCATTCATTTTGGGTCTGAAAGGAAGGAAGAACTTATGCGAGCACAAATCGAATGCCGCACGACTTCCTTTGTTCTTGATATCGATGTGTTTCAAAACATTGATTATTTGCTGTAATGTGAAGTGAAATTCAATATTTTAAAAGATTGGGGATTATTCAAAAATTAACAATTTAACAACCAACTCATTAGAACAATTAATACACGATTAATTTTTGAATTGATATATGTTATATGAATATTAGAAGATGATGCATTCAGTTTTTTTTATTAAACCAAGTTCTACTGTTCCAGACAAATTTCTAACAACTTCTTTCACAATATTTATACAAATGAAACAAAGATATTCTATTGTAGTAATTCAGCTTGAAACAAGGAACTATTTAAATGAATGGAGTATATTAAAGATCTATGTATATCCATTATAGCTTAAATTTGCATATGGGAATTAAAAAAGCAAATATTTGTAAAAAAAAAATCATTTATGCATTTTCGCCAGAGCCTGATCCTGAGTTTGACTTAGGAGATTCTTTGCCTTTCTTCAATAATAGAATGACAACAACGACAATAATCACGATGACAACAACAACTGCGATTACGATGAGAGCAATTTGATATCCCTTCAATCCTGGGTTGTCGTATTTTTGTGTATCTTTCTCAACTTCTTTCTTCGTTTTTATCTTGTTCTCAGGGTTGAACAAATACAATTTTTCTTTTTCGAACAACATTTCTTCACCCTCTGGAGGATCTCCAATTTTTTCAAATTTTAATGTAAATTCCCCTTTTTGTTCAATTTTCCCTTCATTTCCTTTTTTCATTTCTTCATCGATTTAAAAACAAACAAATCATTTATTCATTATTTTTATTGTTTTTGTGTTTGGTTTCGATTCTTCTTTTTCTCTTCCTTCTTTTCTTTGATCCTTTCGCGTGCATTTTCAATGATTTCGTTCATTTTCGGTCTGAAAGGGAGGAGGAACTTATGCGAGCACAAATCGAATGCTGCACGACCTCCTTTGTTCCTGATATTGAATTTAACACCAGGAACGTCCAAAAGAAGATGAATTACATCGGAATGCTGATTATTTGCTGCAATGTGCAGAGGAGTATCTCCATCATCATCCTGGAAATTTGGTGATAAATCGTGAAGTAGAAGTTTGACAATTTCTGGATTTCCACATTTAGATGCGCAATGCAACGCAGTTCTTCCATTTGCTGTCTTTATTTTGATGTCCAATGTTGGTAGAGTAACTAGATACTGCACTGCCTCCAGTCTGTTTTTGTAACAGGCCTCGTGAAGTGCAGATCTTCCTCCTTTATTCAGAATATTGACATCGGCGCCTTTTTCATAGAGTAATTTCATCATTTCGACTAAGTTCTTTTGGCTGGCAAGAAGAAAGGCTGTATTTCCTTTGTCATCTGTTGAATTTATTTTTGATGGATCTTTTTCAAGGATTTTGGATACTGTTTTGCTATCATTAGCTAATACAGCATTTATTAAAGGATTTTCGTGCTTTAAAACTATTTCTTTTTCTTCATTCTGAGAATTTTCTTTTGATATTAATTCATTTAAAGCTTTTACCATCTCAGTGCGCTTTAAACTCTTTGCATAATCTAATGCTGTTGTATTATATACAATATCTTGTGGATTTTCTAAATTATTTGATAAAATATAGTTGAAAAATTGTATATTATTGAATTTAACTGCGAAATATAATGACCCTTTAACAATAGATCCTTTGGAAACTAATACTTTGAAAAATGAAAGATTGTTTGATGCAATTGCAAAGTGAATTGGAAGCATCTCTTGTTCTGAGTGATCAAATCTATTTAAATCGGCTTTGTTGTTAATTAGATAGGCAAAACATTTCTGAGAACATAAGAAAGTTGCTAAAGAAAGAATTGTTGGCTGATGAAATAAAATTTCTGGAATTTTTGGATTGTTTTCAGCTTCAAATACAGTATCAACAGATTCCATCAATCCTGACATAGTATCAACTAGGTCATTTTGGATAGCATAATAAAGATCAATCATTTTTTTTTTATTTTTGTGATTTTTTTTCTGTTGATGGAAAATTTGTCACTTTTCTTTCCAAAAATTTTGAAGATTTTATTTTGGACACAATTTGAGAAAACTCAAAATTCTCATAATACTTGATTATTTTCTTATATCAATGGATTTAATTTCAATTTGAGCTCAAATTAATCGTTCAAATCAAAATATGTATAATCTCATTTGAAGAATACAAAACACATAATCATAAAACACAATAAAAAGTGACATTCAACTATCCACACAAATCTCAGAAAATTCAAATCTATATTTTATATGATGTTTTTGAGCTTAATTTCATTAGGAAAAGCAAAATGTGATATCAAAATTACGAACTATGGAGGAGACCTCATTGCAGAAGAAAATTACTCAACAAATACCCAATCTTTTAAAATAAATGCAACAAATTGCTTTAATCTTCAAATTTCACCCGAACGCAACGTTTTGTATGGCATTTATGATATCGGAGAGTACACTATTACAGCTTCTGGCGAAAATCCTGATGAAGAAAACGTTTCTATCAAAATTAATATTAATGAAGTGCCACAAGAGAAGCGCAACTATTATTATTTTATTAACCATTGTGGTACATTCCCAATGATCACATCATTCTTCTATTTACTATTTAATTTAACAAAAGATATCAATTTGGAACTCCAAGTTGGCCGACCAAACACTTTCAACTTCACTAAGATACAAGAAGATTATCCCAATACAATATACTATTCATCAGTTGGAGATTCTTTTCATACTTTCGAATTAATCAGAAATATCTCACGTGATGATCCAAATTCATATTTTCATGTCAGAGTTGACGATCTTAGAATCAGTCAGCCAATATACTGGCTCATTAACCAAGGAATTCACCAATCTCGCTATGAAGTGCATTTGGGATCAGATGGAACAGGAACTTACAACATCTTTTACAATAACAAACTCAATACAACAGAAGGATGGAATGTTGTTGCAGAAAAATTTGATAAAATTTACAAAAACGCTTTAATTGGAAATATATCAATCAACACACATATTAATAACTGCATTATCGATCTAGATACCATGATATTCGCAGCTGTGACGTATCCAAACATTTTTTTGGAGTTATCAAATCCAGAAATGTTATTTACGTCAGATGAAGCGCTAAAACCAGTGTTAAAGACCATGAAACTCATAAAAATAGATGTGATCAATATAATTAAGAACCAAACCAAAGAAAAAGTTGATTATTTGTATGAAATTTCGATGATCAACGTCACAGCCTATCAAGAGAAGTATTTCAGTGAAGGAAAGAAGACATGTTTCATTTTGACGTCAAATCCAGCCGATTCCCTTGAAATTAAAAGTTATTTCAACCAAACATTGATGACTTATCCAAATTACACATTCGTTGCGAATCCTCATCCAGATGGAGTTTATTCCAAGGAATTATCTGATTGGATTTCTTCGAAATTAAAAATAAAAATTTTCGAAAATCGGCAGATTCCAACAGAACTCATCTATTCAGCATTTCCTGGCGAATTGTCTGTTGGCGGATACCAATCTTCCTCTCTTACTTCAATTAATTTTGATGACATTCCTTTCATTTACGTGAAAAACGGTCCAGAAGACTTAATGTCCCCTTTTAATGTATTCTATCAGAACTCGTGGCTTAAATCGTACTTAATGCCATTTAATGATAGTTACAATCCATATATTCCACCGAATGACATCAATTTACTTTTAGTTGTTGGATTACCTTTATTAATTTTAGTTTTGATAATTGCTGCTGCATTGATTACGTGGTATATACTCTTCCTTAGGAAGAAGAAGGCCACAAAGAGGATAAATGCAGCACTCCTTGAATAATTATAAATAAACATTTGTAGTATTTAATTATTTAGATCTTTTAAGATTTTATAGAATAAGTATTAATTAATTGATGCTAAGAAATAAACAAGTGATTACACGCCTTGTGAAGAATGCACAAATTAATCATCTCTATTATAAACCAAAAGACATAATTGTTTCAAGTTGATGTTGCCAAATATATATCAAATCGCGATTTGTGCTAATAATGATCAAAATGGACAATCTTCTATTACAATCGCATCAAATGAAAATAGAAGTTGTTGAATAACTTATCTCCATCTGAGTCGCTAAAGAAAAAAGGAATATGCATATATATGCACATCAATAATGCATTCAGAATTAAATTACCGACATGACAATTCTATATATATTGATCTTGTTATATAAATACTCCGCTTAAATGGACATCAATTTATAGCAATATTGACATTGTTTAATATCTTATCTTCTTATGGGATATTAAAGATCCAATAAATAATGAAGAGAGGTCAATTATTATGCATTCTCAATTTGATTTATGATAATTGATTTTAAAAGTTCCTTTATAATCGAAGTAATTATTGAAAGCTCAGACATACTTTAATATTAGTTCGGACTGTTTCAGAGGTAGAGATTCTCTCAAACCTCTGAAAAGTCAGGACAAATATGTTAAATATATTTTGCATCAACAGCATGTTGAACACATAATGGATATAAACAAATCACCTACAAAGATTAGGTATAAAATATATGAATTAGACAGAATTCTTGTTCAATTTTTATAAACAATGGTAGAAATGTTTGTTTACCTGTAAATACTTACACGCCCGTAAAATTATCCAAAAGATGTAGTGCCTTATGATCATTGAGCGAGACATTAAGTGTTATTTTCTATGGCAACAAAACCATATCGATTCCTCCAAATATTGACAAAACTCCAGTTAAATATATTGTTTTTCAAGATGGGTTTACTTTCCTTCCTGCAGAAACCTTTCTTGGATTTCCTAATTTAATTAACATCACTCTACCAGATACATTGGAGAGTATTGATGATCATAGCTTTGCCTTCGACAAATTGATGAAATATATTTTGCTTCCAAAAGGCGTAAAAGATATTAGCCCATCAAACCCATTTGATATGACACAAATTGAATATATAGATGTCGCCGCAGACAATCCTTACCTTCGCTCTGTTGATGGAGTTTTATTTTCTAGAAATATGACCATTTTGTATGAGTTTCCTACCCGTAAAAACACAGCAACTTATGTAATTCCTAACACAGTAACTAATTTACGTTTTGGCGCCTTCAATCGGGCTGCTTTTCTAAAAAGAATAATTATTCCAGATTCTGTTGTTGATTTGAGTGAAGAATTTTGCTATGGTAATAGTGATGTTTTAGAAGAGGTGGTTATATATCGATATTATGGCCAATGTGTGCCTTATATCGGGCCAAATTCATTTTATTCAACCACATTCCAGAAGTCTAATATAATTTACCTTTATTATGCAAAGGTTATTAAAACCTGCAACACTTATTCTTTCTCGTTGCTCATATCTGATATAATTTTCATCTTCTTTTTAGTATAAATCAATCGTGATTGAACCCAAATAATAACCGTTATAAAAGTAATTTATAAGTTAATAATTATTTTTAATGAGCTAATTTGACATTATTGAGCACAAATTAATTTAGAAACATGCTGTTGAAGAAGTATATTTATTTACTGCATTACATGCAATTTATATATTTTAGGATGAATCCCATACAATTCTATTATGGTGACCTCATTTCGCAATGAGTTTTTTATTTTTCTTTGGAATAAATGTTTTTCGGCATAATATTCTAATAAAATGCGTAGTACTAATGCCAGATTGCCTTTAAGAAATTTCTAATAATTCAAATTTATTTTTTTTAAATTCATTTAGTCTATCTAATGATAATGACAATACACTTTTGACATACATTCAAAATTTGAATGCATATTTTTGAGCACATTCAAATTTCCGATTGCCCGTAAAGTTCATCGTTAAAAGCATTCATTTTTAATGGAACAAAGAGGTAATTCTGTCCAAAAAGAAGAAACCGGAGATAACAATGATGAAAAGAATTCTTCAACCAATAAGATGAAGCTTGCAATTATTATTATATCAGTAGTTGCAGTAGTTTTATGCATTGTAATTGTTATAATAGCTACCATTATTTTTGTAATAAAAAAGCATGATTCAAGACCATATATTCTGATTAAGAAAGGCATTGAAACCAAAATAATAGATGCAATTCAGACAGATTCAATATATGAACAAATTAAATAAATTTCAGATGAAAGGTTAATCAAGCCCGTAATAAAAAGAGGAGTTAATGAACCAGATATGTTAGGAGAAGCTCGAGAGGCTGTATAAAGAATGTTCTTTCTTTCATTGATGTACAGATTAACAAATGATGTAAATAACTCCTAAAAGGTCGAGTCTGAAATGCTATCAGTATGTAAATTTAGCAATTGGAATCCAAGTCATTTCTTAGACACGGTTGAAATGACATTTGCCGTTTCATTAGGCTATAACTGGCTTTATGACAATTTAATGAAGGACACAAGGGAAAATATACGCCGATGCAACATAGATAATGGAATAAACCCATCTTTCAAATCTCCAGACAATGATTTCCTGCATAAGAAAACAAACTGGAACTAGGCATGTAATTCTTGCATGTCAATGGCAGCTCGAGCCATCAGAAAAACAGATAAGAACCTTTCTGACTTTATTATCAACAGATAAGAAAGGTTCGCTGCTCTCGATAGATATTTTGGAACAAATTATAAGTTAGCAGGTAAGCATATGGTTAGATCAAGTAATACCACGTTCAATTACTATGATTCTAATGATCTTTTGAAAATACAATTGTCTTATTATTTCGCTGATCTATCATATTTGTACATGAATAAAGTTGCACTAACAGATTACTTTAGCCCATTGATTTTGATTTTTGGATATAAATTCAACAAATCAAAAATCAAAGCATTGAAAGAAAAACATTTCTACAGAAAAGGAATGACCCTTGTCATTCTTGTGTGAACAAAATGGAATGACACACAAGGACTCTACTTCGGCTTAAAAGGTGGCCGCCCAATGGATGCATATTGACACATGCACAGTGAAAGTAACATGGGATGTAGTTTTGATTGTTGATTCTATATCAGTAGGTAATGAAAGCCAAAAAAATGGCATGGACAATGATAACGAATTCTTTCTGTTTTGAGTCCATCAGATGTTGTTATGTCTATAAGAAATAATACTCCTCCAAAATCATATGAATCACAAAACACTGATTATATTCGAATCTTAATTAATACAACAGTCAGAGCAAGAGAATCCAAAACAATCAAAGTTACTCTTACTCCTCAAGAAATTACTAAGTCATCTATCTTTATTTACTTATCTTTTTCTGTACCAAACTATAAGATCAAAGTGAGCATTTGAGAAGGTTCTGATATGCTTATGCATAATATATGAAATTTTAACTAGTGAAGATGGCATCAAAAATTAATTCTCTGAAATTTCAATAATTTGTCCAAATAAATGCAGACATCATTGGGGAATTCTATTGAAATCAGGAAATCATGTTTCATTCATGTTCGAATAGGTGCTGATATCTTGAGATTTGAGAAACTGAATAAAACCTTACATATTTTAGGTTAAAAATTTCAGCTCATCATTTTACTGAGATTATGTATCCATTGGGAATCGTTATACTATTCAGAGAAGGGTTTTTGAAAATAATTATTATCATTTCAATGATTATTCATTTGAATTTGTAGGAGTTTGATTAACATTGACCATTTCAATTATATTTTATTGATTTACTAGATATATCGGAAATTAATAAAACGATACGAATCTTTAAGGAATCAAATGAAAATAATACCACTAAACAAAGAATACAAAATCATGATCAACAAGAGTAAAATAAATATGTTGAAAAGGAGAAATTTTATTAAATTTATTACAGACAAGCTATCTTACAATTTTTGGTTGATTAAAGTAGTATCTATTAGAAGATAGATGTAGTGATTTGGTCGATTCCACATATTTATTTTTAGCTGTTTGTAAATTAAAAATACGTTAAATAATTAAGAACATTCAATTTTTCTTTATTCTTTTCAAATTTTGAAAAGATTCTATTTTTCATAAATTTGTAGTTAAATAAGATCAGATTAACATTTAGAACATTCTTTCCCGGTCAGTAAACAAATTGAATAGAGCGTAACGTTAATTCAAAACGGCATCATTCAAAATTTTTTGAATTTATATTAAGGGTGCACCCGTATGTACGTTTATTTGAGAGGAGGAGGATTACCCTCTCAATTTTGAGGGATTCGTTAGTTTATTTTCTCGATGAATATGCAATAAAATTTGATTTTTACCTTATCAATATACTTCATATAATATACACATGTTCATGTAAAAACTTTTTTCCAAAATCCTCAGGAATTAAGGGATTTTTGAATTTTAAGAATTTTTTTCGAATTTTTTCGAAAAAAAAATATTTTCAGAACAGCCTTAACGGCTAAGATTTAGGAACAATGTTAAGTATCAAAAAGAAAGGAGGTCTGATATAGACAACATATATCGTTGAAGGTTGAAAAAATCTCTAATATTTGAGCCCAAAATTTCAAATTTTAATTTTTTGAAAAAAGAGGCCACCCGTATGTACGTTTATTTGAGAGGAGGAGGATTATATTTTTGAAAGGGTGAAACATTATGAATATGTTAATTATATAATAATATGTATTATTATAAAAAAGAAAAAATAAAGCACGTTAAAATTTTTCTTTCTTGATTTTTTACAAAATCTACTTAGAATTATGCAAAATATGACTAAATAATTATAAATTTCAAGTTAAATTTTAATTTTGATAAATAATTTAAATTTCAAAATATCAAGTTCAGTTCGACTATGTATGTAGTAATTCCTCAATAAAGTGCCAAAACCCTATTAAAATATATGAACATTTTCAACATTTTATTGTTTTTATTTAAAAATTTGATGGAATATGAGCTTCAAACAATTATTATCTAAATAAAAATAATTAAATATATGTATTTATTCGTATTACAACCGTAGTAAGTCGATTCTTCCTTTCTTCTACTGAGGTTTGAATTTGATTTCGAATTGTAAAGAGATTCAAAGGGAAAATACTAGCGGATAAAAATTTTATCCGATAAAAACTACCTCCATGAAAGGGTCATAATGGAGTCAAGTTGTATTTTTTGATAGTTTTTGCTTTTCGAGCCTAAATAGGTAGCCAAGATAATGCCTAAAAATAAGGTTCTAAATTCTGAAGTTTACATGATCCTCTCGTGTGCACTCTTAAACGAATCTTATTGAAAATAAATTTTCTTAAAATTGCTCAAATAAATTAGGGTATATTTATTTAATAATAATTTTTTAAAGAATAACTGCTCTTTGCTTGAATCAGTTTAAATTCATGAAAATATCTTCAGATAGAAAAAAGAGTTTTGAATTCACTTAATTCTCACCAAATCTGTTTGGTGTCATCAGTAATTTTAACGATTTTTCAAAATAAGACAATAAAAAAATTTAGCTTAACTGAGACACGATTTAATAAGAGCTATGTTTTCGATGTTTTGGAATCGAAATGTGTCTTCACAATTTCTTAACTTATTTATTTCGATAATTAGTTTAGAAATTGGGTCTTTTTATTTGAATATTTATAATATATTTGAATCTTCCAGATCTGCTATTGAATGATTTTATCGATTCAAGTATATGTTGTTTAATTTGATGCAATTTGATTTTGAAAACAATTTCGAGCGGAATTCAGAACCCAGCCATGATTTGTATTCAAGCAAAAAAAGTAGATCATTTTCTCAAATGTATCGCTGAGTTTCAACTCTAAAACGAAGTTTTGAGGACGATGTCTCAATTTTTGATTTGTTCTCAAAACTTGATCTCACAGTGCTTGATAAGTATTTTTAATAAATTATTAGAGTAATTAATCAAATCTGTACATTTTAATTCGATGAATTTTTCAATGATGTAAAAACAAATTCTTTTGAAATATTATTATTGCAGTCCAAAAAAGTAATTCCTCTTCTCTCAATAGTTTACAGTCGACACAATGAATGGCATATATACATAGGGAAGAAAGCAAATTTATTTGTTTATTATTGATAATTTCTTCAATAAAAATTTGTTTTATGGGTAAAAAAATCAACGTTGTTCTATTTCCATCTAAATTCTTATTGATATCGTTCATATTGATGTACTCGATAATCACAGTTTCAACAAATATTTCGATAATGTAATTTTCATTTAAATGTGTATTAACGATTTTCTAATTATTATCAATATTTGTTAAATGAATACATTATCAAATTCGATTTTTTTAAACTTTTTATCATTTTTATGGAGGTTGATTTTCAGGCACGCGTTTTGATGACAGCTCACTTATTTACAAATATATTATCATAAATCAGAACCTTTGGCCAAATGTGAATTTTTTTAAAAAAAAAACCTAATAAAATTTGACACACCTTAACGAATTAGAATAAAAAACTATTGTTTTTCGAATTTACATGCCATGCCTATCATTATTTTAACATTGCTAAGCCCATAACATATTATTTTTTTTTCTCATTCACAAGCGTATGAGTTTTGCCACATATAACTAGATGATGAACCTATTACTATCATTAGAACAACATAATCTGAGGGTTTCACTTTTAAAACAAGTCCACGATAAGATGAAATTTATCCTAGATTTCCTTTCAAATCATGAGAGCTGTAAAAACCGGTTCTTTCAAAACCATATCGAAAGAAAATGCTATGAAATATGTAAGCATCAATATTTTAAATTATTTAAATTTGGTTAGCAATTTTTTGACACAAAATTTTCAAAAAAAATTCAATATGCCTACGTTAATTAGTTCCATAAAAATACATTGTGATGATAAGTGTAACTACATTTTAAGAGATTAGCAATTATTTTTTGAATTAATTCAAAAACCATAATTCAACATTATTCAACAATTTATTACAAATTAAAACAATTCAGAAAAATAATAATTAATGTACTAATCAATATTGCATTAGAAAAATATTTAGCCAACTACATATTTTTTTGAAAGTGCTCCATTCAATTTGAATGTAATAATGGAGTTAATACCAAATATTAAGTTACATACAAAGATAGCTGTTTTTAACTTTTATTAATCATTTCAAATTTCTCAGATTTTTTAATATTTTAAGATTCATCTCAAATAGATAGTTTCATTATTCAATTTCAAAAAATAATTCATTTCTTAAGATAGATTCAAAAATTGAATATGATTTCAAGAACGATAGTTGTTAAAATATTTATAATAGCAGATACTTCTAGAATGAGCACATCAAAGAACAAGAAGAGTGCCACAGGATTCTTTATATTCAGCAAAGAGATTCGATATCAAATACATAAAGCATGCCCATTTTTTTCACCTTTAGATATCTCTAAAGTTATATCTGAACAATGGAAGAATCTTCCTGAGTCAGAAAGAGTTAGATATAGAGAAATGGCCAAAACAATGACATCTCAGCCTGACTCACCAACTAAACCAAAAGCGACACAACAATGCCCAGTCAAGCAAGGGCCTATACCACCCATAGAAACGTTTGGAATATATCCAGCATTTGATAAAATTCAATACGCAGTTCTAGATCCTAATAACGATATTGATTTGACCATATGAAATGGTTGAAATTATATATGTCATGTTTTTTGTAATGTTTTATAATTATTTCATATATTATTTATCTTGTTTTAATAAAAGTCATGTAATCTTTCATATTTTCTTTTTAAAATTCATATATTTGTCAATAATTTTAACGAATTTGATATCAATTTAAGGAAACAAATCCCTAGTTAATATAAATTTGGATGCAAGACTATTATATTTTGTTCTGATAGTGCTTTGGATTAAAAAACTTTAAAAATATCATGGAAAGTTAATATTTATCTATAAAAATATATACAAATTAACAAAATAAATCATAATTCAGGGAGAATTAAAACAGTTTCTGAGTCACTATCCACTTCAGACTCGACTTCTTTGATAGATTTTTCTTCCTTAACTCCCATGTTTCTTCTTCTGAAGCAGAGCGAGAACATGGCAGCTATAGATCCAATGACCATGATTAGCGATGAGATCAGCCAATACGTACCTCCATCAACCACATTTGCACAAACAGTGTTCTTCAAAGGCACGTAGATGGTGCACAGTTTATCGCAGGTAATCTGGTCGTATAAGTAATAGCTAGCCGTATCATTAAACCCTGAAATAAAATCAGAAATTAAGTTGATTGTTAAATTTGACACTTTTTAAGGGTGCACCCGTATGTACGTTTATTTGAGAGGAGGAGGATTACCCTCTCAATTTTGAGGGATTCGTTAGTTTATTTTTCGATGAATATGCAATAAAATTTGATTTTTACCTTCAATATACTTCATATAATATACACATGTTCATGTAAAAACTTTTTTCCAAAATCCTCAGGAATTAAGGGATTTTTGAATTTTAAGAATTTTTTTCGAATTTTTTCGAAAAAAAAATATTTTCAGAACAGCCTTAACGGCTAAGATTTAGGAACAATGTTAAGTATCAAAAAGAAAGGAGGTCTGATATAGACAACATATATCGTTGAAGGTTGAAAAAATCTCTAATATTTGAGCCCAAAATTTCAAATTTTAATTTTTTGAAAAAAGAGGCCACCCGTATGTACGTTTATTTGAGAGGAGGAGGATTATATTTTTGAAAGGGTGAAACATTATGAATATGTTAATTATATAATAATATGTATTATTATAAAAAAGAAAAAATAAAGCACGTTAAAATTTTTCTTTCTTGATTTTTTACAAAATCTACTTAGAATTATGCAAAATATGACTAAATAATTATAAATTTCAAGTTAAATTTTAATTTTGATAAATAATTTAAATTTCAAAATATCAAGTTCAGTTCGACTATGTATGTAGTAATTCCTCAATAAAGTGCCAAAACCCTATTATAAATATATGAAATTTTCAACATTTTATTGTTTTTATTTAAAAATTTGATGGAATATGAGCTTCAAACAATTATTATCTAAAATAAAATATTAATATATGTATTTATTCGTATTACAACCGTAGTAAGTCGATTCTTCCTTTCTTCTACTGAGGTTTGAATTTGATTTCGAATTGTAAAGAGATTCAAAGGGAAAATACTAGCGGATAAAAACTACCTCCATGAAAGGGTCATAATGGAGTCAAGTTGTATTTTTTGATAGTTTTTGCTTTTCGAGCCTAAATAGGTAGCCAAGATAATGCCTAAAAATAAGGTTCTAAATTCTGAAGTTTACATGATCCTCTCGTGTGCACCCTTAAACATTGAGATAAAAATCAAGAAAAAAACTATATTTTATATCGTTCTTTTCTCCCGGCTGGGTTCTCGCTTATGGGGCCGGGTCTCTCAATTTCTGGGCCAATTTTCTTTGCGTAATTCACAGAATTTGTGACACTGTCCATCATTTTTTGGAGCATGGGTATCAGTTCGAACTCCAACCGGTAGAAATAATCGTCAACAGCTTGGTCTAATAAAGTCTCTCGTTTACATAATGGGTTAAGACTGATAACATACTTCAAAAGTTCTTTCATACCGATAATTTCGATAATACCGTCTAAACTGAACTGCGATGTGTTGATCGCTGCTACTTGGTCGAGAGTTTTCACTAATGTTGGGTCACTTTCGACCTTTGTAATCTCATTTTTCACAGTATCGTTGAATTGATGCAGCAAAGTGTTCACATCGAACATGGATTCCAAATCTAAGAGACTGTATAGCGACTTATCGGCTCCTGAGCAGTACAAAGCGCTGATATTTTTGGCTTTTGGCGAAAACGAGTCTTTCGCGATGTTTTCGACGAAACTGTCCATGTGAGGGCAACTGCCTTCAAAGAATACAACCAGGAATGAAAAGAAAATGGCAGGAACGCCCAAGAAAATTGCAAATGCAACGCCAAAGGTCGGGAACCAGCAAGATAAACACCTACACCATTTGCCATACATAAAATATATAATGGTGTAGGTTACGATGATCATTACTGAGAAAATAATTCCAAAAATTGTTACAGTGTTCGAAGCCGCTTTTGCTGGCTCAGAATACTCTTCGACCTTTCCTGTAATCTTGTATACCTCTGAAAAGTCAACGCTGTTGATTGTGTCTGTGAATTTCGTGTCATATTCGTCAACTTTTGTTGAAACATCGCTATCTACTTCTTTGATTGTGTTCTGAATCTTTAAGCTCATTTCTGGGAGTTTGTATGCGTTATCAGCTAAAGAAGATACCTTTTGGTTGAGATTTTGCAATAATTCTGTGATTTTTTTGTTTTGTATCAATTCTTTTGAGGTTCTCATGCAGGTCATGAAATGAGTATTAACATTGTTCGCGTAAAATTGTAATCCATTGACAGCATTCCCTGAATAATCTGCTGCTTCTTGAGATTTTGCTTTTGCAGTTAAAGCATTAATTTGTATCTGAGCAAATGTCATCTTGATGTAATCAACGAAGTCTTGAAATGAGTACATAGCTGCGGAAATGAGATCTCGGATTGCATAAAAAGCAATATTTTTCATTTGAGAAACTTTTAATATGACATCCTCGAAAGTAGTGCGAGTATTTGAATCTAACTTCGACGCTCGAACAGCTCCCGTATTGATATAACCTAAGGATACACAAAATAAAATAACTGATGTTGACATCAAAACAATGCATGATAAGTGGATGACTCCTCCTATAACGGTATATTTTTCTCTATTAGTTGGACGAAAAAGCCAATATGATGCAATTTGACTGCCAATGAAAAAAAGCAGTTCAATAATCAAAGTAATTGCAATAACAACAGAAAATCCTGCAACAGTAGAAGCATATGTTTTAACGCTATCGGGTCATCGGATGGAAATGTTGAATTTGTCTCGTTAACACCAAATAATTTGTCAATTCCTAAACCATGACAAACATTGAATGATGATTTTGCTGCAGCAAATATGTTTTTACCATTGCGAGATGCTTTCACTATTTGGCAATCCTCATACATTGAGGAAACCAGCCAAAAGAAAAACACAATCATAAAATCTATCGAAGATTTGATGGCCAATTGAAAAAAATTACAAACAATAAAAACAAGATGTCATCTTATTATTAATAAAAAATGATTGTAACAGTAAAAATGTAAAAGTGACAAATGAACCAAATTTATCGCGTTTCTGAGCTTTATTTCATGATGTTATCTATGAATTATGTTACCAAGATATCAATTCTTAAATATTTACTCAACAATACACACAAAACTATTTAGAATTTGAAAGGACTTTCAATTTTTGGATCACTATCATCTCTATAGAGGTATGCTGACTACCCTTGATACAGGCCAAATGCCCCTAAATTTTGAATATAGCTTCTATGCATGCTTGTGGGCAATGTTTGTATGAACATGCAAGAAAAACTAACAGCCAATTTTGAGGAAAATGCATTAGTAATTTGAATATATTTTATTCTCAAATTATTTTTGCCATTTTTGAATTTTTTAAATTTTTTACATATTTAGCTGATTTATTCGAATTATAAATCGACATAAACTAATTATTTTAAGTTCTAAAATAATACTAATGCTTGAATTTCATATATTATAATAATGAATAAAAATATTATATTAATCATCATGAAGTATGATTGAAATTAAACTATTCAGATTGTAATCCGAAGTTTATAATAATCTCACATATCTTGCATGTTTTAATAATACTTTCTCAATGAGCCAATAAATGATGAGTTAATACCAATCAATTAGGCTTTCTGAGCAAAAATATCTAAATTACATAAATTTGTGAACTATTTACTAGTATTAAGATAATTTATTCCTAATAATAAAAAAAAAATAAAATAATAATTTTATAAGACATACAAAATAATTAAACATTGTGCATACCATGATGCTATAAATCATTATCGTATTATTAATTTTGCTATTTTGAATAATTCAGTAATTGAATATACGGGTAACTTTTTTTTGGCTGATAGTTTTTAAATACATCTATTCTAAAGATGATACTTACAATGAATCTATATGTTTTATAGCTATTACAAGGAAAACCACCTGTACAAAAAAAAGTTAATAATTTAGGATTTTAACATATACGTTTGAGTAATCTCCCATGCGAGTGTCTTAATGCTATGGCGTTTCCGGAAAGATGAACGAATAATAACATATATGATAATAAATTTGATAAATCTTTTGTATAAAAGCGAAAACATCTATTATGTTACGATCGAAAACATAATATATGAAGTGCTTTTTCGAATGACTTTACTTGTTTCTAAAATAATGTTATGCTTGGATCTAGACGTGGCCATTAAAAATGACGTTAAGAGAAAAATTAACCTTATTCCAGTCAGCATACCTCTATCTCTATGTTCATAGTTATTTTTGAAAGATTACCATATCATTGACAATTGAGGAAAATATACTAGGGACTTGACTGATGATTTGATAGCTAATATCCAGATTGTTTTTCCTAATATCAAAATTACCTAGGAAATATAAGTTTTTTTCTTTATATCTGAAACTTTAGATGGGATTTTTGCATAGTTATTGATGAAGTTTAGTTTTTAATAAATATATAAATCAAGAAAAATGATTCATATTAGTGGGTGTATCTAATCTAGTCTAAATCACATAATAAACAATATGTACTCATCATGAAACTCTTATGATAAATTTCATTATTGAAAAATATTTACTAAAATTTCTGACGAGTTAGAAATTTATAGTCGAAATCATATCTTATTGTTGAACACCCCTCTGAATGGACATTAGGGAAATAGTACCTCATAGATCTTATCTAATTTATCAGTTTTTTTATCTTAAAATTCAATGTTCGTCCATGATTTTATTTTGATCAACTTCATGAAGAATTCAATCTAAAAGCTCAATGAAAATAAGACCTCCATTTCTGACAAACAATACTCTGTATCAGATCTGACAGTTGGCCGTCAGAGAAAATCTTAAATTTTAGATTCTAATAAATCTTATATCTTATATGAAACTCTATATAATTTTTATTTTTATTGAAGTCCTCAAAAAATGTCAAAAAACAAATGTGTCAAAATTTGAATTAATCTCAAATTTATTCATTATGTTCTTTGTTCTCGCAGCAAGTGTAACCTCTATTCCAGCTAGGAGATCAAAACTCCTGAAGATGCATCCAAATCCATATTTATACCCAAGACTTCAACGCAAAGCAACAAATGGCTGGCTTTCTGATGCTATTGAGGAGAGGCTTGTTAAGCCATTAAGAAGGCTTGGCTTGCAAGAGGCAGAATCAAACAACCTTTATGATTTCATTGTTCCAAGTCTCCGACATTATGACTCCAGAAAGGCAACAAATGGCTGGCTTTCTGATGCTATTGAGGAGAGGATTGTTAAGCCATTAAGAAGGCTTGGCTTGCAGGAAGCTGATGAATAAAAAATTTTGCGAAATTTTAATGAAAAGCTATTTTACTTAAAAACACCGATATAAAGATATATAAGTATAATCATAGGGCCAAGGGAATGAGTGAAGTGATCTCCGCTTTTGGATCCCTCGTTTCATTGATATCAGGACTTAATAAATACATCATTAGAAAGAAAACATAGCTACAGAGAGGGTTCCATAGACATATATATGCAACATTCAACAATTCATATTTTTTATTAACTCGAGTGGTTTCTGTATAGAATTTCAAGTTATTAAAATTAACCATCAAATGAGAATTGAAAGGTATTGATTGCCTCCAAAAATAAATATTAGAATGTGCAATTACAATTAAAGGGAAGAAGAAAATCCCAATTTTTATCATTTGAAGTCTTCTTGCTTCAATAAATTTTCCCATATCAGTAAAAATGAAACAGATAGAGAGCACAGCTAGAAATAGAGATATCGTATATAACGTTAATCCTGTGAGTACATGATAATTTTGTATATTTTTAACTTTTTCGCTAAATCTCGAATTAGGGATATAGAATGAGATGAAATGTAAAATGACCAAAACGCCAATCACAATTTCTGTGATCCGCCCTATAAATAATAGAATTTTTGATCCTCGGAAATTCAATGTCTTTAAAACTTTTGTTATATCAATGAATACAAGTGTAGATGCGAAGACTTGAAAATATCTAGCCGATTTTAGTAAGAAAAAATCGTTTTCTTGATTAAACCAATATAAGTTTGAAATATTTAAAATTAAAATTACTGAATCAGCATAAATTGTAATGAAACAAAATGTCAAACTATGGTCATTTGTTATAACATTCGATAGTCTATGACGTCTGAGTATTCTCATGCCAAAAAATGAATAGGGAAATATCATTAAAATGCCAAAAACGAATAGTGTTAAGACATATGGATTGTTACACTCTGGGAAATTTACAAATGCGCACTGACTACTGATTTTGGAAGCTATTTTCGTTTCATTAGAAATAATCATTTTGAAAGAATATTCGTCAGAAGTTTGTCAATTTATTGTGACAAGATTAAACTATTATAGAGCTTTATTTGCTCTTCTTTTATGAACTAAAATTCAAGTTCTCAAATTATGATCTCCTGATTATTACAAATTTTGACACGTATGTTTTGAAATCGAAATATACACTATGTATCCAGAAGCCATTTATAATTCAAAAATTGAATGAATTATTTTTTCTGAGCACAAAAAACAATATTCTTTATTATGTTCTATTCATTCTAATATTATGGAAATTTCATCAGGGCTTTTTTTTGACATTAGCTGTTTTGGAATATAAGTCCCTTTTTATTACAAGATTTTTGATTTAACTCCATGGTTTTGATAACCCAAACTTGTTGTACTAAAGTTATTGCGTCAAGTGCGTATATTGTCTACAATTTCTGGGTGAACATGATAAATAATATTAGTGCCTTTTTCACATAGTGTATGGTGAATTCTTAATTTTCTCCTTGAAACTGAGAATGGGTTGAAAATTATGCAAGATATATGTTAACGCGAACTCAATTAGTATAAATCTTCTTATTTTCATAGCAATTTTGGTAATATACATACAGAATTGCATTGCTTAAGTCATATATCGATCTGTATTCAGCAGCTAAGATCATTAACACTACATACTGTACTCTAATGAATGATTCTAAAAAAGTGAAAAAACACGTTATATGTGGGGGGAGGAAGGTGAGAGACTAAAACAGAAGAGGTTAGCAGATAGAGAAGCATTTCGACACGATCTTGAGGCACAAATAGAAAATAATGCATTAAAAAGGCAAATTCAAACACCTGAAGGTCAATTAAAATCAACATATGAATCAATGACTGATGGAAATCAAAACAGAAATCAATACCCATTAGTAGCACAGAGAAGAGCGTTTCAGCCTCCGATTTCTTCAAATTTGGTTCCCTATCAAAATCAAAATTTAAATAGAAACTCTTATCAACAAGCTAACAATCGTGTTTACGCCCCTCAACAAAACCAATATCAGTACTTACATCAACCTCTCCCAAGTACTGCTCTTGCCCCAATAAATATCACAATCACCTCAACTAAAACGGATGTTCCTGCAGTATTACCACGAGTACCACATGCAACAGTTATAGATCCTTCTTCATTCAGTCAAAGAGTCACAAGTGTTGATCAAATGGTTAACAACATTCATAACATTCTCGCATCAACATCAGCATCAGAAAACATTCTAGAAGGAAGTTCAATACCACAATTGAACTCTCAAATTGCTCAATTGCGGTCGGATATTGAACATTTAGCTTCTACCGATGTTCAAACATCAGCAAAACGTCTTATTGAGTCATCAAAATCACTAAGAAACCAAGTAGAATCAGCGGCAACTCAAGTATCTAACGAGATTGCTGGTGTCAGAGATCGAATTACAGAAGCAAATGCAGCAATCAATCAGTTATCAACTTCTACTCAAGAATTCTCCGAAATGCTCAAAGCAACATCAATAACTTCGAAGAGTGACTTACAAAAGCATAAACAACTTTCAGATACAAGTTTACAAAGAATTGAGAGCTTAATTAGTCGGATGTCAAAAAGTGCATCAGAAACGGGTGTTTTATCAAACGCATTTGAGAGATCTGATCAAGCAGCTACATCTCTATTTAACACACTTCAAGCATCGATGAACGGAACTTCTTCACAGATATTAAAACAATTATCAGATGAAATCAGGTCAGCAAGCGAGCAAAGAGTCCAAACAAGCAATGTATTGACATCACAAGTCCATGAAATCAACCAAAGAGCCGCAAATTCGATCCAATCATTAAATGGTTTCGTTTCAACTTTAAGTCAAAGTTTTTCACAACTTTTGCAAAATCTGTCATCATCCATTTCAGCAGCCATTGATCAGACAACTAACGACACAGACCAGCTCTTGAGTGACGTAATAAACAGGTCAGATTTGGTCCTGTCGCAAAGTGAAGAAAATTTCAATGCTGTCAAAAGTGAAATGATCCAAACAATCACTGAAATCAAAGATGGAACAGTTCAGAGTCTCACCATTCTCGAGGACACTTTGAATGAAGAGAACCAAGCTCAGAAAAAGAACATGACCGAAATCAAAGAGAAATACAACAGATTCAACGATTTGATTTCGAAAGAAATTGTTTTGCAAATGAAAACTTTCGAAGAAATGACAAAAGGAAGCGAAAGAAACGCAATGAAAACAATTTCATCCAACTCAAAGCCAATTTTCGATAAACTTAATCCTTTGTCAGAAAATGCCAAACGGTTAGAAGAAATTGACAGTCAACTGACAAATTTGGAAGGAGTCATGCAAGTCATGACAAGTCAGTTCACTGAATCCATTGCGAATTTGTCGAGAAACTTGAACGATCTGTCTGAAAAGACTAAGACACTGAAGGAGGATTTGGACAGAGGATACAAAGAGTGTGATGATAAATTGGGGGTGGTGACAGACCCCTCTTTAAAAGAAGACCTCGCTTTGAGAGAAGAAATCCACAGATTTTCAGGAATTTTTGACAACGAATTGGATTCAAAACTTGACGACGTAGAAGACCAGATAAAGATCATCATGCAGAATATTGCTGAAATAACTCTCGGATATCCACTAAATAATAAAACTGTTATGCCAAAACCATCAAATACTTCACCTCTTCCGAAATTTGAAATTCAAAATAACTCTGTAAAAATTGATCAAAAAGTGACATCAAATCAAGAAAAAGTGACATCAAATTCAGAAAATGTTACAGATGTAAAAGTTAGTGAAACAACTAAAGAAATCAAAGTAGAAAGTAATGAGCAGAAAGTAGTAAGTCTGATGAATACGGCACAAAAACTTAAATTGCCTCAGTTCGAAAGTAACACACAAAAAGTCATTATTCCTGAAAAGAAGAAAGAAGAGAAAGAAATCGAGGAACTTGATGAAAAGAAGGAAATAAACAAAGAAGGATTGATGTTTAATCCAAATGATTTCGTAATAGATATCAACAAGAAACCATCCGAAAATGATATGAAAATTAGTGACGAAATAAAAGAAAAAGTTGATGATTTAGATGAAGAAGAAGAGGATGAAGAATCAAATCTTTCTAAAACACTCAAATTACCTTTGCAAACTAAGAAAGATGAGATCAATAAATTAGATGAGAAAGAAGAAGAAGAACAGGAAGAAGAAAAAGATGAAAATAAAGAGGAAGAAGATAATGATGAAAAAGATAATGACAATGACGAAGAAAATGAGGAAGAAGATAAAGATGAAAAGGAAGAAGAAGATAAAGATGATGATGAAGAAGAGGATAAAGAAGAAAAGGTTGAAGAAGAAGAAGAAAAGGACGATGACGAAGAAGATGATGATGAAAATGATGACGATGATGAAGAGGAGGAAAAAAAGAAAAAGAAGAAAGGAAAGAAATAGATCTAGTTTTTGATTAGATAATATTATTTTTGTTTGTAAATAATCATATTAAAATAAGCGATTTTATAGTTTTATTTGATTGATATTGATGATAAATTCATTGTCATGGTTGACCTATTTACCAAGTGTAATTTTGCTTATTTTTTCCTTGAACCTTACAGAAATGTTGTTGTGATTTCAGGATGTAATCAAAATCAGTTATCAATTAATGACAGAAACAAGATTGCTTACATGATAATCAGTAAAACTACTCCCAGCCATATTTTGATTTTTGAAATTTCAGCATAGTATATCATTGTAACATCTGTCATTAAAATTCTCCACATTTTGAGTTCGTATATTAGCAATGCTATATCACTGACCTATTTTCATAAACGAAATTGAATTTTAAAATTAAGAGTAAATTATATTAATATAATGATTTTTGATATTTACAGTTTATTATTAACAATTTCCATTCATTATTTTGAGCCAAATTTGGAAAATTATTTCTGATTTTTTTTTAATTGTGGTTGAAGCAAACTAATGCAAGCACACATTAAATACTTTCTATTTTAACTTGTAAATCTTTGATTGAACGATTCACATTTTCGAGCAGCAATATTTTATCATTTAGACAACGAGATTGATCAAAAGCAGATCAAATTCATATTATTATCAAGAAATATCCATAAATCTGCAGATATGATATTCAACTCATTGTTTTGAAAAATATTATTGCAAGAAATATGCAATGTTGCTAATTAGCGTATGATATCTCATAATTAAAACACGAACATATTTTGAAAAACATATTTAATTCTAGCGATTAACAAGTTAAAATTCAACAGAAAATTGGTTTTCATGCCAATGAAAATCGAAATATTCATGGTTGGGCTCCATAGTTGATTGTAAGGCAATTCTGCGGACTTCAGGAGGAATGGTTTTAATCTTTGGAGGTTGATCATTTCTTGCCGTCTTCCTCTGCATGACTATATAATGGTTCTTAATGTTAACATCTGTTCTATTATCAAAGAACTTTGATATTAAGGACCATTTTGGACCATATCTTGCATATTTCTTTAATAATAATTTTTCTTCTTCTTCTGTCCAATTATTATTTCTGACATCTGGATTCAAGTAATAGTTCCATCTGTCTCTGCATTGGCGCGCCGTTCTATCTTCCATCTCTTCGGCAATGGACTCCCAGTCAAATAAACCATATTTCTTGACAAGATCTAAGAGTAACTGATCTTCTTCTGGTGTGAATTTATGCTTCTTTGCTCCCTTTCTGTTGTTGATAGGCTCCTGAGTTGCTTCAGACATCTAAAACAAAATTGATATATGAATTCGATTTTTTGAGAGAAGTTTGTAAAAACGGTTTTAGTTTTTACAAAAAGATAAAGAACATTAATAGTTATTGGTATATATGCATAAAGACTCAGTAAGGTTTATAAAAAATTGAATAGAGCGTAATGTATTCAAAATATTAATGTTACGCAAACCAATAGAGATTGTTCTTATATGTTTAATATGATATTATAGATGTGAATTGAACTATCAGAATCGAGTAGGGGTAATTTTAGCTAAAAGCGACACACCTGTAAAACGTGACACACCCGTGAAGGGTGTGATTACCGCTCGGTAATTTCGACAGTTTAGAATTTAAAATTTTTTATGGAACTGTTGAGAGTTTCATAAAGAATTTAAGGAATATAAGCAAAGATTTGAATCAAAATCTTAGACCTAAGCCGCTCGATTCGCTCGCGGCTTCCGCGAATTACAGATCAGCAAAGATTTGAATCAAAATCTTCGAACTAAGCCGATCGCTTCGCTCGCGGCTTTCTTTATTATTTTAAATTTGCATATTTCCATCAAAAGTTCATAAGGTAAAAAATTTCGTTTATATTATTGCAAAATAAAATCTTCATTATCAAAATAATATTAAATAATAATATAATATAATTTATAAACAACTATTATTTAATAAAGTTTAATTGCCAAGGTTCATCTAATTTTTTGATTTTTAATGTTTTATGAATTTTATTTATCATGTATATATCTAATGAGGATTATATATGTAGAAGATAAGTACCTTAATATGTACGTAAATTTTAATGAAATTTATACAACATTATAAAATTTATGAATAAAAACTTGATATAAAATAACATTTTTATTTTTACTAAGAAAAAAAAGGTTTTTGATAATAAATTTATTTTATTTCGAAAAAGTAGCAATAATCGTAAAAGGGTATTGATAGGCTTGCTAAAGTAACTAATTTTAGCTGTCAAATACTTTTGTATTTTGAAGTAAATTAGTATAAATTTGTTTTACTTTTATTTCGAAAAAGTAACAATAATCGTAAAAGGGTATTGATAGGCTTGCTAAAGTAACTAATTTTAGCTGTCAAATACTTTTGTATTTTGAAGTAAATTAGTATAAATTTGATATTATTTTAACTCCCTTTGAAAACCTCAATTTTCCATACAGAGGGAACGGGAATAGCATCCAATATTCCCTGAGAATGGTTGCGCATTCTCAGTTCCCTCTATATTTCGAACGAAGCTCTCATCGGTCTTTTTTTTAATACTAAACGTTTTTTTCTCCTGTCACTTTTAGCTAAGATTTGGGTTTGCCGTAAAGTGTTTGCATCTAAGCAATAATACCCCCATTATAACAGAATTCAAATGACTCGAATTGAAATAATTTCTTTGAATTCACTTTCAATAAACTTTTTTTGAAATTTGTTCGCGGTTTTGAATACCATTTTGATTAAATCTCAATAAAAATTAGATACTAAGTATATTATTTACATTTTTCGTTTTCAAATTCCAAAGGTACATTCACTATTTTTGACAAAATTTTAAATTTTCATGGGGTTGTAAATCTTATAATAACTAGATGAATAAGGAATAAATCCCAGTATGATGTGCATCATTATATTAAACACTATATGTAAGCCTTGTAATTCTATTAACACTTATGAAGATCTATAGTATCTTAGTTAAAGTATAGTTTATGAGTCTGTCACCAACTAATGTATGAATTTTCAAAAATGTCAAATATGTTCATTTTTTCTGTATATTCAGCCATAATTTCATGTATTTATACTATTCAACTATTATTTAATATTTTTATCGATTTAAATATATGATAAGATGCTTAGTTCTCCCGGAAAACGATTTTTAATCACAATTTTAACTTTCCAAAAAATTCGAAAATAAAAATTCCTCTCAATTTTCTAAATTTTCTAACTAGCCAAATCTCTAGCCAATTTTTTTGGCCCGTATAAATATTGTTAGGCACTATATAGAGATGCTATTTATCTTATTTTCATCCCATTTTACTGTTATCGCCTAGTGAATGTACCTTTCAAATTCCGAATAAAATAACTTGATAATTAGATCCTACATAAGAAAAATCGAATATTTTTAAATTCTTAATCGAATGTTTTTGAGAGAACTCATTCAATTCCTAATCATCCTTTTTTATTTATGACAAGTTTTATTTCCTGATTTCAGCTTTTCATCTGATCTTTTAGACTGAATTACAGGACTCTATACATGTTCTGAGATTGATATCTAATAATATGTTGAATATTTCCATTTTTGAAATGTTTTTGATTTTTTTTTACAATTTTAATTCCACACATATACACAATTGACATGCATTTATTAGGGCATTTCTTATATTAGTATAATATTAGTATATAAGCAAAGTTGAGGCAAAATATATTTTTTTTTCAATTTTATTTATTTTATTTTAATCCTTCGTAATAGAAAAATATCATATTTTTGCTTTTCATGCATTGCAATTATTGTTCCATTCTTTTCTTTACCCAAATATTAGAACAAAAAAATATACAATTTTTGTTTAATTTATTACAGCATAATTTTTTTGAGATCATCTCAAATGTCAGTGTTATCTATTAACTGTCTAACATTAATTTCTTTTTTTTTATCAAACATTAATTTTGAGCTTTGATTGATTCAATTTATGTTTTATTTAAATGAATGACATGTAAAATCTATATAATGGCATCTTCAATTCTTATCTTTATGAAAAAAATTGATTCGATAATTATTCTTTTTAAAGATTTTATATGCTATCAATACATTTTCAAGTTTACTCTAGTATTTCAAAAAGTTCAAAATCAATAACTTTTTTTTTTAATTTTCATTCATTTTTCCATTCTTTGATATATGTCCAATTATACTAACATCGTCGTCATCATCATGATAAGAAACAAACTCCTCATCTTGAGAATTATCCGCATTTATTGCATCACCGTAAAATTCAATTTTGTTTAAGGCAATGCATGGTGGGAAACCAGGGCAGGGCTTATTTTGTATCAATCTAACATATTTTGCAATGTACTCCTTATCCAAATTGTAACTTTTTTCGTTACATCTTCTCATTGATTCGTCTTTTTCAATTCTGTGAATTTCTTTCCATGTTTTGTTGTCATCGGAAATCTGGAGCGACCAAGAATATAGACAGCAGTCAAAGCAATCGAAGTAGTCATCTTCGCAGCAGCAACCATCATAGCAACAGCCACACCTAATGAAATATCCATTAATTTTAAACTTTTTGTTCTGAAGGGAATATGTAATATAAGGATGTTCTTCATATGTACGTCCACAGTTGGAACACCAATCATATTCCTTCGTCCAAGGGTAAATTGAATACTCAGGTTTAGTCATTTGTTTACTTCCGTTGATATATTGCTTAGAAGATCCACTAACATCAATGTTTATTATTTTTTGATCATATACTTTACTAAATATCCCAGCTTTGGATTCAGATTTTGCGATAGAAAAAAGGAAAAACATTTTATAATAGAAAAGTGACATTTTTTACCAAAACAGGATGAATTGATTTCGCAAAATAAATTGCACTAATTTCCTTACAAATAACTGAAAATACTCCTATTTAAAATATCCTGACATGCTGTTTATATTTTCACTCATTGTGAAGCGGATTTTAGATAAGGAAAAAAAAATGAAAAGCATTGACTGCTCTTTGCTATTATAATCAACATAAAAACAAGGCATTTTCCAAGGTTATAGATAAGTTTTTTATATATAAAGTTGATACAAAGGGATATAAATCATTTTGCATATCCTATTGTCATATTTTATTGCTATAAATTTTTTATCAAAAATTATAAGTTTTCAAAAAGTGACAATATTTTTTAAGAAAATGTATTTAATCATTGCTTTATTTTACTTCTGCATATTTTTAGAGATATGTCCTATGATGCTGACATCATCGTCATCATCGTGGAAAGAAACGAAATCTTCCTGAGAATCATCAGTCAAAACATCTCCGAAAATCTCAAATTTGTTGATTGCGATGCATGGAGGATTTCCTGGGCATGGCTCGTTCTGAATAACACGGACGAATCTAGCCTCGTAAGAGCTATCCAAGTCGTACGTCTTCTCATTGCAGCGGCGCATGTGGTTGTCTTTTTCTATCTTGTGAACATCTTTCCAAATTCTGTTGTCGTTTGATATCTGAAGCGACCAAGAATAGAGGCAACAGTCAGCGCAATAACGATTAGAGTCATCTTCGCAGCAGCAATTGCCATAGCAGCAGCCTGCACGAATATAATATTTATTAAATTTAATTTTCTTCGACTTCAGTGAGAAAGTAATGTATGGATGTTTATCATAGGATTGCTCACAAGTTGAACACCAATCATATCCTTTATCCCATTGATAAATAGCGTATTCAGGTTTAGTTAATTGCAAACTACCATTTATGTACTGTTTGGAACTTCCACTGACATCAAATTCGACTATATTTTCATTGAAGTATTTCTTGAAAATACCATTTGATTCGCATCTGATCAATAAAATGAAATTAAAAATCATTTTGTTTGAAAAAGTGATATTTTTGGATTTAATGAAGTTTAGAATACGAAATTATAAGTTTGCATTAAATGTTTGAAGGATGTCATCTGATACATTAGTAGTAGATTTCTTCGGTGATGAAACCATTGTTATACCATCAGATGTAAACAAAAATATTATCAAAAATATTCTGATCAAAGAAGGCTTTACGATTTTAAATGGAAACCAGTTTTATGGGTTTCCTGTATTAAATAACATAAAGTCACCAAACAGTTTAGTAACTATAAATGATAATGGCTTTTCATTATCATACTTACTAAAATACTTATTACTGCCGAAAAATGTTAAAAATATTGCCACTACTAATCCATTCGATTATGGACTTATTGAATATATAGATGTTGACCCAGAAAACCCTTATTTCTCCTCTGTAGATGGTGTTTTGTTTTCGAAAGATATGAAGATTTTGTATGAGTTCCCTATCTGTAAAAATGTTACTTCTTATTTGATTCCGAATACTGTATCTAGAGTAGCATTTGGTGCATTTAACCGTGCACGATATTTAAAAAAAATATATATCCCTGATTCTGTAGTTGATCTGAGTGCCCAATTTTGCTTCGATAATCATGATACTTTGAACGAAGTAATCGTATATAGATATTATAAGCAAAAAGTTCCATATATTGGATCTCAATCATTCATGCATACTACGTTCCAAGAGTCAAATATCACATATATTTACTCCATAAATGTAATGAAAACTTGTACGTCATGCTTTTCATCATTTTTGAAAAGCGTTCTTCTTTGCCTTTGGATTTCGGAATAAAATAATATTCAAAAAAATTAAATTTAGAAGGCATATAAAACCATTTTGATTTGCATGGAAACACAAAGAACTTTGCATTTGAATTCCACTCTGATTATTTCTTTGAAATCTTATCTTTCATCAAATGATTCAAATGATGATAATTCTTAGTATATTTGAAAGAAATGCCAATATTTTCTTTGCATCAAACTTATACCTCCAAAGTTGGATTTGAATAAAGTATAAAATCCTTATTATTGTGCAAAAATGATTCAATTTCATCATAACTCTATTAATTATATTTCATGATGTTTCAATATTAGCTTCTTTATTTCTGTAACAGAAGAAAAGTGAGAAAATTCCTAACATGATAAAAATGAATTTTCCAAACGTACTTTTTTATCCGATTTTTTTGATTTTGAAAAAAATTTGGAGTAGTGATGCGAAAAATTCCCAAACATATGGGTTTTCTCATATCCCGTCCCCTATCGTTTCCCCAATTCAATTTTTTTTGGAATTTTATTTTTTTTCCCGCCCATTTGAATTAAAAATGGGCGATTTTCGTTAATGTGATTGAAATATCATAAAATTAATACGTATTTTAGCTAATAATTCTATTTTTATACAATATTCTCTCATTAAATCAACATTTTTTTCTAATTTTAATTTTTAATTTTTAATTTCTTCATAATTTTAGCGATTTATGCTCATTATTAGCAAATAAATAATATATATAATATACTTATTTCATTTTATTCAGATAGGTCTTTGGGATTGGGATACCTTGTCCAAATTCAGAGGAAGTTTGAGAGGTTGGGATGGGGTAGCCCATATTCAATTATCCCAAGTGTACTCCACGAATTTAAAATTATATTATATTATTGATGACATATCTAAATTTATAGATAAAAATTTCAATGCGTACACAATTTTTTTTGAGAAAATTCTTTTTTTTTTTACTTATTTTCATTCATAAAAGCTCACGTGAACTTAATTAACAACTGAGACATTTCCTATGAAATCATTTAATGCCGTCAAAATAGACATGTCTAAGCTGTTTTGAGTGACTTTCGCTCGATGTCTGATGCAATATCAGACATCGAGCGAAAGTCTCTCATATTGGCAACACATCCATACGATCAATACTATAGCTACGAATTACAAGCCTGTTTGGGCAATTTTTGGCCGAGTTCTGATTTTTCATTAGATCTCGAGCGAAAGTCTCTCAAATTGGCTGCCAGTTCATAAGAGTGAAACTCTAGCTACGAATTAGAAGCTTGCTTGAGAGACTCTCGCTCGCGTTGGGATCTGCATCAGAACTCGAGCGAAAGCCTCTCAAAGTGGTAAGACCTGCTCATTGTTGAGCAGGAGCTGCGTAATGTGTTCGAGCAGAGTGAGGCTCTTCTAAGATCTTCCTTGTGATTGGAAGAAATTAGAAGAGTCTCACTCTACTATTTTGTAATTGTATGCCCCGGCCTTTGAGTGACCAGGGCTGCGTAATGAATTCGAGTAGGATTGTACAATAGCTCGGCAAACGCCGAGCAAATTGATATAAACGTACATCCCACAAAAAATGGATTGTCAAAATTTATCCCAAATTTTACAAAACCGCAGCGGTTATGACATCCCAGGGCTAAAAAAATTCGGAAACTCGCATCTCTATTTGGAGAGAAGAACTCTTCGTTTTTGAATTTTGTCACGATGGTTTTAAAGTATATTAGACACATGTATTGGTATTACTATTTTTGTATATTTTGAGAGAAAATCCCTAAAAAGTGAGAAAATCTAAGACGGTTTGAGAAAATATATAAACTATTGAAAATTTGAATTAAACTTCTAATTTGGAAAAAAGAAATTTGGAAAGAAGAAAATTCAAAAATCGAGATTTAGACTCAGCATCAAATGGAGAACAAAATGTTTCTTCATATGAAGGAAAAAAATTTTCTTGTGAAGAAATAGAGTTTTTAAAATTTTATTGTATGTAATGAAATAAACAAATATTAAAATTATTTTTTGATAACAAGAAAATTCCCAATAGAAAATATTTGAGACAAAGAACAAAAGAAAATTGAAAAATATTACTCTCCTTTAGATTTCATGAGATTTTCAATTTATTCTCATAAAATTGACAATTTTATACGTTTAGATGAAAATAAGTGATTTTGGTTGAAATAGAAATTATTATTTGCTTACAGCTATCAAATAGATTTTTGCTATTTTGATTAAAATTTGTTAATCAAATTAATAATTTTTTTCTAAATATCTTAAATATCTGGATCACTCACTGATACGATGAATTAAACGATAAAAATAATACAAACTCAACTAAGTTTCCTGTCTTTCAACCAAAAAATATTATGCAAATTAAATTAAATTGTTTATTCAAATATAAAACAAAGATGAAGTAATTACAGTTATCATGGACTTTATGAATAACTCTGTAATTGGCTCAGATTTTCGTAAAAATATTTTTATTAAAATCGATAAGAATACGTTTACCTACTATCACAACATATCGATAAACAAGAGTAGAGTGATTTTTATCATCGAAACTTTTTAAAAGCTGTAAGCTGGAAGGAAAAATCTTGTTTTTTTCTGAGTTAGTTGTAGAACTATTGATGCCCGAGTTATAATTGTGATGTAGAAGGATGTCAATGTACTGACTGAAGGATATGAAGTGAATTGAATTTCATTGAATTTCAATTTGATCAAAATTTGTTGAAATGATATGAATGTGTCAATATCTGTATGACTCTCCTTCACTCCTTCCCTATTCTTTCGAGAACGAAGCTAGCTCAGCTTTCGCTGAGCGAATTGACACTTTTGATGCCCTAAACGTACATACTCTCAAATTTATCGAAAAAAATAAAACTACCTAAACTCGTATATTCTTATTTTAAATATGATATTATCCTTAGATTCCACACTAGAATATATTTAAATCAACTTTTAATAAAGTTCGAATCCTGCGCGTCTCACTTTTTAAATTTTCCAAACGGAAAATTATATTCTCCTAAAACGAAAACAATTTTCCGAATTGACATCCTTATTCTGTTTCATTTATGAGGTTATGAGCCATAATTCAGATTATTGATTTCTAAATAAAGTGCAATTTTAACAAATGTTTGGTATTTATCGAAGAATAGCCATCTTTGAACATATTATCATTTTCATGCTGATTTCTTGGTGCTTCATTTCAGATAGAAAAAGTGACAAATATTTCTATGCTTTCATTACTTTTTTCCATTTCCAAAAGTCAACAAGAGAAAGGTATTTTCCAAAGAGTTTTCCATGATAAAGTAATTGACATTGACGTCAGTGGATCATCAAAACAGTACATTAACAGCAGTTTACAGTTAACAAAACCAGAATATGCAATTTATCCTTGGAATAAGGATTATGATTGGTGCTCCAATTGTGGAAAAACATACGATGATCATCCCTATATAACATTTTCCATTAAAAATAAGAAGATGAAGATAGATGGTTATTATGTCCGTGCAGGATGCTGTTACGGGGGATGCTGCTGCGAAGATGATTCATACTGCGTATATTGCTGCCTATACAGCTGGTCATTGCAGATCTCCGACGACAACAAAACTTGGAAAGACATTCATCACATAGAGAAAGACAGCGAAATGAAGTATTGCCGTGAGAAATCTTACAAGCTCGACAAGACTTATACAGCCAGATACTTCCGCGTGTTCCAAACAAGTGCCTGCCCTGGAGAACCTCCTTGCCTCGCAATCAACAAATTTGACTTAATTGGAGACGTTGTTGCAAATGATGACATTAACGATGTACAAGAAGATTTCGTTTCTTTCCACGACGACGATGAAGATATCAGCATAATCGGACATATCGGCAAGAATGCTAAGATTTAAGCAGATCAACACGTTTATTTTAGTATAACATTTACATTTTTACTTATACTTCATTTTTATTGTTTCATATTTTTCCTTTTTCCTAATTTTTTTTTATTTATTATTTATAAAAAGAGATATCATTTTATTCTTATAATGATTTAGACAATTTCATGTACATACTTACAGTAATTAAGAAGATTATGGAATTGGTCATAATATGATGTAGTTTTTATAATTATTTCGAAGGAATGGGGATAATTTCCAATGTTCGAAACAAATTATATTTTTAAATAGTAAATATATTTTATAGTCCCCTGAATCATCGAAACAAATTATATTTACTCATATGATCATTCATAAAAAATTGAAGAGAGATTGGATTGTACAAGAAGTATTCTTTAGCAGTAATCCAGCTCTTATGTAAACTAAAGTTGTAGTGATATTTGAATGTCTGATGGATATATTTTCAAAATAGGGACATCTCATGATAAATCATTTTTCACTCCATCTCCAAAAAACATCTCCATTTTATTTTCAAATGAAATTAACAGCAGCACTAGAACTTCAATATAGATTCCACAAAAATGACTACGAAGTTTCAAATGCCTACTCCAAAAAACTTGCTAATGCCTACTCCAATAACATTGTCAAAGAATGATAGCAAAGGAAAGTAATAAATCAGAAGACACATTCAAATATGGAAAGTTAGTGTCATTAGGTACAAGACGTGTGACTGAGTAATTTTATGTGCAGGAATTGATGTCAATAATTTTATGTAGACACTACACGCCCATAATATAGTCAGAAATTTTAAATTGAATACTTTACATTTTCAAATTTTTTAACCTAGCAATTCCTTTCTAGGGTTTGCCTATGAATGGTAAATCAATGGAATTTTGGAACTCCAGCCTCAGGTACTAGTAAATTTTACAATGTTTGGAATGATCAATACAGGATTGTTAACAATGGCTTTTTGGTTTACATTTCTTTCAATCGGATGGATGTCAATTGACATATTACCATTGCGATTTCAATAGTAATACAGTGAAAAATTATTTATTTTATTGTCAAAGTGGTAAATTAATTATAGATTCATGTTCATATCCTATAAGGCAAAAATTATATAGTTGCACTACAAAAAACTCAATCTATTTTAAAACTAGCTTATATCACCTAAATACTGCAGAATGCTCAGGGAGACTCCCTGAAAGAACTCCTTTTCCATCACCATCTAAAAGTCCAAAGAGAACTCCTTCTCCTTCACCATCTACAATTCCAAAGAGAACTCCTTCTTCAACACCTACACTCAATCAGGTTCCAACAAGAACTAAAGAACCATCTGAAGATCTTGCAACTCCGATGAAGACTCAAGATATCGTTGTCTATTTATATAACGCGTTTAGAATAATTAGACGAAGATAAAATAAATAAAAATATTTTATATTATTCCTAAGCTTTGATAAGACAATCTAGTGTAATTTTGTGAAAAATCGTTCGACAATTCTAAACAAGCCAAGATAATATTAAAACTGAATGAAAATACTTCATTTGGCTTTTTAACTTTAGATGGATAAATATAAACTATATCCTCTTTCTGGAAAGTAGTCTCCTCAAATGAATTTCCAATGTAAGGCTTCTTTTGATTAGTGTTTCTATAAACCAAAATTTGCTTCAAAACATCTCCATTACCGAAGCAGAATTCATTACTCATATTAGTTATTGAAGTAGGGAAAACAATTCTTTCGAGATATCTAGCTCTGTTAAATGCTGCAAAATACAGATTTTCTACAGAATCTGGCACTGTGAACGAGGAAACTTTACGACAAAGAGGGAATGAAATCAATGTTTTCTTATCTCTTGAATACAAAACACCATTTTCAGAAGTAAAAGAGGGATTTCTAGGGTCAACATCAAAGCTTTCAAGACAAGCAAAATCAAATGAATTTTCTACGTGTAATTTATTAACTTTAGGCGGAATATAGAAGCGTGGCATTGCTGTTTCAGATGATATAAAGATATTATCATCAAACCCTTCCATACTATTAGGAAGTGCAACATTAAGTAGGTTTGGCATGTTTGCAAATGCTCCAAAAGGTACCTTTTTGAATTCCTTGTGAACATTAATATATTTAACTGCATTTTTATCTACATGATCTGGAATTGTAACAATATCGCTGGTGGTATAATCAATTTCTACTGTCTCACTAGACATTCACGCCGTTTTACTAAAACCATTTTATATGTTTTTTATCACTTTTTATATAAAATTCATCGTAATTCATTACTTCTCTGATCAAATCTCTAAAGTCCTTGTAAATCAAAATCAACAATTACACGATTTTTGAATATTTTAGCACTCAGTGATTACAAAATATGAAATATTCAGGCCTAATTTCTTCACTTTTCATTCTTTGAGAAGGGAAACTATTAGCATTGGTTTGAGAATAATACCAGAAATCATAATTGTTGGAAAATAAAAATTATTTAAGAAATATCATTTATAAGACAATTATCAAATACTAAAATATTAATTAACCTTTACATTACCATTCTTTGAGATATGTCCAATGATACTGACATCATCGTCATCATCGTGGTATGAAACAAAATTTTCTTCATCATCCTGAATTCCCTCGTCTATTACAGATCCGAAAAATTCGATTTGGTTCAATGCAATGCATGGGGGATCTCCAGGGCAAGCTTCTGTCTGGATAAGCCTAATGTACTTAGCTTCATATGTTTTATCGAAGTTGTAGCTCTTCTCTTTGCAATATCTCATCTCGTAGTCCTTTTCTATCTTGTGGATATCGGTCCAAGTCTTGTTATCGTTAGAAATCTGAAGAGCCCAGCTAAACAGGCAACAATGAACGCAGTATCCATTATCTTCGCAGCAGCAACGACTATAGCAGCATCCAGCACGAAGGAAATAGCCGGAAACTTTGAATTTCTTATTTTTTAAGGAAAATGTAAGGTAAGGGTGGTCAGAATATGTCTTTCCACAGTTAGAGCACCAATCATATCTCTTATTCCATGGATAAATTGCGTATTCTGGCTTAGTCATTTGCAATGAACCATTTATGTCTTGTTTGGATGACCCACTAGCATCTAGAACAATTATCTTGTTGTTATATACTTGTTTGAAGATCTTTTCTTTTTCATTGCATGAAATAAAAGACAATAAAAGAAACGAAAACATTTTAAATAAAAAGTGTCATTTCATCTTTATAAATATAATTTTATTATATGATCAAATGAAACATTTGTAATTGATCAGAACGATTATTGCTCAGAAAAATATTTTTCTTATCGTCAATTTTTTAAAAATGAATTTACCATTCGAATCTTATGATCAACTGAATCCATCCTTATACAGGAAGTCTTCACAGTCACCTTTCTGTTGCAGGAATCGCTTTGTCAAGGAACAAAAATGGGAAATTGTTCCAGATTCAGTAATTCAAAATCCTTTCATGCTGAGTGCAAGGATCCATGATAAAACATACGATGAATACCTATTACTCATGGTCACAATCTCAAAACTCTCAATTGCTCACGTAATAATTTCTCCAGAAAAATCAGAGAAATTTACAAGATATAACATCTCCACGAACGAGAACATCATCGAGCAATCATCGTTAAAGCCCAATATGAATGTCAAATTTTCGAAAAATGAAAAACAAGCAAATTTCAATTTTGACAGCAAAGAACTCATCATAAACTACAACCCATTCTATATAATGCTCAAAGATGAAAACGGAGAGTCTTTCGCTGCAAACTTTGATGATAAAGCAGTATTTGAACAAAACCGCTCAAAAGAGAAATATCCAGAGCTATTTGAGCCATACAAGTTCAATAACTTCGAAGATCCAATCAAGAATGGTCCAACATCAGTCGCAATGTCCTTTACTTTCTTCGGATCAAATCATATCTCAGGTTTAGCTTCACACACGCTACCATTATCAATAGGATCGACAGTAGATGGCGAGCCAATCAGATTCTACAACTCAGATATCAACAGCTACCACTTAGACAGTCCAATGGCGATGTATGGCGCAATTCCATACAGTTTTGTACATTCTAAATACAGAACAACTGGCTTGCTGTGGGCAAACTCCTCAGAGACGTGGGTAGATATCAACAAAACGAAGAATTCCGAAATGAGATTTATTTCTGAAGGCGGATTCATTGATTTCTACTTCTTCTCAGGTACAAACAGATTTGTCATCGACAGATACACTCAACTCACCGGTCGTCCATATCTTTGGCCGAGATTTAGTTACGCATATCATCAATGTCGCTGGTCTTATCTTTCTGAAGAAGAGCTGACCACGGTATCTAAATCGCTTGATGATTTCGATGTTCCACACGATGTCATGTGGTTAGATATCGATTACACTGATGGAAAACGATATTTCACATGGGATGAAAAAAATTTCCCAACTCATCAGAAAATGATTGAAAATTTTGACGATCAAAACCGCAAAATCGTCACAATTATTGATCCGCATCTGAAAGTTGATGAGAACTACAAAGTGTACACAGAGTGCAAATCTAAAGATTTATTCATCAAAAATCCAGATTTGTCACTTTTTAGAGGTCAATGCTGGCCAGGTCTTTCCTCATGGCCTGATTTCTTGAATGAAGAAACGCAGAAGTGGTGGGCGTCTCTTTATGCGAATACTCCACAAAATGTTTACATTTGGAATGACATGAACGAAATCTCCTGTTTCGGAGGCCCAGATACATCCATTCCAAGGGATTGCCTCCATGTGGACAACACAGAAGAGAGAGAAGTCCACAACTTGTACGGATTTCTGAATTCCATGTCAACATTCCGCGGTCTAGAGAAAACAAACAAGCGCCCATTCGTCCTCACTCGCTCCTTCTTCGCCGGAACCCAGAAATTCTCCGCTGTCTGGTCCGGAGATAACATGAATTCCTACCGCTACCTCAAGAGCGCCTGCTTAATGTGCCTCCAGTACGGCCTCTGCGGCATCACGTACAGCGGATCCGATGTCGGCGGATTCTTCAACAACGAGCCAGACGACAAGTTACTTGCCCGCTGGTACCAGATTTGTGCGTTCACTCTCCCTTTCTTCAGAGAACACAGCTGCTGGGAATCTGACAGAAGGGAAATCTACGCGAGAAAGTCCGAGAAATACAGGCAGCTAATGAGAGAAAGCGTAATTGAAAGATATAAGATGCTGACATATTTCTATACTTTAGCAAAAGTGTCAAATGAAAACAGTTTGCCACTTTTGAGACCTTTATTTTTGGAATACGAAAATGACGAGTATTCTGAGATTGATGATGAGTTTATGCTCGGAGATTCGCTTTTGGTCGTTCCTTTCTTCGACGAAATAGAAAAAGAAAGAAAATTCGTAATTCCAAAAGAAAATATTTTTTATTATTTCACTTCACTTCAAAAAGTGACATCTGACATTGCAGCATTTGATGACGGCAGAACATTATTGTTGTTGAGAGAAGGAAAGGTTGTTTCCAAGCGAGAGAAATATGCAAAAACGAGCACCGACATGTCTCATTTCCCAATTTCTCTGATTTTTGCTTTGGATGGAGAAGGAAAGGCAAATGGAAGGTTCTACGATGATGACGGACTGTCTCTCGATTTCGAAAAGAAGAATGTGTACAGAGAGTTTCTTTACGAAGACAAGGTCATGACAAACAAGAACTTGTCGAAAGAAAATGATTTCGCTCAGAATTACGATGTTTTTGTAGAAAAAATTAGAGCTGTTCTGAATTTCAAACCATCAAAGATTTCTGACGACAAAGGAAATCAGTTTGAATTTGAATTCGCTGATGGAGTGACAACAATCAATTGCCATCTGATGCTTAATGAAGAGTGGTCCCTTCATTTCGAATAAACATTATATATCTTTCTATAAATCAAAAACAATGAATCTAAGTAATAAAAATGATTACGATGTTGATTATTGTATGATATAAAAGTGACGAAAAATTATATTGAATGGATTTTATTGTTCATGATCCAGAGATTATATTTTCAAGATCTGGTTTTATCATTGATGTCACTTTTTTATTTTTATGAAGATTTTATATTTTAATGGAAAAATCTACACTGGAACAAACACTGTAGACTCTTTTATTGAAGAGGATGGGAAATTTTTAGATGTTGGTAGCTATGATTCGCTTAAATTAATTCCTCATGATAAAGAAATTGATTTTAATGGAAAAACAGTAACTGCTGGATTTAATGATTCACATTTACATATCCTTGGATATGGGTATTCTCTTACAATGGTAGATCTTGTCGGATCCCAATAAATTGAAGAAATTATTCAAAGATTTCAAAATTATATCGACAAAGAAAAACCAGAAAAAGGAAAATGGATCATTGGGAGAGGATGGAACCAAGACTACTTCATAAAAGAAAAAAGATTTCCAACCAAAGAAGATTTAGATTTAATTTCAAAAGATTATCCTATTTACATCATGAGAGTGTGTTTTCACGTTACATGTGTCAATTCTCTAGGTCTTTCATTAGCCAATATCAACGAAAATACGCCAAATCCAGAAGGAGGCGAAATTGAAAAAGATTCAAACGGAAAACTTACAGGTATTGTTAAAGAAAATGCTCAATACATGGTATATAAAGTAGTTCCAAAGCCAACCCTCGAAGATATTAAGAAAATGCTTTTTTCTGCAACAACAAAACTAAATCAGTTCGGAATTACTTCTGCTCAGTCAGATGACTTCACATGTTTCGATGTTCCATACGATACAGTCATTCAAGCTTATCAAGAGCTAGAAAAAGAAGGAAAATTAAATGTTCGAATTAATCAACAATCCCAGATCAAAACTCCAGAAGCATTGGAAGGTTTTATCTCTAAAGGATACAAAACTGGCTTCGGTAGCGATAAATTCAAGATCGGACCACTAAAACTCTTAGGAGACGGATCTCTCGGCGCCAGAACGGCATTTTTGCAAGAACCGTACAGTGATGATCCATCCAAGATCGGTATATTGGTCTACAAGCAAGAACTGCTGGAAAATTTAATAAAAATCGCTCATAATAATAATATTCAAGTTGCAATACACGCAATTGGCGATGGCATAATGAAAATGCTGATTAATACAATAGAGAAAGTATCTAAAGAGAATCCAAAGCCGGATATTCGCCATGGAATTGTTCATTGCCAAATAATGGACAAAGAAATACTAAAGAAGTTCACTGAGCTCAAGTTATTAGCGTTCATTGACTATGATATCACCATTGTTAAACAAAGAATTGGCGAAGAAAGAGCGAAATTTTCTTATAATTTCAAAACTCTTCAAGACTCGGGAGTTAACATTAGTAATGGATCGGGCTGTCCTGTGGAGACTCCAAACCCAATGGCGGGCATCCAATGCGCTGTTACTCGTCAAGATATTAAAGGAAAATTTGAACCTTATCTCCCTGATCAAGGATTAACGATAGAAGAAGCGATAAAGAGTTATACGATAAATGGCGCGTACGCATCATTTGAAGAAAACAAAAAAGGACAAATCAAAAAAGATATGATATCAGATTTCGTAATTTGGGATAAAGATATTTTCACATGCGATGTCCATAATCTCCACTTGATTCGACCATTGAAAACTTATCTCGGTGGAAAACTCGTTTATCAAAATGTTTGAAATTTCTTATTTTTGATTTTTGTTTAATTCGATTCTAATAAAGTTTACATGCTATATTATTGAGCGGTTATTAATCTTTTTATAAATGCCTTGAATTTAGTTTTTTCACAAAAAATTTTGAAAATGAAAATTAAGTTGAATTTTAATGATTAGTGTGCATTTGAGCGCATTTTAGAATGAAGTCACAAATTAGTAAAAATAATTCGCCTTTCATTCACAAAAATATAATTGAATGTAGATGGGCGTAAAATTTTTCTTGACAATAATATCGAGAATTATATTCTAAATAATATTTTCTGGTTTTTAAACTTGAATACATGATTTTGAATAATTAGTCAAAATAATTTTATTCTAAAATTAATAATACTTATGTGTTCACCAACATCATTTCAATGAGATTGAATTGATTAATTCAAATTATTTTGAATGCTTCGGAAATCTTTTCAAAAATTGATAAGTTCTCAATTTTTTACAAGATTATTGTTATATTTCGTTATAAACCCTGCCCTCAATTATCATACAGAGCCTTCAGAAAATAGATTCTATATATCATTTTTCATATTATATTCTCTTACATTTATTCGCTTTCCAAACTCTTATACAATATAAAGAGGAACTTTATTAAAAATAATATTTATGCAATTAATGCGTATTTTATTAGCTCCAAATTCCAAATAAAAATTAAAAAATTCTTTTAACCTCGCAATCGCCCTGCATTCAGGCTCATTGCAATCAGATCGCGTTATACATCTTTCATGATTATTTTATTCATTTACAGTTCAATAAAAAAATATATTTCACAAAAAGTTGTAAAATTTAATGGATAAATTGCATGTAAAAGCAAGTATTTATTTCATAATAATATTCCCTCAACAAAAAAATATTATATGATATGATTTGATACAAACAGTGAATTGGATATTAAAACTATGAATATATTCGACGTACGATTATTAATGATGATTGAGGAGCTGCCATAAATTTGTCGGATCCACTTTTTCGTCTATTTGATGGTTTTGAGGTGAATTCGAAATTGATAAATCGATTTGTGTCTTCAGATTATATTCCTTCATGGTTTTAAGCTTTTGTATATGAGGTTGTATCCTTTCCCAATTTTCTGCATACCAGCATAACAATGCATTTCTATTTCTTTTTGCTAATCTATCAAGTTTGATCTCTAAAACCGAAGAAATGTCAATGGCAAAAGATAATAGGTTAAGATATGTAACTTTTGTGCCAATTATACGATCAATATAAGCTGAAACAAAATCCATTTTGATTCCATTCAGCTTCACCCTTTCAAATATCATCTTGTGATCGCGCTGGCATTTCTCGCTCCTATTTTTGTACTTCCTGACATGTCTTGTCTCGATAATATCTTTTGCGTACTCCATCCTATCGAAATGTTTTAGTTTTGTGATGAATAAACTACGAACGTAAACTATTCAAAAAATATTCATCTGAAAGCCCACTAAATATATTATGTTAAGCTCATATTACCAAATGCTTTGTGAAAAGATTTTTTTCAAAAATAAAAAGATTGAGAACACGTACATATTTTAATTCACAATTCATAAATTGATCAATATACTATATTTGTGTTTCTGATTGATTTTTTGCTGTTTGTCATTTTCATTTTTTTCAATGAATTCAAATCATTGACAATTACCGATTACAAAATAAATTGTATATTTGGATTCACATATAATGACCAATGCAATACACCTTTCGTTAGGATTGTAAAATTGAATTGAATTAAAATCTTTGATTATTTTTGGAAATATACACTGCAATTAAATGTTAATGATATCTTTTGTTTTATTTTTCTGTTAAATTCTCGAATTTTTTGGTTTTCAGACGAATTTCTTAACAAAATTGGTTTTTATTTTTAAAAAAGGTTCGTAGAAGTGGAAAAACTTTTTTCCTAATTACTAAGAATAACGTATTTTCATCTGTTTGAGATATTAAATTTCATCATTATCCTAACTTCCTTGACAATAAAAATTCCTGATTTCGTCAGTCATGCTAAATTAATAAATAGATAAAAAAAAAAAAAAAAAAAAAAAAAGGGAGTGGGGCTTCCAGGCACTTCGTGCCCTCTAGCCCCGAAGTTGATGAGTATAATGAAGTTTTTTTTTTCTTTTTTGGGATGGCCTTCCGGGCACTTTGTGCCCTCTAGCCCATAAGAAATTTTGCCCAAGACCCAAGAGGAGGACCGAACCCCAGCCGGTGACACTTTTTGTGTCGCTTTTTCACAAATTATATATGTTTTCATGTTTTGTCAAGACTTCTTCGTAAATGTTTTGTCAAGACTTCTTCGTAAATGTTTTGTCAAGACTTCTTCGTAAATGTTTTGTCAAGATTTCATCGTAAATGTTTTGTCAAGATTTCATCGTAAATGTTTTGTCAAGACTTCTTCGTAAATGTTTTGTCAAGATTTCATCGTAAATGTTTTGTCAAGACTTCTTCATAAATGTTTTGTCAAGACTTCTTCGTAAATGTTTTGTCAAAACTTCTTCGTAAAATCAGACAAAAATAAAGTTTAGGGTAGAAGGTTAGATCTAACCTGTTTTCTAACCTCTTTTCTACCCTCATGAATTTTCATGATTTCATCGTACATGTTTTGTCAAGACTTCTTCGTAAATGTTTTGTCAAAACTTCTTCGTAAAATCAGACAAAAATAAAGTTTAGGTGAAGAGGTGAGATCTCACCTGTTTTCTCACCTGTTTTCTCACCTCTTGAATTTTCATGATTTCATCGTCATAGGCACGGAGATAGGACGGTTATTTTACAAAACTGACAACACTTTGACCGAGTAGTTTTTTGTGCTGAACAAAAAGTGTCATATAAACATCTGTCAAAAACCGTTTTTTACTTCACTTAAAATGCCACGTAAGCTACGTAAGAATATACGTAAGAGGAAGAGAGCATTGAAACATCCAATAGTAAAACTGACACCACAACAACAGTTGCAACAACAAATTATGAATGACCCCACTATGTTGCAACAAATGTCAAGCAACCCTATGCTTTTAAACCGAGTTATTGGTGCACAGAGTGGAGGTTTAAGAGCGGCACTTTTAGCGAAAATGGCAGGCTATGGTGGAGCTGCAGACGGAACAGCCTATAACCCTCAAAGTCAAATGAATTTGAGTTCACTCAAAAATCAAATAACAGATGTCAAAAAGTCAAACATAGACATACAGAAACAAATAAGTGAAAACGAAAAGAAACTAGAATATGACAGACACACAAAGAAACTCAATGAGTTAAACGTAGAGAAAAAGAAGAAAGAAGAACAACTGAAAGAACTAAGTACAGAGGAATATGCGAAAAAAGTGTCAGAAAAAGCAGCAGAAGTAGCAAAAATGGAACAAGATGTTATAAATTTGAAAAACCATACTACTCAATATAAAGTACTGAAAGATGAAGAGATAAAACAAAAAGCCCTGAAGACATATATGGATAGCGATGAGTATAAAAAAGAAGTTGAAGCAAATGTAAAGGCAGAAAAACTTTTACAGTTGCAAAACCAAACCGTACAGTATGAAAACTTAGCACAAGAAAGTAAAAATAACGACGCAGCCATGCAAAAGGCAATGAAAAGCGCAGAATATATAAAAGCTAACAATGACTGGTTAGATGCCCAAGCCAACGCTAAAGCAGCCCAACTTATAGGGTCAATAAGGACAAAAATACAAGCGGATGAAGACAGTTCAAATGAAGCTTTAATGAATGCTGACTTTAAGAACGCCTTCGAAGCTCTTCATAGTAAGGTGAAACTAGTGAACGACTTCTCATCTGGAAAGAAACTGAAGTCTGAAGGTTTCGACAACGAGTTAAGAGAAGTAGCACAAAATATGACGAAAATAACAGATGCAGCAACGAGACAGGCAGTTCAAAGTGCCTATGACGCCGTTAGAGCAACTGTTGTGGAAAGTCAAGAAAAAGAGTTACAACAGACCAAAACAGACCTAGTAAATGCTTTCTTAAGAACGAAAAGTCAGGTAGGACATTATGCTGCAGATGGAACATATGTGCCAGCTGGTGGAACTTATATACCAGCTGGTGGAACTTATATACTAGCTAGTGGAACTTATATACCACCAAACCCTCCAAGAGAAGCACCTGCACCAGGACTACCTAAAACATTTACATCGTCACATGGACACAGACACAGGCATGCACCAAAACCAACACAACAACCAACAGTTCAAAACACTACACCACAACCAACAGTTCAAAACACTACACCACAACCAACAGTTCAAAACACTACACCACAACCAACAGTTCAAAACACTGCACAGCAACAACCACAAACAGAGCAAGGACATAAAAGAAGTAGAGAACAAGGAAACCAAGAATTCTTAAAAATGCTTAAGGAAGACTATGGTTACCCAGATACTCTTGACTTTAGTGACAGATATAAAGAAGCTATTAGAAAGTTCAAGGAAGGAAATACTGACCCGAACCTATTTAGCTTTATGGTTCAGCACCAAATGGGATATAATTTCAAACCTGGAAAATACAAGCTCGCTAAGGGATATGATTTAATAGCATATCATCCAAATGACATGGATGAATTTACTCCAAGATATTTGGTGTCAGAGATAAATGATAATTCAACTATCTTCATGAAACGCGTAAAAAATAGAGACGGAACGAAAGAAGAAAGGGTTATGAATGCGGATGGCTTAAATAGGGAACTTGTTAAAAACGGTCTCGGAATATATGAAATGCCAGCAGATGAGGTACAAGAAACTCCACAGGAAGAAGTTCAGATACAACCAGACATGGAAGAAATAGTTCAGCAACAACAGCTAGAAGAGCCAGAAGGAAACGAACAAGTCCCTCCTTTGGAAACTAACTTCACAGAACTAGATGAAGATTTGGAACAGCCGAAAAATCTTGACCCCCAACAAGAGTATGCGGAGAATATGGAATCTTTCCAAGAGTCTAAGAAAAATTCGGCTGACATAGTAGAAGAATATCGAAAAATGTTCGCCGACATACAAAAGACTCCAACATCAGATGAAAATATCCAGCATAGAATGGAAGTACTGAAAGATAATGTACACAAATACAACAATCCTTTTTACTTACGAGCATATAACGTTCAATCTTTGGATGAACTCGGTGAAAATAAAAGGTTAAATTTCAACAAAACATATAGAAATGAAACATTGTTTAAAGTTCATTCAGAACCTAGCCAATATGGAAACAAACCTACTTTTGTTTCTGCAGACGATGGAACTACAATGAGATGGGGTCATAAAGCTAATCCGGATAGGTGGTTCATAAACTTACAACCACAATTCCAAGAAGTTGTAGACGCAATGGAAGTGAATGGTGAACCAGATATAGCTGGTATTTTCAGCGCGGCTTTAATGCCATTGAAAGATATGAAAGATGCAGATATTTTGGACCAGTATGAAATGAACATGGCTGATGGAAATATAACACCTGACGTTCTAGAACATTTATCTCAAAGAACTACACAGAACCATAGAGATGGTATATTTGGTGAAGAGTTTAGAAAGAAAGTTAGGGAGAGAGAAGGAAGAGAACCTATTGTACATGACCTTGCAAACGAAAGTTTGCAAAATGTCATAAAAACTTACTTTGCAGACAATGAACTGAGAAGGGATGAATATTTAAGAAAACTCAAATGGACAGTACCAAATGAAATGTTAGTATTGAAAAACATGTTCCATGACAAAATAAAAAACTACAGAAATAAATGACCCAAGACTGAAACGTTGGGTAAAAGCTTTCCCATTCACAAAAGATATTATTGGTAACATGGAAAGAAAACCAGAATGGCTACAAAAACATATATTTGGAAACGAGCTTATTCCATATGGACAAGCTCTGTTTGAAGAGCTTGAACCGGAAACTCAGGAAAGAGTCATGCAAAAATACGCGAAGACTCAAATACAAACTATGACAAAATCTTTCTAGGATATAGGTTACCTGAGATGGGCGACCAGAGCCCAAAGGCAAAAAGGACATGGGAAATTTACAATACTGGGTGAACATGAGGCAAAGATGCAACAACTTGAAGCAGAGGGCAAGTTACCAAAAGCGACACCAAAGAGAAGAGAAGAGTAGAACAAAGTGAAAGTAGTGAAGAAGTAACTTCATCTAGTGAAAGTAGTGGCAATGAAGGAAAGAAGAGTTAAAAACTCAGTCAGGAAGAAAGTAAAGCTTGGTCCGAGTGGGTTCTATTATGATATATAAATCCAACTATTCTATATTTTTACCCATATGAAATGTACGCCGCTCAGAATATAACGCCAACAGTTTTGGATGCCATGAACGGAAATGTTTCCGAATGGTATAACGAATGCGACAATGCCATTAGAAGGTCAGAAATAGTTCCTGGAACTTACGAATATACAACTGCTGTTTCTTATGGAAATGTAGGTGAGTTTGGTGAAGGTTCTTCAACAACAGTAGATATTGCTTGCGACAGGTTTCATATTATTTCTATTGACAACTCATTCTTATACGTGGAACAAGACATTGAAATAAAACCTTCTGCCAAGTTGTCTGACAAGAAAGGTTGCAATGGAATTTTCTATGTCGGATACCAATATGCTCCAGAAGTTTTCATGGGATATAAGATATATTCTAACTCTGACTTAGTTCAAACAGTAACATGGGCAAACTATGAATGGTTCGCTTTGAGAAACTCAGTACAACCACAAGCTAGAGAACAAACAGACCAGTATGCAAATATTGAGAAATAAGAAGACTTGACCCTAACGTTCCAGGAGTTTATGTTAACCTTTCTGGTTCAGATGGAACTGCTGCCACTAAAGTAAACTGAAACTTAGAGTTCCTTTGTCATCTTTCCTCATCTTCAGGTTTTTAAGATACTTGCCAAACTGGGCAGGAAAAATTTATTGAACTTACTCCAAGCAAAAATAACTTAGTCATTGCACCAACACAAGACCATTCAGCATTACTGTAGCTGGAACTGGTGGAGCCAAGTTCTGTGACTTTTGCAAAGACAAAGTTGACTTAGACTTTGGTTTCTCAAACTTCAACAATGAAGTAAACTATTATTTCAATGCTGCTGGAAACTGCTTGGGACCCAGTTAAGTTCACATGCGAAAAAATTTGAATGCAAGAGAATAGAAAGCAGACTTGCAGTCTATATGTTGGACCCAGATATTTCAAATGCTTTAGCTGCCAAATATATTGCGTTCCACTTATGTTCCCTATACACCAAATATCTGTCAAAGACTTTGCAGGTGAAGTTGGAAACCAAAGTGCTGACCCAGGTGCAAGAACAGATATTGCTTTAACAACTGCAATGAAACATGCAGATACTATGTTTGTACTGTTCAGACGAACTATAAATGACTATTCTTGTTTCTACAACCCCGGTATTAAATATCATATAAACATAGATGGCAAATATTATCCAAGAGAAGAATATTCTACAGTTGAGGATATGAGGTCTACAACTTGACATAGATTGCTATGAACTTTAACAACAACTTCACAACAACCATTAACCCTGAAATGCAAAGTTCTATTATGCCATATGTGAAAGTATGGACTCATACAGGAGGTCAAAAAACTCAATATACAAATGGAGACCGTTCAAACTTTTGGCTTGGCATTCCATTTGCTGACTCAGAAGACTTTATGGTGGTATTTCAACTGTTGGTAAGTTCAAATACAATATACTGGTGACAGAGACGGTCCAGATGAACTGAGAGCAAAGAAGTTTACAAAACCAATAGCACTTTCACGGAAGATGCTCTTTTGAAGATTCGTTCGATGAAACCTGCTGGGGCTCCTCAGATTGGCATAACGACAGCTTCCATCGAGCAGATTTTGGCAGCAGGTCAGTAAGTTGTTCTTGAACTGACTTCTCTCCGTCAAATATTGACAGTACGCCAGTTTTTGACATAATATTGTAAGATAAACTTACTTTAGAAATATCTGTAAGTTTTGAAGTTATATTTTTGTCTGCTTCAAGAACTTTCACCATTTCAGTTATACCAACTTTCTTGCTTTATGAATATTTTGGTTCAGCAAATATTGCTATTCTATAACATTTACCATTGTTTGTATAAAGAACTATTCTGTCAATGTATTTGTATTGTTTGTGTGTGTAAACTTGTTTCTGCTTCAATTCGAAGAGATACTCGAATACGTCCATCTTTTATTCTAATAAAATGTCATTTCCGAAAATAGAAGCGTAAGTGTTTCAAAAGGTTTAATGGCGGTGGCAGATGTGAAGTTAAATTCACCAACTCAAACAAACAGTCAAAGTGTTGTTGTCAATGTCAAAGACAGAGATGTTGAAGTGGGAACCATACGAAGACGAAGATGTTATAACAATTGTTCCTGTAAAAGAACAACCAACATATCCTGAAGTTAGCAGAGACTTAAGTTCTGTTGCAGATATTCAAAACGACTACCAACAACTTAAAGACAAA